GCGTGAGAATTTGATCCACTCGCTTATATGATCCACTCGCTTATAATATACGTTAATCCTTACACATATGGATGGCATCCCATCCATCACTCCCCACAAACCCCGCCGGGAAACTCGTCTGCTGGCCCTCCAAAGCCATGTCACCACAACACATGATGCTCTGACGCAGGTAGTCAAAGCAGTGGTTCAGGTGCCAGGTACCCTCTTGCGGGAGTTTGTCCAGTCGGTTGGAGGTGTACGCCGCGACGACGCCGACGATGGCGTGTAGGCAGTGCAGCTGGTGGGTCACTGACGTGGTGAAGGTTGAGTCCGGGTGGGACTTGAGGGGGTTCGGCAGGTTCTTGTACCGGGACGTGTCGTTGATTTGGACGTAGCCCAGTCCTTCTGCAGCTCATAGCGATGGTTAGGGATATTGGTTAATCTGAATGTGGAAGGGGGGAAGGGGTTGTAACGTACTCGGAACGATGCTGAGCCATTTGTCTTGGACCTCATCCGTGAAGAAGGCGGATCCGTTCTCGGGAACGAATGCCGGGTTCGGGACAAAGGTGGTGATGTGCCCGGATACTATTTTCAAAAGTTGAGCGGAGGTTCGTGTGCCTCGCCTCTCACTAATAGGTAGCTGGGCTGAACTCACTCTGTCGCGCAAATCCAGTGATATCTCCTGCCACCTCCACATCTTTTGGCCATTCAGGAATAAATACTACAATGACCAACAATAAGCTCATCACGAACCACAATTTCACTGCCGTTGTCAGGGGCGCGATCGCTTGTTTCAACGAGATTGGTGCCTCTCTCTCCGCACCCTGTGCCCTCTCTTCATCGCCACCGAAGTTGGACCCAGAGCCGGCATGGCCCTCCTCGGCATCCTTGAGTTGGGTTGGGCTGGGGGGGTCGGTTGGACTTGGAGCTTCGCTGCCCCGGAGTGGTTCGTAGGCTTGCGAGCGCGACATGACTGGTGTTGAAAATGTTCGACCAATACCCGAATTTCACTTTTACGATCGTTCGGTGGTGGAAAACGAAGTGGGATGGAAACAGGACACTGGATTTTATATAGTAATTAATGATGCACTCTCAGACAACCCACGGCCTGAGACCACCCTAAACGGTTGATGTTTCATAGAGAGCGGATGAACATCATTATCCTGTCAGAGGGATGTGCGCCATGTAGAGCTCAGGCGTCAAATTCAGCGATGGAATGTGCGGTGGGGGCGCCTTCCTTTTTTACCGTCTCTGCCCTAGATGCTATGAAGGACGGTGCGGCCCGGGGGTTACGTTATCGGTGAGCGAAAGCTTGACCTGATGTCAAGAGTGGAGGGATTTAGCAAACACCGGCATCGCTCAAAATTCCCTGAAGTGGTTGCTAAACAGTGATACGGCCGGGTGCCCATAGAATAGTGCTAAAATAAGTCTTCCTTTACATCGGGGTTTTTTTTTTCGAAAAGGGCGAATCGCATCACGGATTCTGCGGTATTTCGTCTTTTTAAGGCCTCGGTCTCGGTTCTCGATGTACATCTGAGGTGGTGAGATCACTGAGAGCGCGGAGATTTACGAATAATTAGGGAGCGAAGAAAGCACGTGCCCGCCCCTGAAGGACGTCACTTTTCAGCGGGTCCACCCCCTCAACTCTCCACTATCCCTGCACGACACCCGCGCAACCGTATCAATGAACCAATCGACAACAATGGTTCACACACGCGCCTCGGCCGTCGTATGCGCGGCAGGCTCGGCAGCGCGGGCGTCTCGGTCAACCATATAGGCAGCACAATCGTGCCTTTTCTTTTCTTCATGTTTTTGGGAGGCACCGTTGATGGATATATGTCCGGCCCATGGCTTCGCGGGGTTCGTGGGACCCAGCTGTTTGCCATGGGTCGACGCGTTCAGGCCTTCGGAATCTATCGATATGGGTTTCTCTCGGTATCTTGCCACTGGCGCACTGCTATGCTCGGCCCTTACTCCTCACGCCAATGCGGTCGATGTTGACGTCCCCGTTTCTGCTCTGACCTCTGAGGTTGAGTCCGACTGGACCTCCGTTTACTACGGCAGGACTCCGCTCCTGTTGGGCAATGATGGTAGTGCTGCGAGCGGCGGTTGGCTGGCATGGGACATCAATTCGACAACACCACTGAGCCAGGTTCATGTCGAGACGCCAGGCCGGAGAACCAAGCTCGTGACGACTATTCATAGGCAGACCGGTGCCAAGACACCGGCTGGTCTGGTCGTCAGCATTGGGCAACCAGACTCGGTCCTTCGGGCTTGGGAGCTGCCCGGGTTTGAAGAGGCGAAGTCGGCCCAAACGACAGTTTTGGGGGATTGGTCGGCACTTTGCTCGTGGAAAAGCCCGGGTGGTAACGACTATGTCTACCTTTTCGGCAAGAGGGAGGCTAAAGTGTTCTTGGTGCGGGCGAACGATGAAAATGGGGGTGATATCCAATTTTCAGAGGTAAGATCACCAGCCAGTGTTCACCCCTCCTGCGCTGTCGTTTATTAACACACTACCAGATCCAAACCTTCGCTTTCCCCGTCGAAGCCTCAGGCTGCGCCACCTCGCCTTCGTTAAAGAAAATGTTCATCTCTGCGGATGACGACAAAGATGTCTACGTTTTTGACCTCGTTGAGTCGGTAACAGCTCCTGAGGTCACCAAGGCTGGCGAGGCTGACGACGACACCACTGGCGTGGCCGTGTATGTTTCCGGCACGCCTGAGCTGGACTATCTCTTCGTAGCCATGAAAGACACGGTTGCCGTCTATGAACCCTCGTTCAAGCTAGTCGGTAACCTCAAGTTGACTGGCTACGAAGACATTGAAGCCCAGGGGCTCGCCATCCACCAAACCGCCACGTCCCAGTACCCCAGCGGGGTTCTTGCGTACGCCATTGAGGCGGAAGACGTGGCCGGCTTCGGGTTGAGCTCCCTGGACGGCGCCATCCAAACCCTCGGCTTGAAGGTCAACACCAAGTATGACCCTGCCGTGGGGTGCAAGAAGCAGTGTCCGATTTGCAGCGCGTGCTCTGGGAACGGGTATTGCGCTCAAAATGGAAAAGGCATCGAGTGCTCCTGCTTCGCGGGATGGGAAAGCAAGATATGCAACGCATACACCTGCGACGAGAACTGCTCCGGCAACGGAAAGTGTGTTGGGTCGAACCAATGCCGGTGTGACAATGGCTGGGGCGGCCTTCACTGCTCTTTTCTGGTTGTCGAGCCGGTCACAGAGACCGAGGCCAATGGAGGTGACGGGGATGATCCGGCCATCTGGATATCGCCCACTGATCGCGACGAATCACGCATTATCACAACTACCAAGTCAGAGCAGGGAGCGGGCCTTGGCGTGTTTGACCTTTCCGGCAAGCGTCTTCAGACCCTTCCCGCTGGGGAGCCGAATAATGTCGATGTGATCTACAATTTCCAAGCCGGCTCCCGGACGGTCGATCTAGCTTACGCCGCGTGTCGTGCGGACAACACCCTCTGGTACGTATCATCCCCACAGAACAATCGAGTACAACCTGAACAAATTGCTTACCCTACCTAGCCTCTTCGAAATCACCCCCAACGGCACCCTCGCCAATATTCCCGGCGGCATTCAACCCACCCAACCAGATTACAAAGTCTACGGCTCATGCACCTACCGTTCGCACAAGACGGGCAAACAATACCTCTTCGTCAACGCCAAATCCGCCGAATACCTCCAATACGAACTCTCCTCCACTTCCAACGGCACACTCACCACCACCCTCATCCGTTCCTTCACCGCCGGCTCCGGCGGGCAAGTCGAAGGGTGCGTCGCAGACGAGGAAAACGGTGTGGTTTTCATCGGCGAGGAACCCCATGCGCTCTGGCGGTATGATGCCGAACCTGACGCCGGGAGCAGTCCGGAAGGTGTTGCGATCGCCACGGTCGGGGACGGGCATCTACGCGCCGATGTTGAGGGTGTTACGCTCGTGGTTGGGCATACACCCGACGAAGGGTTCATCCTCGTTTCGAACCAGGGTGTGAGTGCGTACAATGTTTATCGACGCCAGGCGCCGCATGATTTTGTTCTTACATTTACGATTGGGAAGGGCGAAGGTCTGGATGGGGAGGAGGTGGATGCTGTGAGCAACACGGATGGAATTGCGGCTGTTGGAACGGGGCTTGGGGAGAGGTTTCCGCGTGGGTTGATTGTGGTGCATGATGATTCAAATCAGTTGCCGGGGGGTAAGGGGACGAGTGAGGAGGCGAGCTTTAAGCTTGTTCCGTTGGAGAGCGTGTTGGGGGCGGACGTTGTGAAGGAACTGGGGTTGTTGGAGGAGGTGGATGAGGAGTGGGATCCACGAGTTTGAGTGAGGGGGTGGCTTCTGGTGGCAGCCCGAGAGTAAATACTCAACCCTCCTCCCCAACTCGCACACGCAATAGAAAGTCTCCCGAATCCAGATATCGTGAGAGACTAATATCTTGGATCGTCGCTGTTCCGTGAGCTGTAGAAAGGTGGGGTAAAGGTCTCGACCCCCACTCAAGGAATCACACATGCAAACAATTGACCCGACAGCTACAAATCCACAACGTTATCGAAGTAGGTAATTAACCCTGCCAAAGTATAATCATGTAATTCTTATTAAATCTAGGCTCTTCCACGGCGTTTTCACATGAATTTCCTCCTCAACCGGTGAGACCGAGAAAGGCGCAGCCAACAGAATTTGCGAGAATTTCCACAAGCTCAACTTTCACATGCAACTGGTGCCGTTCAATACCACGCAAATGATAAGTGATGACGTCACTCCATTTCTCGCTCAACGGTCGCTTAGCGGAGCTTGGAAAGCTCGGCTCGGGAATTTTCTCGAGGCAGGACGGGCACAGTACGTGTATGTCGTATTTAAAGAGAATGGTTCTCTAGAATTCTCTCGCACATTGTCAATTAGTGAATTACCGTTGTGTTTTGGTTTTCCTCCCCCAAACGCAAAAGAAACTTAAAACCAAAAGCCAGTATGGCCTCCCAATCGCGGCCGTACAGTCCTCTCTTCCACCCCATCCTCTTCTTTTTGCAGCTCTTCCAATGGCTGGCCGACAAGCTCCTCTCACCCAACCCGCCCGGTCCCAGCACTCACCTTAGCCGACCAAAGATCGCCGTCATCGGTGCTGGTATCACCGGCGTTACGAGCGCGGCGCACTGCATCGGCCATGGCTTCGACACAACCATCTTCGAGGCCGGCACCGAGGAGGAATTGGGAGGTATCTGGAGCCGCGTTAACAACACTTCCTCGCTGCAGATCCACTCCATAATGTATCGCTTCCACCCCTCCGTGAAATGGGAGCGGGGGTACCCGGACCGCCAGCAGATCCTCTCGCAGGTGCGTGAGCTGTGGAAGCGGTACGGACTAGAACACCGGACCAAGTTCAGCACCAAGATCGACCGCGTGTATCAGGATAAACAAGGCCGCTGGATTCTCAACGACCCCTCCCACGGCCGTTTTGACGGCATCGTCTCGGCCATCGGAACCTGCGGCGAGCCCAAGGTCCCCCACATGCCGGGGATGGAGAAGTTCAGCGGCGAAATCCACCACTCCAGCCGTTTGACAGGAAAATGCTCCGCCAAGGACAAGACCATGATCATCATCGGCGGCGGCGCCAGCGCGGTCGAGGCGCTCGAGTTCGCCAGCGAAGAAGGCGCAGATAAGATCTACATTCTCGCGCGCAGCGAGAAATGGATCATCCCGCGCAACCCGATCTGGAACATGCTGCTCGCCATGAACGTTTTCGGGCAAGAAACCTTCCTCAGCTGGATCCCCGAACTACTGCTGCGCAAGATGTTCTACCGAGACCTGGAAGACCTCGCGCCCGCCAACAAGGGCATCTTCACCGACACGCCCATGGTCAACTCGGATATCATGGAGAAACTGCGCTCGAAAAAGGCCGAGTGGATCCGCTGCGACATTGAAGGGTTCACGGAAGACGGCGTCAAAGTCAACCGTCGCGCGAAGGGTGTGCCTGTCGGCGGGCCGGGCCAAAAGGACCTGATCAAGGGCGATGTGGTGGTCATGGCGACAGGGTTTGAACGGCCGAAGCTCGATTTCTTGCCCGAGACTTGCTACGAGGACCCGTATAACCCGCCCAACTGGTACTTACAGACCTTCCCGCCGAACCACCCGTCTATTTCCTGCATCAACTGCACCTACACCAACGCCATCGGCACGGTGGGCAACTGGCACATTGGCATTTACACGCGCATTCTGCTTATGTTCCTGGTCGACCCCCTGACGCGCCCAAGGCCGTTTTGGATGAAGCGGTGGATCGATATGACTAGGTTGCTCAAGATGGCGTCGCCTGTCGGGCCGTTTGAGTTCTTCACGTATCTGGAGCTGATCTGGTGGTTTTTGTTTTGCGTGGCGTTTAACCCGTTCCGATGGAAGTGGGCGTTGTTTGTGTTCTTCGGGATAGGTTATATGCTGCCGAAGCAGGTGGTGGCGGCTGAGGATATGATCCGGAATGGTCTGGGTTATGGTCAGACTGAGACAACCGGGGAGGATGTTGGAACAAGCATATAATAAAAGTGTAGAGGGTAAAAAAGGATCAGGTATAAAGACGACGGTATGCTCTGTGAGGTAGAAATACTGCCTGTTATGGACGGTTAAGTTCATCGTCTTAGGTCGGAGTTTTCAGAGGCATCGGTCGGCACGGTTTTAGGGGCAGAAAATAAAAGTTGTATTATGTCCAAATTTCCTATTACCGACCCTTTCCTCTCGTGCCACGCCCCGACTCCAGCACCTTCAGTCGCTTCTCATACCGCTCACCCATACCCGCACCACTGCCACGAGGCCCATCCGCCGTATCGCGACCCCTCTTCCGACTCTTCTCTAACAACGCCTTAGTCCCACGCCCAGAAGTCTTCCCCTGTGTCAACCGACTGATCCGATCAACACCCTCGCTCAGATCCCGCCACTCCTCACCGCCAAAGTTCATCCGGCGCGCACCGCCCTCCGACTTGGCCCGCTTCGCCCTGTCCTTCTTGCTCTCCTTCGGCAGGCGCACAAAATTACCCTCTTCGTAATCGCGCCGCTCGTCCTCCTTGCGCCGCTCCGAGGCTGTCTTGATCTTGCGACCGAAGTTGACAATCGTCGTGCCGATACTCGGTTCGGCGATCGGCGCAGTGGACATCTCGTCCGCGATGAACTCGTCGAGGGTGGCGGATTTGATCGGTCGGCGGTCTCCGCTCGCTCTGTCGCGGCGTTCTGTCGTAGGCATCGAGACTGGCGCAATCTTGGGAGGGCGGTAGACGCCCGCTGCGTTGGTTTCTTTGCCGGTGAAGGTTGGAACGGCGGGGCGTTGGAAACCGCTTAGGTTGGGGCGGTGTTGAAGGTCGGCGATTTGCCGCCCGTTGGTCGCTACCGCGTCTTCGTCTTCATCCGAGTCGTCCTCATCTTCGTCGTCGTTGTCGGACTCGGAATCGCTCCCGCCACCGTTTGCCTTCGATGCTTCCTCCGCTGCCTTGGCATTGCGTTCCGCGTCGTCTGCTGCCCGGAGAACCTTGTCGATTTGGAAACGAAGTTTGTCTTCTAGCGGGCGTGCGCCTTTCTCGAGATACAATCTTAATTCGACAAGTTTGGCGACGACTAGGTCGTCCAGGTTTTGTGCCTCGTCGCTTGAACTAGATTCGCTTCCGTTTTTTGAATGGCGTAATTTGAGGAGAATGAGGAAAACTAGGTTCTGTAGGTACGAGAGGAGCAGTTCGTTCTTCACATCGAGGAGTGAAATGCCATCTTTGGGAAGTTCGACATCAGCCAGTTTGGGGGCGGCGTCTAGTGTAGACGAAATTGATTTCGTTAAAGAATCCAGCAGTGCTGGAAGGGTGGCTGGTGCGGCCATCGCAATTGACACAATTGTTCCGCTTCTTTCCTTGAAACCTTCAGATTTGCGTACTGGAGGAAAAATCGAAATCTTTGTCGACACTGAAGGCCCCGCCAGAACTTTTTAGTGGATCCCTACGCGGAGTCCCCTGCGAGGCGACTGCCAAGAACAGCTGAGTCCAAGTTCGGGAGTGGGTCCCCCGCCGTTGCAGGGCTGCAACATGGTGTCGCACGGGCCAATTGGTCTCTTCGGCTCCCTTGCTGGCGCAGGGAGCTACATTTTCAAGACGACAACTTGACAACTCGACAACTTGCGACGCGCACGCAGACCAGCCGACGTCATACGCCCCCGACGACGCAGCAGCCTGGATCGAAACTCACGCCAAATCGTTCCCTGAATCGGCAAGGCCGTCAGTGCTCCGAGCCCTGCATGATTACACCTTTTCAATAACGCGAATTGTTTGGAGCGGGTCGAATACGAGAGAAACGGGTACGTACCCCCTGATGACGGGTTCGTAGACAGCCAGGCACCAACAGCTTCACATAGCCTACAACAACTACGGGTGTTAAACGGTTTTGTTGTGTTTATTTCTCTTCTAACTCTGGCGGAAGCAAACAAAAAATTCAATCCATAATGCAATTACCAACACACGCGCCTTCGGGGCGGCTGCTCGCGACACTACTCGCCGTCCCCCATCTCGCATCCGCTTTCTACCTCCCCGGCGTTGCGCCCACATCATACAAGCAAGATGACCCCGTCCCACTCAACGTCAATGCTATCCGCCCCGTAGCCGGGTCCGACGCGATGCTTCACTCGGTCGTTTCCTACGATTACTACCACCCGCTCTTCCAGCTCTGTCAACCCGCAGGTGGGCCACAAGATGTCGGCGCAAGCCTAGGAAGCATACTATTCGGGGATCGGATCAAGACTTCACCGTTCGAGTTGAAGATGGCCAAGGAGGAACCTTGCAAGGTGCTATGCAAAACGACATATGAAAAGGGGGCGGCCGTGTTCGTGAACCAGCAGATCCGGGACGGCATCAGCCTTAACTGGCTGGTTGATGGGCTTCCGGCGGGGCAAAAAATTCCAGATGAGCTGACGGAAACGGAGTTCTACAACCCCGGGTTTCTGCTCGGCCAAGTCACCGACGACGGCAACCAGGTCCAGTTTAACAACCACTACGACATCATCGTCGAGTACCACGAGGTTGCGGGCAGCCGGGAGGACTACCGGGTCGTGGGTGTCATTGTAGAGCCAGATTCACGCAAGTACGCGGGCCCTCCGGACGGGAATATCTGCGAGACCTCTACCGGACCTGTTGTCCTGAGCGAATCCGAAGACACCGAAGTGCAATTCACCTACGCCGTGCAGTGGGTTCCGTCCAAGACAGCCTGGGCCACCCGCTGGGACAAGTACCTGCACGTCTTTGACCCCAAGATCCACTGGTTTTCGCTTATCAACTCGGCCGTCATCGTCGTCTTTCTCGTCCTGACTGTCATGTCGATTCTGGTTCGCGCTCTTAAGAAGGATATTGCGCGGTACAACCGGTTGGACCAGCTCAACCTCGACGACCTCTCGGGCACATCCGCCATCATGGAAGACGGTGTACAAGAGGACTCCGGCTGGAAGCTTGTCCACGGCGATGTCTTCCGCACCCCGAAACACCCCCTGCTCCTCTCCGTCTTACTCGGTAACGGCGCGCAGCTCTTCGTCATGGCCGGTTTCACCATCGCCTTCGCCCTCCTCGGCTTCCTCTCCCCCTCCAACCGCGGCTCGCTCGGCACCATCATGATCCTCCTCTACACCATCCTCGGCTTTGTCGGCGGCTATGCCTCAGCGCGCATGTACAAGTCCCTCCAAGGCGAGAAATGGAAGCTCTGCATCATGCTCACCCCCTTACTCGTCCCCGGCATCGTCTTCTCCATCTTCTTCCTCCTCGACCTCTTCCTCTGGGCCAAAAACTCCTCCGGCGCCGTTCCCTTCACCACCATGCTTGTCATCGTCCTCATCTGGTTCATCATTAGCGTCCCGCTGTCCTGCGCCGGCTCTTGGCTCGGTTTCCGCGCCCCGGCCATCGAACCCCCCGTCCGCACCAACCAGATCCCCCGCCAGATCCCGCCTGTTACCAGCTACCTGCGCCCTATCCCGAGTATGTTGTTGGTGGGCCTCTTGCCGTTCGGCGCGATCTTTGTCGAGTTGTACTTCATCATGAGTTCGATCTGGTTCAGCAAGATCTACTACATGTTTGGGTTCTTGTTCTTGTGTTACGGCCTGATGATCATGACCTGTGCCGCGGTCACTGTGTTGATGGTCTATTTCTTGCTGTGCGCGGAGAACTACAACTGGCAGTGGCGCTCCTTCTTGGCGGCCGGCACGACGTCTGGTTACATCTTTTTAAACGCGCTGCTGTACTGGGTTAGTAAGCTATCGCTGGGCGGGTTTGCGGGGAGTGTGCTGTACATTGGGTACAGCGCGTTGATCTCGTTTTTGTTCTTCATCTTGACAGGTATGTTGCTTATCCATGGAGCTAATAAATTGCGAGGAAGAAAGGACTAACGTTGTGAGTAATAGGGTCGATCGGCTTTTTCTCCAGCTGGTTGTTTGTTCGTAGGATCTATGCCTCGATCAAGATCGATTAGAAGGGAGATTGAATTGATAGGTGGTGGAGGATAGGAAGTGGGGGATAAATTTTGGAGTGGCTCTTTTTATAACAGACACAGGTAAACGGGCGCGATATAGATTCAATGTATCATCACAACGTGGCCCGGCTTCGGGAAGCAGAGTGGGGAGTTGTAGGATTAACTGGCGTGAGAAGCATGCAAAGTAATGCCTCCTTGCTTGCTTTATCCTCAAATTTGTGATATTTTTCGGCGTATCTGCAGATCCGCTTTTAGCCTTCATGGGGGCTTAAATCACCAAATTTAACCGCATATGAATCCACCGCCCACCGATTCCTATTAACCCAGAACTCATTGGGCCTTCTGCCGTTACTGTAGCTCTGGATACCCACGAACCTTCGTGTGATGGGTTCCGGCCAACTTGAGGTTCGAGTTCGAGAACATGAACCAACCACCCCTTCCGCCCACTCTGATATTGCGGCTCTAACCATTGACCAAGCCAAGTCCCCCATGGGACATGTGACAGGCCACACGGCTTGCGCAAGCCACGGTCGTCGAGCTCGCTAAGATGGCCGTCGCCGTCTCTCAACGACGAGGTTGATATGTCACCTTGTTCCGCCGGCCAAGGTAAATTATGTCCAGCCGTGACCCGCTGAATAGCCCAGACCCAGGACTGTAGCGTGAACCCAGATACATAATCCAGCACTCCGATCAACTCCCAGCCGCCTCAATCATCATCATCATCGTCATCGTCATCCGCCCCCAGAAAGGTGAACTGTTTCGGCTTGGCACTACCAACCGCCACACTATCCCTCCTATCCGAACCGCCCTCACGCTGCCTTGCCAGCTCCCTCTCCCGCGCCATGCGCTCCCGTTCTTCGCGCATCCGCTGCTCGGCAGCTTCCCGTTCCTGTCTAGCTCGTTCCTCAGCATCCTTGCGCGCTTGTTCCTCCTCTTGTTTCTTCCGTTCCACTTCCCCTGGATCATAGCCTTTGGGATCGATGCCCGCGTCGATAAGTCGTTGGAGGGAGGCGAGCGCGCCAGAGCGGATGTGCTCTTGTGTTGGCCAGGGGTAGAAGACGGCGCCGTGGCGGGGGTTGATGCCATGTTCGATGTGTTCGGGGAGTTTCTCTTCGGTGACGGTTTTTGTTGGCTGGGAGGGGGGGAGTTGGGTGCTGGGCTGGGTGTCGTTGACGGTGTTGGGAGTTGCTGCAGAGACGGGACCTGGAGTGCTGCCGCTGGTTATTCCGGGGCCGAAGCTGGCGCCGAAGCTGGTGTTGGGGGTTTGGTTTTGTGTTGGTTGAGATTGCAGGCGGAAGGAATCGTCGGCGTCGGCGTTTGGAGGGGGTGGTTTCGGTGCGGTCATGTCAACGCCGTTGGTTACACCGGGCGCTGGGAGGGTGTTGCGACTAATGCGACGGGCGAAGGCAAGAAGCTCGGCTGTGGTGAACTGGTGCTTCTTGGTGGTGGCAGTAGGGGTCGTTTGCGTCGCTTTGACTTCCTTGCGGATATTCCATAACGAGCTCATGATGTCCTTGATTTGTGTATCGAAGAGGGAAACCTCTTGTCGCAGCTGCTGAAGCCTCGCCTCGTTGTTCTGCCATGTCTCAATAAGCTTCATGGAACCTTGAAGGTCGTTCTGGCACGCGACCAGCTCCTCCGCAATCGCCTCCGATGGGTTTCCCTTGGCTATCGAATCGATCATTTTATCGAGCGACTTCTCAAGCCGCTCGAAGCAGGCATCCAACTCGCCGTTCTTCGCCATGTCGACAGCACCGATAGGCTAACCGGCTGAAACGGCTTTGAAAAGTGAGCTTTTCCTGAGGCGCGGATTCTGGCACCTCCGGATCATCAAGGAATGAACGAATCGCGTGCCGACCCAGAGAACCGGGCCCGGGGAGAAAGCCTCCTCAAACCTTCAAATGCGGGTTGGGGAACCTTAGATGCATCGAGGATGACTTCGCCGACAAATAATTGTGGGGTCAATGTTCCGGCGGATCTTGGAGCTGCAGGGATAAATTACGACATGTGATTGGTGACAGCACCCCCACATTCGCTTGATCTCAGCACCATGATCCTTGATGCCTCAGGCACAGACGATTCCGGCTTTGTCCGCCCTTGAAACTCGCGCGAAACATCACATCGAGAGTTTTCACATCCCGAATTGTTTCCCAGCAATTGAAGCAGCCACACGCTCTTTTGCGCCGGTCGTCAAGATGTCTTCACTCGTATGTCCCCCGCCCTTTTACCGCACCAACCTGCCCGCTTCAGGCTTGCCAACCTCGTCCCGAGGACCATCCCCCGCATCGCAACGAGCTTCACAGCGCACCGGCTAACCGAATGTCCTCCAGCCATCCCCCCAGTACAAGAGCCCCTACGGCCCAAAGTAAGCGCATATTACCCATTTGCACTACCGTCGAACGATCCCGACCGCTGCCTCTCCGCGGGCAGGAACAGCCCACTGTTGTGGCTATGGCATGGCAACAACCGAGGCCAACAGAAACCAGGCGCTGACGGGTCGCAGGTACTTCTACCAAACGCATGTTTCCGGCATTACCACCCGGGCATTTATTAGGGGGTAAGTTGACCGTTTTTGGGAAGGTGTTGGGGTCAAAAGACAAAAGGGCAGCAGGGACCCGAGGCAGTAGTTTATGAAGGGGATGGGACACGAAACCCATCTTGCAGAGGCCCGATGAGCATTGCTCGAGGAAGTTATTACAGGAGACGTGGGGAGGGCGTATTAGGCCATGGCTGTTACCAGGCTGTCGAGCCTTTGCCGGGTTCTTGAACTCTGCTAACCTCCCGACGCAGTGGACTTAACGCCGGTTTCTTCGGCGGCGTTGCCCTCGGCGCTCTCATTTTCTACGCATCCGGTATCCCCAGAATCCAAAAGGACATTTTCCTGGTACGCCGTCGTTCAAGCCATATGGAACCACAATGCAGACATATGCTAACCTCACGACAGAACGTGCCGGTCATCGGCCGCTACTACCCAGTAAAGGAGGTCCACCCCGCGGACAACGTAAGTTCCCTCACGAGATTCATCATCGGGTTGTATGGCCATGAGTGACCATGCTAACCTAAAACCAATAGCCGTTTTAAATTACTCTCTTGGCTGGACACGTTCTCGGAGCCGTCTTTTCGAGCGTTCGTTTAGATCGGCTAGATGTAATCTGGGTGTAGAATACAATCAGTTTATAGACCGCTTTCTCACACTTTTCTTCTCGTTTCCGATTCGATGGAGACCCTTAAAACGAATCATCGGATTTATGCTGGCAGAGTCTTGTCCCGCATCCATGGCCCGGTTCCAAGGTAAGACGCACGGGCCACTTACACCTGGACGCTGGGGTGTTGACACCTGTAAATATTGGCGAACCCTGCACCCTCACATGAACAACAACTCTTGTCTGTAGTCATTGACCATTTTTCCTCCGTTATCTAAGCGTACATTTTTGTTGCATAGTTCGTTTGGTGATGGACTTAACAAACCGTGACCTATCTCTCACCTTTCAATTGCCCATTCCGGCCTCGGCTTCACTCACTTCAATTTGCTGAATGGACCCCATCGACGCCATTCGCCAGGGGCTGAACCCAGGCAACTTGTTCATATGCCTCGGCGTCAGCTACCTCTTAGCCAGATATCTAGCACCCTCCTGGCTTGATGCAGGAGGTTTCACCACGGGGCCCCCTCAAACACGCGTCCAAGTTATACTTACCACCGGGTTATTTTTCCTCACTCTGGCCTCCACGCTGTGGCTTAACCTGGTGGACAAATTCGTCCCTGAACCATACCTCGTGCGTCATTCCCATCTGCTCTGTCAAAACAACCGCAGCAGCTCTGACAACTTTGCAGGATGAGGTATTCCACATCCCACAAGCCCAGACATACTGTGATGGTCGCTTCTGGGACTGGGACGACAAGATCACCACGCCCCCTGGCTTGTGAGAGACGACCCGCCTCCTTCCGTTTTCCTTGGCCATCGTAACTAACTGGACATCCAGGTACTTTCTATCCGTGGCACTTCACAGACTGGGCCAATCTGAGAAATGCGATCCCCGTGCCCTCCGATCTGCCAACTCCCTCGCGGCTGTGCTCATCGCTGTGGTAGCGGCGCAATGCAAACACCTAGTTGAGGTCCGGGCCGCGGAACGCCAAGGCACGAAGGTGTCCCATGGCCTCTCATTCAACGCGTTCTACACGGGGCTCAACATTGCCCTGTTCCCCGTCATCTTCTTCTTCTCGGGATTGTACTACACCGACGTCGTTTCCACGCTCACGGTGCTAGTCGCGTATCAGAATCATTTGCAGCGCGTGGGCCCGCGGCCACCGGGGCTGATCAACGATGTCTGGACGGCTTTGTTGGGCGTTATGGCACTTTTCACGCGTCAAACGAATGTCTTTTGGCTGGTTGTGTACATGGGTGGGTTAGAGACGGCGCATATTTTGCGGTCGATTGAGGCAAGTCCTTTGGTGAAGTTGCACGACCCGTCGCTGAACAGGTCAGGACCGGAAGGTAAGCTCCCCATATGTGGTTTAATTTCATGTCTGCAGCGGCTGACCATTTAGATTGGTTCCTATGCACGGTCACACTAGCGTTTGCGGCTATCGCCAACCCACTTCGTGTGGTCCGCCAAATTTGGCCACATATCACCGTCCTCGGCCTCTTCGCCGGTTTCGTCGCCTGGAATGGCGGTGTCGTGCTGGGTTAGTTTTACCACACTGTATCCCAAGTACCATGCTAACAGTCCCCCAGGAGACAAATCCAACCACATCGCCACCATCCACCTGGCGCAAATGCTTTACATCTGGCCGCTGTTTGCGTTCTTCTCAGCGCCCCTCGCTATCCCGTCGATCCTCTTCGGGCTTACTCGGCCCATTCAATACACCAAATCCCATGTCCATCTCACCTCAGCCCGCAACGCGCTGACATCCATCCCGTACCTGCTCTTAACCCTCGCCGTTTCGCTCGCGGTTGTCCAGTACAACACCATCATCCACCCCTTCACGCTAGCTGACAACCGGCACTACATGTTCTACGTCTTCCGCTACACCATACTCCGCTCTCCTGCGATCCGATTAGGTCTCATCGCAGCTTACACCGCCTCCCGTTGGCTGATGTGGGATCAGCTAGCGGGGATTTCCCACGGGCCTACCGTAACCGAAGAAGCCACTCCCTCGTCAGCGTTGACAGACGAAAAAGCACAACAACAAACCAAGTCGTCAAACCAACAACCGGATGCCGAACCAAACCCACTTCCCTGGCTGACTACCACATCCACCTCTCACGTAGCCTCTACCATCCCACCACAAACCTCCACCGCCCTCCTCTGGCTACTCACCACCTCGCTCTCACTCATCACCGCGCCCCTCGTCGAACCACGCTACTTCATCCTACCGTGGGTTTTCTACCGGCTGCTGGTACCCGCGTGGTCCATTTCTGGACCGGCTCCAACCGGAAATGGATCCGCCGCTGGGAAAGAGAGCTCATCAAGGAAAGCAGACACAAGGGCGATGGGTTCTGGTCCCCTAGCGTGGGTTCGTGGGGTAGGAGCTAAAGTTGATGTCAGGCTTGTTGTGGAGACGGCGTGGTTTGTGGGGATTAATGTGGTTACTATGTATGTGTTTTTAGCTAGGGGGTTTTATTGGAAGGGGCCGGACGGGGAGTTGTTGGATGAGGGGAGGGTGCAGAGGTTTATGTGGTAGGGATTGATTGCTATCAACCAGATTCTGGAGTCGGTGTTGCAGTCGAGTAATGGAGTTCTATGTTTGTTACATAGAAGAGAAGAATGTTTCTATATTCCCCATTTGCGCCACCACGGACAAAAGATTTAGATCACACATCAAATAAGACAAGTCGACGTGACAAATTACAGAGAACAAATATTCATTTGTGGTATGACGGTTTCTACATTTATGTGAAGCCATATCTTTTTCAGACCCATGTCCCAATCCAACCGACCCTAATCCAACCACCGAAAAACCAAGAAACCAAGTATTGTATGATGATGTATGCATATTATGCGCCAGCCCTCAACCACATCCATGGCCCCCGAACGCCAGGCCCAGAACGCCATGAACAACTACTTACCGTTGCTCTACCCAATAAAACGAAAAGCAGAGAGTTAAGAATAATAAGGAGAGCCATGATTCTCATGAACCGTCATCAGGGATAAACAAGATATCTTGTCATCCTGTTCTCCCCCGTCCATGCACGCACTCCCCATCCATGCACAGACACACACCCAAAACCCATCTCTCACAAACTCAACCGATCCAAGCTCAACCGATCCCCACTCCGTACCCTTCGCACAACCCCCAACTTAAAAAACCGCTCCTCCCCCGCCGCCGTCCGCCCCCCAATATACAACTTCTCCGTCCCCAACGCATCCCGAAACCCTTCACTACTACTATCACTCCCCCGCCTCCTTCCATGATTATCCCTTTGCTGCCCCTGCGCCTGTGGTATCGGCATCGCGCCACCCGCGCTATGGTGATGATGATGGTGATGATGATGATGATGATGGTGGTGGTGGTGTCGTGGGGAGTGCAGTGGTAGTTGGCTCATGACCCCTCCGGAGCGGGGCTGTGGGGAGGTTGCTTGGGAGGCGGCGGTCGCTGCTGCTGTGGAGGGGGAGGAGGAGGAGATGGCGCGCGGGGTGGAGGCGGAGACTTGTTGGGCGACAACGACGGAGGAGGCTTGGGTGGTGTGTTTGTTGGGTTGTTGCGCGCTGGAGAGAGAGGCTGGGGTTGGTTGGCGGAAGGCGGCGAAGAAGGTGGAGAGGAAGAAGGGGCGTTGGGTTGACATTATGGTGTTGTTGGTTTGTGGGTTTGTGGTTATCGAGGGAGGGGGGCTCTTCTCCAAGAGTTGGTTGCCGTTACGGCGGATGCGCGTGAGTGATGATAATATCAGCCGGGGTCGTGGTGGTGTCTTGTGTGTCCCTCTACGGACGCAAGATCGAAAGCGTTTGATTGTCGAGGGGAAGAGATGGGCGTTGTTTAATCTCGGGACCAGCCGTTGAACGCCCAACGTCCCGAGACAACAGGGTCCAGAGTTTTCTGCAACCCTAAGCAATCTCGATTGGTCCTCCCCACAAAATCCCTTGAGCTGTCGTGGCAATGACCAGACCCGCTTCGGGTCTCTTTTTTTTTTTTTTTCTCCTCCTCTCCTATCGCGGCTGTTGGAAACGGTTGGTGGCGGGGGATTGTCGGAAAACCGGCGCCGGCTTGGTCGCTTTGCGCGCGTATGGAAAAATGGTCGGTCGTCAAATCGTCGGCCTCGGATACATCGAAGGTGGAATCCGGGGTGCAGATTGCCTGTGGTCGGGCACGCGCTGGCTGACCGGCTGTTGCTGCTCGGGGCAACGGGACGGTCTGACGTCGAAGAAATCGCACCCTCGTGGAGGGGCTCGGCCAATCCCGGGAGCGCATCGGCCAATGAACGGCTGCGGCTGTCGCGCACCGGACCGGCAGGGGGCCCACCCCGGGTCATGCAATTGCCCCGCTTCTGATTCGTTGCGGGGTATGATGCATTTTGTGGGGGTCTGGGATCGCGCTGCTGTATGTCTCGCCTCGACGTTTGACTTCCAACAGATGTCTGCACATACTCTAGAAAGTTTCAAACGTGTCTATGCTTTTCGTGAAGAAATAACGAAGAAAGAGCAATGGACACGTTACCGTCTTGCCGCCCACCGATCACGTCAATTGGAAGGCTGCACGACCGTTCTAGCTCAAGATTTTACCCACATCCTGAACAACTGGCAGTCGAGGCCCGAGCCCGATGATGTCTATTTTTGCGCTTTCTCACAAAGGAACCCTTAAGGGTTTTGTGAAGACGCCGGGCGCCACGGACTTGATCCAAAATAGAGTTTGCAATGGTGTTTAGAGCTTGTAATTACCTGTACCGTGTTGGCCCAGATATCAATGAATATCCCAGCAAGACCGAAGTAACATTAATCCCTTCTTGTCCCACAAACTAATTGGGCTGTTGAATCACCGTCGGCGCTCAAATCTGCCCAGACAGCATTTCCTAGAGGGAAAAAGTTGAGACCGGTGTTTTAATAACAAACGAGTACGCTAGCGTAAAGGGAAATAAAATAAGTAAAACAAGAAGCTTGGTAAAATGTAGTTAATAATATGACTGAAGCAGTAAGACCTCTATGATCTGCTATATTTCCACTCCCCGTTACCAGGATTGTATTCCAACACATAAATCGCCTCAACCGCCGAATTCCCCTCTTCAACGACATGAGTAATCCCCAAGTTCGGCTCCCCATAATGCCCCATGAACTCCAACTCCAACTGAACCTCCAACGCGCCCTCCGCAGCATCTCCTCGCAGGTCAAACGCAAACGGCTCCGCCTTCAACACCCGCCTACTACCCGCCAACTTAACCGTCCTCAAAAACGACATCGGCGTCCCATCCACATCGACCCCAGCCACAACCAGCTTACGACCCCTCCCCCGTCCCTGCCCAGCCGTCGCCTCAACAAACACTGCCAACCTCCGCCGTAAGATAAACTCCGGAATCTCCATCTCCAATTCCCTCATCACCCGCACCATCAAATCATCCGTCTTCGCATGAACCCTCAACCCGGACATCTCATCCAGCGGCGTCTCTTGCAAATTACAGATCGCCAAAGTCGGCCCCGTCGTACTCCCACTCCCACCCTCAACCTCACCTTTCCCCCCTTTCCTCACTCCCTTACCGCGACTCCGATTCACCCTCCCCGCCCGTCTCCCCACAGCCTCAGGAATCTCATTCGCCGGCGTCACCGTCAGCGACGAGCCGAGCACAAGACACAGATCCGCGCGGTCAGCGTGGCCACGGGCTAAGGAAAGATCGCGCTCAGGCAGCGACTCGGTGAAGTTGATGATGGTGTCGTGTAAGGGACCGCCGCAGTTGGGGCGGGCGCAGCGCCGGCCGGTGCGGTGGTCGAGAATGGAGGAGGTGTTGTCTGCTACGGCGCGGAAGTCTGGGGTATGTTAGTTGGGGGGTGGGTGGTGGGGTGGTGAGTGAGTGGGGAGTTGGCGTATTTACCGCGGAGGTATTCTTTGCCGCAGTCTTTGCAGATTTCGCGGTTGTTGTTGCCGTGGAGTTCGGAGATTTTGTCCTATTTGGCATCAGCTCAACAAACCGCTACAAAATACAAAGAAAGAATGTAGGATAAAAGCTCACCGGAAGTATCCCACTCCTCCGATGCAACCCATCACAATTCTGACTAACCACATACTTCAACAACCCACCATCCTGCAGCGCCACCAGCGCCATATGTGTCGCAGTAGGGATGGCCTGGAGGGAACTCGTCGCCGCCGTCGTCCGCTGTCTGCCCTGCGCCTGCAGTGTCCATGCGCCCTCGGGTCCGCGGAAATCGGGGATGCCCGCTGATGTAGAGATGCCTGCTCCTGTAAACACGATGAAGTGCTTGCTCTGTCGGATGAGGTTCGCGAGCTGGCGCGCTTTGTCGTCAAGGTCGTTGGGGGCTTCGGTCAGCTCGGGGAGGGCAACTTTGCCTGTGGTCCAGGCCATTTTGGTTTGTTCTTGTGTGGTCTCTAAGGCCTGCAGTGGATAATGTATGTTAAGGAAAATTAAGGCGCGATGGCTTTAATGAGGATGTTTGTTGTTGTTTGTTTGGAATGTAACAATGTGGGGGGCAACCGACGGTTGGTGTCAGCCGGGATTGAAGGCGAGAATGACGGGAAAAAAATGTCTATTCCGGATAGGGCCTGGGATTTCCGAATTAGGGCATAAGCTCCTCATACATCACCTGCAGTGGACATGTGCTCTCATTGTAGGCAAGGGAAAGCCTTGGCGCCAGTATCACGTAGTTCAGAGTCTAGGTATGAACTGCAACCTGACGAGGTTAGTAAGACGGGAAAAAGGGAAGAATCGAGAGAAATGGTGGGCATGATTGGGTGATTATATTCATGGTTTGCAAGTTGTTGAAAAGAATCAATCTAGAAGAGATTTCCAGCAACAACATTGACTTTGTCAACGGTTCCATTTTGCGGAGTAAAATTATGCTCGCCAACAGAAGATGACAGATTAATTCAACGAGTTTGACTCATATTTATAATAATTTAGCGTGCCTTACAGTCTACAATACAGGCATTCATTCAAACGACCCGCACCAAACCATAGTTGTGAGCCAAGGACATACAAGTCCACACTGGGATTAGGAACCCTAGCAATTATTTCAATACCCAACAGAATTCTGGCATGGATACTAGCCCAGAACAACCATTCCTGATCGTCACCACGCATTCCGTTAAGCTGGGTGTAGTGACCACAGGACATCCTGAATCAACTGGCACGAATGCCGAGAAAAGTCCGAACCGGTGCATGACTTCTCTCCCAATGCCCACACCTTCCAGGTTGAATGAACAACGAACCTTTTCGCTTGAGTGAATTCCCAACGAAGTGAAGTAGAAGCAATTATAGATGGTACTGTACGGTTGTTATGGTGGAGTAATTAAATATTTCATACTAGCTTGCTCAACTAACAGCGTATTCTTTTTCGTGTACACGGGTAATTACTACCACTTAACGTATTCCCACATCCATCTTTCGCTGTTTCCAGCAGAGAACGGCCCGTCCTCTTTTTCTGAAAGTTGACCATTTCAGTGTTCTTATTGATTTTTTCACATAATTAATTAATCATACCAAAGTAGGTATCTATTCTTCCGAGGGTATCTCTAATCAAACTCCACTGCTTTGCTATGACGTCAACTCCAATAAAATGCCATCCATGGTTCGACAAAATATCATGCATTCCGAATTCCCGAACCCCGACCATTCACCAAACGCCAGAGTAATATCAATTTATACCCCCTCTCCTCCTGACTTCCACCAACTCAAACCACACTAAATATCACCCATCCAACCCCCATGAATCCCCTCTTCAAATCTTCCCGCGCACTAGTATCGCGATCCCTCCGATTCCATCCCGGGACTCCCAACAGCAAAATGTCCTACCACCACCAACCCTCCATCACAACCCCGCTCACAGGCTCCGCCACCTTCCTCGTCCTCGCCCACCAACCCTCCTCCCCCCTCGACCGCATCCGCAAAACCCTAGCCGACATCGACGGCCTCGCCAAAAACATCGCCATCCGCGACATCCGCTCCGACTTTGCCTGCACCGTGGGCATCGGCGCCGACATCTGGGACCGTCTCACCACCACCACCAACCCCACCACGGGGCAAACCAGCAGCATCTGCCGACGCCCACCCGAACTCAAACCCCTCCCCGTCCTGCGCGGCGCAGTCCACGCGACGGTCTCGACACCGGGGGATTTACTCTTCCATATTCGGTCTCACAGGCGGGATCTGTGTTTTGAGTTTGAGAGGCAACTGTTGAAAGCCCTGGGGGATTCGGTGCGTGTCGTGGATGCTACGGTGGGGTTCCGGTATTTTGATGCGCGCGATCTGTTGGGGTTTGTGGATGGCACGGCGAATCCGGTTGGGGAGCGGGCGGTGGTGAATGCGGCTGTGCTTGGGGAGGGGGATGTTGATGGATTGGATGGAGAAATTGAAGGGGGTATTGGGGGAGGGTATGTGGTTGTTCAGAAGTATTTGCACAATTTGGATGCGTGGAATGCGCTTTCAACGGAGGAGCAGGAGGGGATTATTGGAAGGACGAAGTTTGATAATGTGGAGTTGGATGATGCGGAGGAGGGGCAAAGGTCGCATAAGACGTTGACGACGATTGAGGATGAGGAGGGGAATGAGCATGAGATTGTAAGGGATAACATGCCGTTTGGGTCGCCTGCGGGGGGAGAGTATGGGACGTATTTTATTGGGTATTCGAAGAGGCTATGGGTCATTGAGCGCATGTTGGAGCGCATGTTTGTGGGGTTTCCCGAGGGGAAGCATGATCGGATCTTGGACTTTTCGACGCCGGTGACGGGGACCACGTTTTTTGTGCCGCCTGTGGAAACGCTTCAGGGGTTGGGAGGGTGATTTGTGGCTGTGGTAAGAAGCGGTGAATGGAGAATGGGTAACAAAATAATGATGCGAAATACGATGGAGTTAATCCCGCGGATTGATCGTTCTTGAACTTGACTGGACCAGCCGGCCGGTATCTCCGTTCAACTCGGCCCAGATCAGATTCCCCTGCGACCTCTGATTACCCCTGAGCCCCATCCAGAAGACTAAACTTAACGCCAAGCTACCGGGCATGTAACGTTGATGACACGCTATGCGGTATGGGGCTGTTCAGTCTGAACGCTTTCACGAAGCAAGGTGCTAGGAAAATGGGAGCCGACGGCGCGAGCCGAGCCATAGCCAAGAGCATAAGTTGGGCCTCTTTTTGTTAACCCGGAAAACCGGCATCTGATTCGAGCCGCCTAAGTTTTAATACGAGTCCAACCTGAGGTTTAGCTTTCTACTTCCCTGTGAGGTAATATATTTCTTCACTCCAGCCTCACGGCGCCATCTAAGGTTTGTGGAGATGCGCTGGGGCCCCGTTCTTCCGCTTACCGGGACTGAAAACGTGGTGTTTTACCGATTTAAGAAGGTTGACTACACAGGAAACAACAAGGCTTTTCACAACCATTTTGAGATCTTCCACAGGGATACGACACGAGAAAAGCCTAATATGAAGGCAAAAGCTGTCTTGGCAACGTGGGATCTATTAGGTCATCGAGCGTTTCTGTGTGGGATCGGTCGACGTTGATACACAGGCAATGGTCGTGAGGAGTCAACGCCAAGCGGTGGTGACTTGTGAGCTTATACGCGGACTCGGGCACTCGAGCTTTCCGAGAGAAGTTGATATCGGGATCTTGATGTGCGATATTTGGTCGATTTCTATGTGAGATGAAGAGAGGAAAGGCGAGGGGAGCCGGGTGTTCACGGGTATAGAGAGCCCACAATTCCTCACCTCTGTCCTCGATCACAACATCACCAGCACTCAGCTTCCAGGCTCAGTCAATAGCACCAGCACACCCAGCACTCTAGTGAGTTGTTTCCCCTTTTCCCTTCTTTGCCTAACCCCCCAAAATATAACCCTCACCCCCAGAACCCACCACCAACATGAAATTCACCCTCACCGCCCTCATCACCGCCCTCCTGGCCTCGCAGGCCCACGCCTCCGTCACCTACTGGTGCACGGGCAACGGCAAGTGCAACAACGCTCCTGGTGTCGGCCCGACCTACAACTGTGGCAAGAAGCTAGGCCTCGGCGACTACGACGCTAGCCGCAAGCGCTGGAAGACGGGACGCGACGCCGTCAACCAGTCCAAGTTCTAGGGCAGCGGTAGCTTTTGGGACTGCTGCCATGAGAAGGGCAAGGGGGCGTGTTACGATGTTAAGAACACCTAAGTGGGGAATGTGGGAGTAATAGCGGCTTGGTGGAAATGGCTAGGCGGGCCGGAGAGAGAGGATTGTTCGGTGAAGATATGAGCGACGGGTTATTAGAAACTGAATATTCAAGAAAACTTTGTACCTGTTTCCTTGCTATAGGCGATTGACCGAAGAAAATTAACCAGGCTGAACTTGACAAACTTGAAATCCTTGAGTGATGGGGTGAGATACAGAAGACAGGCCTTTTGAGACCCTTGTTTCTGTCCTGTTCAAACTCCGTGTAGTTATTTCAGGCTTTTCTGCTGGGTCATATCTCAACGCTAAAGGTGTGGTTTGTTCTACCTACCCAGGGCCGTTCTGGACCGAAAGTTAGGCGTCGTTTTAACCAGGAGACTGTCCCTGAAAGAGTCCAGCACACCGTCCGGCCAAATTCTGAACCATAATAACCCTCAATGCGATCTCATTGTATGTATATATCTCATAATTGACTCAAAAAGGAGATATTAGACGAGTAAATGCCCGGGGTTGCAAGTATCTATTTCCCCAAAGTAGAATTTAACGTGGTAATTAGTAGCTGATTTGCTTCGGGATCTCACTTGTAATTAACTTTTGAGATCCCTCGACTTTAAATTTACGGACAGCCGAGATATGGCAGCGGGGCAGGCGATAACCGCACGAAGATGATGATAAATGCTCATTCGAAAAACCCAAGTGGTATTATTTAGTTGGAAGTGAACCCGAATTGGTCCAACAGTGCGGAACTTCGCCAAGTCTCCTTACCTGGCAAGATGAATACCTAGGTATGTGGAAGTTTTGGGGAATGTATTTTAGATCTGACGAGCCAAGACATCAAGGAACGCGCGGGTTCCGCCGCTGCGGCTGCCAAGACTCGACTTACACGCATTTGCGGCGATGAGACGACGTCAGCCTCGCGGATAGCTGTTGTCGCCGGCCGGGGTTTTTAACTCCTACCCCCGGCCCGGACCGCATGCTTCACGGATCCCGAAACAACATTCGATAGCTTGGAGGGATATGCAAGGAACAAAACATATAAATGACCCAACGGACTTGTGTTTTACTCATTCCCTCATTACTCACCACAAAACAACACCAGATCAGAACACAACACACCAAACCTAACACCATATCCAAAACCAACACCAAAAAAACCCACAACCTCACCAAATCTCATTTCAACCATCACCATGCCCAAACCAACTCCCACAACCATCCCCCAAAACCCCCTCTCCCAATCCTTAACCACCCCCCCACCCCCTTCAGCAGGCCGCATCTTCCTGCACTCCCAATTCTGCACCAAACCCCAACGCCTGTCCCTCACCCCCTCCACCACCCTCACCAACCAAACGGCCCTCATCACCGGCGGCAACGCCGGCCTCGGCTACCACGCCGCTCGCCACTTGCTCTCCCTCAATCTCTCCCGTCTCATCCTCGCTGTTCGCTCCCCTGCTAAGGGCGAGGAGGCGGCACGGGTGTTGAGGAGGGATTTTCCGAGGGCGAGGGTGGAGGTTTGGGAGTTGGAGATGGGTGGGTATGAATCGGTGATGGGGTTTGTGGAGAGGGTGAAGGGGGAGTTTGGGAATGGGAATGGGAATGGGAAGGGAGATGGGGAGGATGCAAAGGGGGAGAAGAAGAAGAGGTTGGATATGGTGATTTTGAACGCGGGGATGATGGGGGCAGAATTTATGAAGGACAAACAGACGGGTCATTGTCAGGTGGTGCAGGTGAATTATTTGTCGACGTTTTTGTTGGCGATTTTGTTGTTGCCTATCCTGCGGACGACGAACACCAGCACGACCGGTCAGCAACAGAACCGGAAGCCAGGGAGGTTGACGATCGTCAGTTCAGGCGGTGTCTTCGCAGGCGCTAAACTCCCCAACCGCGGCGAACGACCCTTCCTCGCATCCTTCGACACGCCCCCTTCCCCAACGCAACCATTCGACGTTCAGGAACGGTACTTCGGCAGCAAAGCGCTCGGGCATCTGTTCTTCGTACGGCTGCTCCCGTATCTCCCGCCGGCTAGCGAGGTGATCGTGAATTTAGTGGATCCGGGGTTTTGCAAGGGGACGCAGTTGCATCGCGAGGCGGAAGGGTTTGCGAGCGCAATGTGGGCGGTCGGGAAGGCGGTTACGGGCCGGTCGTTGGAGGATGGGGCGTGGACGTATGTGGATGCGGTGGTTGCGAAGGGGGAAGAGTCGCATGGGTGCTTTTTGATGGATTGGAAGATTTTTGGGTGAGTTTTTCTTTTTGTCTTCAATACTGAGTGCTTGGGTGCTGGGGACTAACAAGACTAGGTTTTACTACGCGGTGTATGAGCCGGAGGGAGAAGAGTTGATGGATGTCTTGTTTGAGGAGACCATGGCCGAGTTGGAGTTTGCGGGTATCAGGGGTATTTTGGAGGGGTTGAAGCAGAAATAAGAGTTGTTGATACCAATGTATCGAGGTGATGGGATAGCCTGGATACCTACTTGAGTAATTAATTTAGAAGGATAAAGGGGAATACATGTCACGGTTTCATTGTGGAGCACATTGCGAATGAATTGACTGACTAACAGTCCCTTGGGTATATTAACTAACACATCAACTCCTCAAACACCATCCCCCTCCTATCGAACCCCCATCCCTTCACTTTGCACCCCCTACTCCGCAACAGGACACAAATCATAGTTCCCGTCCGCATTGTTCCCCCACCAAGTCGGGAACGGCACAGACGGTCCACCGGCGCCAAACACGGCAAACGACAAGATAAACAGCGCCAGCAGACTGGCGCCATCAAACGCGCCGGTGATGAGGTACGAGTAATCGCGGAAAATGCGCGGCTTCTTGTTGCGCAGGTACATCTGCACGTAGAACCCGGCAATCACCTGGCTCAGCAGCACACACGTCTGCGACTGGTTGTAGGGGATGTAGCCCGCGTACTGCAGGAACTGCGGCATGTTGATGTCGTAGAGCGAGAAGTTGCGGATGCGGGGGAGGAACTGGGGGGCGTTATGTTAGAAAATGGGTTCCCAATATGCATAGGTAATTGAGAAAAGGGGCACGTACGTGAGCAACAATGCGATGCACAATGACAATACCAAAGCCAATACCCAGGCCAATTGGTACCAGCTCGTAAAGCCCGCCCGCCTTGTAGAGGTACTTGGCCAGCGCCCACGACGTGGCATTGGTGTTGTACGACTGTATGGTGGCGCCTGACCAGGAGGCGTTGCCATTGCCGTCGGTGAGCAGCTCGCGGTTGCCGCCAACGATCGAGATCATGACCGCATAGCTGAGGAAGCCGCCGAGAATGGTGCCGTACACCTGCGTCAGGAACATGATACGAGGGGGGATTTTGACTGCAGATGTTAGTTATGGTCGTCCATAATTCATCTTGCATGGTTAAAGGGAAGTAAGATAGGGTTAGGGTTGAAAGTGGAAATGCGGGCAAACCTACGGTATTCGCCCATCTTGAGGTCGTTGGACAGGGTGACGGCGTTGCTGATGACGTTGTGCGACCAGGCCGCAAAGTACATGTTGCCGACGGGGCGCTCAGGGAGAATCAGACCGGCCAACATCTTGGACAAGTTGTTGGTAGCAATGCCGTTGCCGTATCGAGAGTATAGAATCGTGCTCTGCCCTGCTGTCAGCATGTTCTCACGTTGCTTTCTCTTTAGATATAGGCACGATGACGTACCAGCGGCGCGATGATGATGCCCAAGATCAGAGAGACCACATACGCCCAGGCAGGCAAGGTGATATTCTGAGTAGTCACCACCACCAGACCGAGAACGAAGCTGAGAACGAGCACACTGATGTACCACCACGACGGAACCTCCCTGTAGTGCTTGACCATGTGCGCGTGGTGCCGGTCATCGTGGCGACCCTCCTTCGCACTTGTGTACGCGCGCTTGATGTCGCCGCCCCAGAAGAAAATGCAGTGCGCAACGAGGGCGCCGATCTAATTCATAACGTCAGAGACTGGTCTTGTCTTATAAGCGTAATGAAAGCTAAAGCAAGTAAATGGACTTACAGCAGCGTTGGCCATGAACATGGCGTAGGCAAAGGACCCCGACAGCCGCGGGATGCCGTACTGCTGCAAGGCATCCTGATCGAGCACACCGCCACTAAAGACCTTGGTGATGGGGTACTTGCCGCCGTCTTGAGAGCGTAGCTGAGTCGACATGAACGGCTGCGACTTCGCTTCCCATGCGTTGTTGTAGTAGATGCCAAGCATTGCCGCAAAGCAAACGATAAAGCCGATGGCCGCGTGCGCCTGGAGGGCAAGCGGGAGCGATGTTTGGAACGAGGTGATCTATCCCGTTCATTAGCCCTTGCTTCTTTAGGTCGATGTTTTTGTTCAGACTCACGTATTGCCAGTCAAACGACAGACTAAACCAACCCAAACCCTCATTGTTGATTGAGCCACCAAACAAGTTGGTCAAGATCGCGGCCTTCTCCCCGGTGGCATGCATCGCAGCAAGACACGGAATCGACACGGCATTCAGCCACGGCCAAATATACGCCGGGAAGAACTCGTAAAAGAACATGCCGACAAAGCTGTACCAGAACCACCGCAGCGGCTTCGAGTTCTTCACTTCCTGCCAGTGTAGACCCTGCAGCGTCTTGACCGTGGGCAGCGTGCTCCAGTACACGGCGTCCACGTGCCACACGGCAATGGGCCGCATGATGCCGCAGATGCCATACCCGAAAAGACCAATCGAAATGACGGACAGGATGACGGTCGCCGCGCTGATGGGGAGGTCGTAGAAGAGGTCCTGTGCGGCGAACACCTGGATGCTGACGGCAGCGTTGGATGCCGAGGTGGCCGTGATCGAGCAGACGGCGTGTTCCTTCAGGTTCCAGGGCCCCGGGTTGATGAAGTTGGCGATGGTGAGGTAAAAGGGGAGTTTGCCTGTACCATTGCGCTCGCGCCAGCGCGCCGTGAGCTTATCACCGCGCGGAAGGAACGCGGCCCAGCCTTTACCGATGAAGTACGCAATCATCACGATGAAGGTGCCCTGGATCGTGATCATAGTCGGTTTGTACTAATCGATAATAAAGAGCATGTCAGCTAATGACACACTCAACCCTAACCCTGCGATTCCCTTCATACCGTGAGTAGGTAGTAAGAGTAGAACTCACCGTGTAAATCTGATACATCACAGCCTGAAACGCCGACAAAATCGTCGCCAGGACAACACCACGGAACGTCAGCGCTGGCTCGCCGTCATCTCGCAGCGGCAGCAAGTGCTGCGCGGCGTCCTGCCCCGTGATGATGATCACATCGTCGCTGTCGGCGTCACCCTTGACTTTGCCGTTCTCGGTGTCGTACACCGGCGGTACGGCCTCGATGGTGGGTGACTCGGCACCCGCTGCCGCGGCCTTCTTCTCGTCGTCGGTGCTGTGAGCGTCCGAGGTGGCCGTGTGGTTGGTGTCGGCGGTTTCTTGCTGGGCGATGCCGAGGATGTCTTGGTTGTCGGCCCCTGTGGTGATGGGCCGGGGCACCTCGAGGATGGTGCCCTTTTCGGCCGGGAAGCCAGTCATCTTGGTCTGTTTGGTTGTTGTTGACCCTACTGATAAAAGTCGCGAGGGTGGCAGATGAATGCCAAGAGATATTGGAGGCAGCCCCCAAGTGAGTGGTGAGACACACTCTGGTGGGAGAGAAAAAAGAAACCGAGGACCTGGGTCAATCTGCAACGGTTCCGTCCCAGTGGCGAGCTGGGAAGGGGTCGATCATATATCCGTCAGGCCCTCTATCTATGAGGACTTGCATCGCGTGTGTGCATCGGTGGACCGGTCCGCGGCAGCAGCACGGACAGTGAGAGACATGCAGTGCTACAACTGGTAATAGTGAAACATCAAACACGCGGACCTTGTTGCGTCCGTTCTAGCCCGCCCCTGGCTGCTATTTTTTTGCCCTTCTGGTTGCAGTTCTTCCTGCTCTCCTCCCTTCCTCGGCCGTTCTTTTCGCATTCTCGCGTCCAGCCCCCGGCCTGTTCGCCCAAAAAAGTGCCCAAAATCCTCCAATTTTCCCACACTCCCCGGCGCAAACGATGGTGCAATCCGGTCATGAACTTGTACTACTACAATGCTCCCACTGCGATTCGCGAGTTGGGCGATTGCAACGGGGCCAAGGCCTTTTTTGATGGAAGACGACCTTCCTAATCAGGCATGTGCTTTTTCAACGGGACGCCAACCGGCACACCCTTGGCTTTTTGCCGAGTCGATATCCTGGGCGTGCGCATCTCGGCCCTGAAGCGGGGGGACAATTGGCGTCACGAACGTTAATTCGGCGGTCGTTGTGGTTGGTGGGTTCGTTTGCCGTCAAACAAGCTTTGAGCTTGGCTTTCCGCTTCCCGCGAGGTCAGGTCCCCTGGGTTCCGCGCTGTTCTTCAGCGCTATCTCAGTAATCTCAGGTCTCCCCTCCACTGCGGGAGCAAAGGGTCATCCATGGAAAGTGCAACCAGCAAACAAATAAACTCCACCGAGCCGAACCCCCCCTCTCTTCACAACCTGCCGCTGTGTCTCCCACTCACCTGCATCCAGCGAAAGGGAAGGAACCAACCCCAAATCGCTAGAAAATCGTCGCTGGTTGGCTGGTCGTGCCAATGCGGCGCAAATGCATCTTCCCCAATTTCGAACCCGTGATGGTCCGTTACCATCCGTGGCAAAAGCGGCGGCTAATTATTATGGCGGCCATTTCAAGCTTCCCAAAAAGGGGCATGAGGACGAGGAAGCGAGCGGACACCTGAAAGACGGGGTCAAAAAAGAGACGATAGGACAGCGGGGAAGCATTGTTTGTCCGGCCCATGCCCACACGCACCGGAAACTCTTGTCCCGGCCTTGGGGATCGAATTGTAGGTCTTTCTCTGATATGTCGTTATCTTGCCTGTCCATTTCTCATTTTCCGTCTCCGAGGTCGATTCCTGTGTTTTCGCCTCCCTCCTCTCTCGAAGCTGTCGGTTCTCCTTCTCTCGCATTCGAGCCGAACTCCATCCCCCTGTGGATTCCCAAACTGGCCTCCTCCCACCTCTATGTGATACGAGGTCCCCGTACCGCCCGACCCCCGCGCCGGGCTTTTTTGCTCAATATTTCAGAAGGGGTGGGCGGGCGTGCTATGGCGTTATTCCCATGTGGCCCAGGGGCCGATGTCCGCATTCTTTTTTGTCTTTTTCTCCCCGATCACGATCACAGGCGGACACCGGGTAGTTTTCCCCAGGGGCGTTAACCAACCAAGTGCTTGCTTGCTGTCTTTGGCTTTCCCACCTTCCCCGTCTCCAAATTCGGGACCGTTGAGCCGGCGTCGTGCAACAAGTCCAGCGCAATCGCGAGAAACACGCAGGAAGGAGTTACTCGCCTCCCTGTTTGGGATCGTCTTTGCCCAGCTATTTATTGCCTCCCGCCCAACGTCAGGTGGCCAGGCGATTGAGCAGTTTGGCAGTCGCAAACCAACACCGCACTGATATGATCGCCCGCATTGTCGATTCCCCCCCTCGTCCCGTCCCGTTGGTTCCGTTGGTTCTGGTCAACTCGGCTCTGTTCGCCTCGCGGGCGGCAAATAAACGATCACACTCCATTTTCATTGTTTCTCCGTCGTCCCCCTCCATTCCATCCATCCCATCATTCCTTCATCCTTCCCCTTTCGACTTGCTTCGGCCCCCGCCGTCCCCGCTGTCAAAATGGCGTGCTGCGTGCCATTGCAGGAGGACGCTATTTCTGGATCCCACGGGGGATTTCGAGCGGGGGTTCTTTTCTTCGGTTGTCCTGGGCTGGGCTCGTGGCTGGAATGGGACCATACCATGTGAATCCAGTCGTCTTTGCGAACCCATTTCGAGCTTGGGTGCTGCATTCTGGAAATCCTGACCCGCTCACAACCCACAAGCTTCCTCCCATTCTAACACCAAACGGGGAGCTCCAACAACAAACACAAGTTCCCCATCCATGTTTTCCATTGCGTCTTTTTCAGTAGTTGGTTGAAAAAAGGACTCCATTCCGCGAAGTCGGTCTTCTTTTCGGCCCGCTTACATCCACTTCCTCCTCACCGTCACCAACAACTCGCACAGCACATCGCATGCCGCCTATTATTGCCGTCTGATAAACTCGGCTGCACATCCAAGTCGGGGTTGGCGTCGTTGCTTGTCTGCTGTGTGCAGCGCAACAAGTAAGATGACCGGATGGGGCAGGTAGGTAACGACCGATTCAATGGCGAGTTAGCCACCCGAGTAACCCAGCCTTTTTGTGTCCGTCCACTGTCCATGCCGTCGGGTGGCAACCGTGATCCCACATCGATCACAGCCTGGACTTGGCCGGGCTGGCGTTGGACTGCTGCTGGCGTTGGGCTGATGGTCACTCGCTTGTTTTCTTCTTTACCGAGTAAGAAGCCATCGCCCCCAAACTGGAAGGAAGCTTGTCCCGTGGGTGTTGACCCCATCCTGCGCGCTGTTGCGACTCTCCGCTTTTCTGTCATGTGCTGGGGTGGGATCGAAAATCCCAGATCCTGCTCGCTGGTGTTTGCGTGCAGTGTTAATTACTGGGAACTGCGGTCTTTGTGTGGTTTAGTGGGAATGCGGATGCTGGACGGTGGGCGGTGGTCAGTGGGGGTAAACCTGTGTTCCGGACCCGTTTCGATGCTGCTCGATTCTTAGGCTTCGTGTGATACCTCAGTACCCTTCCCTAAGCTCGCTCTCTTTCCACGATGTTGTTGGTGTTGTTCGTTTCGCAACGAAACTCACCAAAGGCGTGCCCATACCTGGAACAGAATCCGAGCCAGCCGAGGTGGTTACTGTCCCAGTTCGAGTCCAGACCTCGGAGCCAGGTAAGCCAGTCCAGCGAAGGGCGAAAGTCCGATAGTGTGCAGCAAGGACGTTTTGTTTTGTGCGGTCACATTCCCATTCAGCTCAGCAGCTGTAAGCAGAACAGCTCGCAGGATGGTCGCCAGGTGCGGTGTTCGCGTACCACAACCAGATCAAGCAACCAACAGCCCGTCCGACGTCTGTTGCTGCAACCGAGGTATAGCGCAGGTTGGGCAGCACCGCACGTGGGGGGCAGTTTCGGGAATTCATGACTGGGCGAGATCCGTCTGACGATGAAGGTCTATTGAGTAAGATCTGTCTGGGAAGGTGTAATGTTGGATAGATTGGTTGGGTAAGATAATTACCTAGGTACGGGCAGGTAGTTTTCCGTTGGCCTGACATGTTCAGCGCGGGCGTGATAAATCGACGAGGTGATTCTTTAGAGGTCTGTAACTGATGGTAAGCGAGGCGTGTTTTGTGTACACAGTAGAACCAGGTTGCTGCAATTTCGTGAGATTGGACTGGTGGAGAGGTTCGCATTTTGCAAGTTCGATGCTTCCAACATTGTGCCCCAAAAGCCTCCAAAGTAAGAATCCAATCGCCGGGATTGGAATTCAATTTGCGATGTAATAATCAAGATGAAGGGCGAAGGGGCCTGCCCTCTGTCTGGTTGTTCTCTTGTGATTTGTGATATTGATTTCATCATTTCTCGACACAAGAACACGGCGGAAAAAATGAAGATACCTACCTTTGCTCAAACATGCAAAGTTGCTCAAACATTTGAAATTTACCCCTCCTTGCGAGATAATTAAGTCAAAATATACAGCTTGGCAAAACACCAAAAGCCCCAACACGCCTTCTAATTGACAGGTACATACAAACCCAACTGAAACCTCGACCAATCCCTTCTCATCTTTCCAAATCTCACAAGCCTCCACATGCCACTCTTGGCCGACCCCGTCTTGGCACCGGAACACGCGACCCGGAACCGAATCCGGGCTCGGGCCGGCCGGCTACCCATCAGCCCGTCAGCCCATACCATAGTAAGCCCATCAGCACTCGGGCCAATTCTCCCCGACGACGCGTTCGCGCGTGGCCCTTCCCAGCCCGCCATGCCAAAATTCTGCATCATCGTAACCCTCATATTTCCTGCTTTTGGCAAACACGAGATCTCAATCACCTCATAACCCCTTCTCCTGACGAAAGTGCTGCTTACATAACGTCACAATAACAACACCCCCTTTAAACCCTTAATTAATTCTTGAATCCAGAAAATGAAGTCCTCCCATCTCCTCACCTTCCTCGCCACCAGCAGCGTAGCAAGCGCAGCATGGCAGAAACTCATGCCTGGCCTGGCTGTGGAGGAGTTATTCGCTCGACAATGGGATGACGCGGGTTGTTCGAGCTCAAGCACGTGTGCGCAGTGTTTTGGTCAGGGTAACATCATCTGTGATAAGATTGGATGTTTTAACCCGGATCAGCATGAGCAGTGCTGTGCTGGCGCTGGTGCGTCTCTGTCTCTTAACCTACCTTACTTAATTACCGCGTGAGAAAAGGGTGGAATTCAAGGAATTTTTCAAAGTGTAATGAAGGGATGACTAACACATGATGGATTCTGTACCCTCAAAACAGCCATCTGCGTAGGAAAAACCAACACCTGCTGCAGCGCCCTTGGCGGCCCGGGCGTAACCGGCACCGCCGGCCGGCCCAGCGCCGCACCGGATACAGCACTGCCCGCACCGACGTCCACTTCAACACAAGACTCCTCCTGGACTTGCACGCGGCAGGACTCTGGCGAGGCCTGTTGCCAGCGAGCGCCTGTGGTACCGCTGCACTGGTGCTCGGGGGACTTCCCGGCGCAGAAGTGCTATAATGCGAAGAATCAGTTTTGTTGTACTGATGGGACGGTTTGTGATGAGGAGGGGTGTTGTACGCTGTTTGTGGGTTCTCCCTTTCCCTCTCACTCTCCCCCGTTATTTGTTTTTTTTCTAGTTATTGGTTTTATGGGGGCTAACGTGACAACAGAACGCATCAACGACAAACCCTTGGGTTAAGGGTTCAAGCACCATTACACACGCCCCAACGGCGTCAACTGTAGGTGGTGGTATATCAACGACGGGAGTGACGGAGACGACGACGACTGCCACGAAGACGGGAGCTGCGGTGGTTGGGGCTACGCCGGGGCTGTTGGCTGTGGGTGTAGCTGCGTTGGGGCAGATGTTGCTTTGAGGCTGGTTAGGACGGAGAATGGTAATGGTCATGTATGATATGTGATGAGATGGGTGACAGATCAACAGAGCCAGGGCTGGGCGGGTATCACAAACGAATAACAAAGCCACCTAACTCCTACCAAACCGCACCCCCAGGCTTATCATCCCCCTTCGGCACCAACTCGATCGTCTCCTCCCCTACAGCTCCCTGCCTACCCCCCATCAACTGATGCTCATCCCGCCATGCTTCCTGATCCGCCACAGCCAGCGACTCTCCTGGCCCGCGCCCCACGACTACCACTTTTGTCCCGACATGTTTCACCCACTCGTTCGTCTCCCTCAGCGTAGCCCCATGCCCGGGCCACAGGAACCCGCCTAGGATCCTCCCAGGCGAAGTGGCGTCCAGCAGCCGCCGCATCTTGGCGAGGCCGGTCCGACCGAGAAGCAATAGAACGATCCAGGCGATGAGGACGATGATAGACAGGACTAGGACCAGGATGGCCGGGATCATGTAGAGGAGGTGATACCGCACGCGACGCTTATACGCCGTGACAAGTACCCGGGCCTCGTTGGCCCCACCCGTCTTCCCGCTATCATCCCGTCTTTTCACACCATTTCCCCCTTCACCTCCTTGATCTTCCCCTCCTCGCAACCCCCACCCCTTCGTCCCAACCACCGCATTCGCTGCAATATCCGTCCACACCAACTGCAGCACCTTCCCAGCCGTCGCGGCACCTCCATCCTCCACCCTCCCAGAGTTCCCGCCCCCCGCACCCAGCAACGCCCGCCACTTGGTAACCAACGCCAACGACGTAAGCCCAGAGTAATCCGCGTACTGCGCATACCCGGCCGAGCCCGGCCGGATGATGTTGAAAGCGTTTATCAGCGCTTGCACGTAAAAGTCGACGCCGGGTAGGTTCTGCCCCGCGACCGGATCGACGTAGTCATAGCTGTGTAATGGAGATAATGTGGAAGTCAAGATCCCTGGGAGATTTAGGAACGGGCCGCGGTAGGCGGTGAGATTTGCAGCTAGGGAAGGCGGGACGGCGGTAGAGGTTGTCGTATTCGCGCCGAGGCCGAGGATACCCCAAAGCGGTTGGACATTGCTGATTTTCGCGGGGAAGGGAATCGATTCTACGGCCCAGAGTGGTTGGTCGGCTAGGGAGGGGTACGATTTGGCCGGGGCTGATGTGGCGTTCAGTGCGGCGAGTCCGGTGCCGTTATACCGGAAGGTGACGGTGCGGATGGTCGCGCGGACAGAGGCGGCGCAGCTGTACACAGGGAGCGTCCAGGCGGAGCCGGGCTGCGGGCTGACCTCGGAGCCGCCGTCGGTGCGCCTGGCTGTGCCGTATTGGAGGCCGCAGGCGATGAGGCTGCTGTTGATGTTTGGGAAGTTGGCGCCGTCGCCTCCGGCACAGATCTCAGCTGGGGTTGTTAATAACGGGGCGCATGCTGCGAAAAGAAGGAGTAATTAATTATGTGATACGTACAGACAAGGTCGAAATGTGCCCTTGAAATACCAAACGGGTTTGTTGAGTTCAACTTGTTGCTCGCTGCGGCTGTTGAGAAGCTGAGATACTCGCCGTAGTCCATCGTCGACCGGATAGCAAGGTGGTCAATTACAAAGTCGCCCGCGGGACTCATCCCGTTAATCTTACTAGCGTCCTCGACCATCTCGGTGCTGTAAAACTTCATCCCCGGCGTCACGTCCCACCTCGTAATGTTCGTCGGGTCCGGGTCTGTCCGGTTCAAGTACGCGAGTGTCAGGAAATTGTTGGCCCAAGCCGCCTTGTACGCCCGTTCGCGGAGATCCAGCGCTCCCTGACCGTTACCAAACGCAGAAATCGACAAGTTCGGACTCATCCGAGGCAAGGCAGAGAGCCCGCCTCTATCAACAAAGGCGTACGAGGTCACAACAAGCTTGTTGTCCGTGTTCGACGAAAGCTTGAAGTCAAAGGTGACGTTCAAGTCGACGCATTGCGCCTCGGGCTCGATGAACAGGATATCCTCTTCCCACGTGCTCCCATCCTCATGAACAGGGACGGGTGCGGTATGATTGCGGAACCCAATCCCGCCACTTTGGGCGTCCACCACCAAACCGTCCACCAGCTGGATGGTCGGTTCGAGGATCAACATCCCAATCTGCCGATATCCGGACTTTAAAAACCACCCAGACTCACCCAAGCCGTCCGATGCATTCATCTGACTACGCCATTGGATGTCAAAAATGCTGGACACCGACTGGGCCACCCGGTTCGCACCATCTCGCAACGTCGTCGTCCACGGCCGCGGGATGGCTCGGCCAAACACAGCACCGGTACAGTTCTGTAGTAGCCCTTGCTGCACGCATGTCACATTCTTCCAGGACCCGGGACACGGATCGTTCCCACAGTTACGCGCAAAAGGCCCCTCGAGCCGCGGGGGCGTGCCGTACCCAAATGGAGACTCGTCTTTCACGAACCGAAAAGCCTCGGGGTAGGGGTTCTCGGGTTCCACTGTTTGGTACAGACCAAGAGGTGTGACAATTGCGGCGAGGGAAACCAAGTAGACAATGACCGTCTGGAAGGTCAAGCTGTGAGTGACGCGCCGTCGGACACCATGACTTGCTGCCGCGTCGGTTTGGAGGAGCGTTGGCCAAGGCGAGGACTGGAGCGAGCGTCCAAGAACGGACCAGGTGACCGCGGTGTTTTCTTCGCCGACGAAGCCGACCAGCGCGACGGGGAAGATGAGGGCGAGGAGAATTTGCACTGGGGATTGCTTTGTTAGAATCCCCACTCTTGTCCGTCAACACAACACGAGAGATATTACGACCATACGTACAAACAAAAACACCTGCCGCGATGAGACCCGAGACTTCGCCAACAGAGAGCTCAACCATTTTGCGTCAAGATCATCGTGAATGCGAAAGGCGACAGGGGCACGCCGGGGAGGGGAGGGCGGCTTAAAAGTGAATCTATTCTTGGGGTTCCAGTGACTCGGCTTTGCCGCCAATGGGAGTTCGCTGGTCGTTGAATTGAAGGCCCCAAAGTTGCGCCGTCTTACGCTTCGCCAATCGTGGTCGACTGCATTGCGTCGGCAGCACGTGCTCAAAAACCTTAACCGTCCGCCCGTCTCATGCGAAACTATCAATTTGACCGCGGGGTTGTCGATCTTTTGGGTTTTCAGTTGTCGAGTTGCAGACTCAAATCAGGATCGATATTATTACGCGTTACGGAGAATGTCACATGGTTCCTCTTTGAGCCCCGGGGCTTCGCTGCGGGCCTAGAAAATGGCGAATGTGAATCTCCGTTTTGGCCGATGTAGTTGTCGGAAGCTATCGGAATGAACAAGACTCCTGCTTCATGAACGAAGTTTGTGTTTGGCCCGAGTCTTGTTGTCTTCTCTGTAGTTTGGAGATAGGGTCTCATGTCGAGGGGAGTATTACGTTATCGCGGGACGACGCGGGGAAGTTCAGTCACCGCCCCGCTGTGGGTGATGATTCTCTTAGCCGAAATTCTCGAGGAATTCCCATCATTTCAACGACGTTAACGCGGCATGGGAATGATCACGGCGGTTTCGCTCCTAGTGCGCCAACTTATGCTCGGCTGTTGGGTACGGTGATAAGGCGAACATCGTGACTTGCATGCCCAGCTGTTAATTAAATACCTAGAAGAACTCGTGGGGCTCATCAATTTGAGGGTGATGCGTTGGTGTCACCGGGATCTGTCTAGACCATCTCTCGACCCGAAGATGCGGGTCGATTGAAGCTATGCAGAAATAACACTGCAGAAAATGTTGACTCGATCTAATCGAGTAAAGAATTTTGGCGACAGCGGCGTCGGCTTGTGGCCCTGCGATATCTTATCCGCCCTTATCAAGCTTTGTGCGGGGAGCCCGAGATAGTCCGGGGGTTTTTCGCATCCTGGACAGTTGGGAGTCGGGCCGGACAAGCTTGCCGCGTTGGAGCAGCAGCATGTGACCGACACGAAGGGAAGGAAGTTGGTTTCGGTGAAGGAGTAAGTACGCCAAAGAAACCAAGTCATGATCGTGAGAATAAACGTCGATGCGGGATTGATGTTTTGTGCGTTCTCCCATGACGAAATTGCTGCTGTTGAGTCTGGGTGGAGCAGTTTCCCCGGACCCACCCTACGCGTGGAAACTTTTCGGGAGCGATAAGCGGAACGCCAAGACCTTAAACACCACATGCGGCAAGAATCTCCAAGGCAGCGTCACCATCCAACTTTCACCTGTTTGCGACGAGTTGTCGAGCATATCGTTGGATGCAATCCCTGTGCCTTTTCCACATAACCGTCGATTGGTTGCGTCGGTCTTTGAAGTTCCATCCACAGATACCGCATCACGACCCTCCATGAAAGATCCCGCGCTGCTGGGATTCCATGGTTTTTGGGGGTGTTTCCCTGGCATCTGTTAACGCCGCGTGGGGGGCCGGATCGTCTACCGAGCCCACATTCGAGAAAGGATCCAGCGAATGCTGATAAGGTCGCCCCTCTTCAAATGTCAATTAAACCGTTCCCAGTCGAAGGCCGATACCGTTGCGCCGGGTCCCGGTCAACGCTACCGTACCCCGAGGGTAGCGTTTCTTGTGCAGAGCGAGCCCTTGGACCCTTATTTACGACCGATTCACACCTCATGGACAGTGAGGCAGTTCATCCGACTTCTCCATCCATAAAACTCTCCACAGGGTCCAGTGTTTTTTGAGACATAACATTTCCGTTTTGCTCTCTCTGTTTTCCCTGCAAAACAGCCTTGTACACGTGTATTTTTTCTCCCAGAAAATCTGTCGAATCTTCCTTGCCCCGGTTGCGTCACAGTTCAGGGTTGCCGCCCATCGCTTGTACTTTCCGAGGAACTGACCGGGCCGGCTACTGGGTGGGCACACGACGCACCTTCTACTTGATACTTATTTCCTCCAACATCAATTCACGACCTTCGACCACACCGATAACCTTCACTTCAAATAATTTATCGTATTTTATTACGTCGATCGTCAAAAAATGGCGACCACGTCGGTACGGCCGAATCTCTTTCGGCGCGTTGCCGAAAAGGTGGCCGTAGAGTCCGAGCCGGGGCTGTCGAGTACCCAACTGATGGTGCGGAATCTCACCTGAACCACACTCACGCGAGCGGGCGAGAGATGGAAGGGGTTGTTCTTACCGGCGCTGGACTCAACGTCACCCGTGTTTGTTAGAAGAACTCAACCCCGTCCATTTCTTGCCCGCATCGGATTCACGATTCACTCCCACTGTTCCCCATATTGGTCCCGCTGACCTTTCCCCCTCCCCATTTCCAGTTGACGAACCACGATCTCAAGCCCGTCGAGCCCGAACGTCGCCAATGGGGTCCCTGGAACTTTGTGGGATTTTGGATTGCCGATTCCTTCAACATCAACACGTGGATGATCTCGTCGTCTATGATCGTCGGGGGTCTGTCGTGGTGGCAGTCATGGCTATGTGTCTGGCTCGGTTACGCAATCTCGGCTTGCTTCATCTGTCTGACCGGTCGCATCGGCGCCACCTACCACATCGGTTTCCCCGTCGCGAGTCGCTCGTCGTTTGGTATCTGGGGTAGTTTGTGGCCGGTGTTTAACCGTGCTGCTATGGGTGCGTGTGACTCTTTGGGGTGTTATCAGGAGGTATGGGTTTGCTGACGTGAAATAGCTTGTGTTTGGTATGGCGTGCAGTCGTACATTGGAGGTCATTGTGTGTACTTGATGATTAGAGCTATTTGGAAAAGCTGGGTAAGTTGGAAATTCTGAGAGAACGGGTCTGGCTATCGCTGCTAACTCGTTTTTCTCTCTTTTAGGATCGGGAGACCATCCCCAATACCTTCGCACCAGGCTCAGGAACTACTACGGCGGACTACGCATCATTCTTCATCTTTTGGGTCTGCTCGCTACCGGCAATCTGGTTCCCCGTTCATAAAATCCGCCATCTTTTTACGGTCAAGGCTTACTTTGTTCCTTGTGCTGGCATTGCCTTTCTGATCTGGTCTGTTGTCCGTGCAGGTGGGGTCGGGCCCATCGTCCGGCAGCCGGCAAAAAAGACAGGAAGCGAGCTTGGGTGGGAGTTTGTTAAAGGCGTGATGAGCTCGATTGCGAATTTCGCTACGCTCATTGTGAACGACCCCGATTTCTCCCGTTTCGCTACCAAGCCCCGCGATGCGCTCTGGTCGCAGTTGTTCACCATCCCCATCGGCTTCGCCGTCACCTCCTTCATCGGCATCATCGTGTCCTCCTCATCAACCATCATCTACGGTGGCGACCCTATCTGGGACCCACTAGAGCTTCTCGAGAAATTTCTCGACGATGGCAATTCCGGCGAGCGTTTCGGCGTCTTCGTCATTGCGGCCGCTTTCTCCCTCGCCCAGCTTGGCACCAACATCGCGGCCAACTCGGTCTCCGCAGGAACGGACATGACTGCTCTGCTTCCGCGTTACCTCAACATCCGCCGCGGCGGATACATTTGTGCTGCCGTTGGTCTCGCCATGTGTCCGTACAACTTGCTCACATCTAGTAACATGTTCACCACCTACTTGTCCGCCTACAGCGTCTTCCTCTCCTCGATCGCAGGCGTCATCATTTCCGACTACTACATCGTCCGTAAAGGCTTTCTCGAGGTGAAGGAACTCTACGACGGCCGCCGCAGCGGTCCCTACTTCTTTACCGCCGGTTTCCATTGGCGCGGATATGCCGCGTACATCGCGGGCATCGCCATCAACGTGGTTGGGTTCGCTGGCGCGGTGGGGGCAGCGGTGCCGATCGGAGCGACGTATCTGTACAACCTGAACTTCTTCTGCGGGTTTGGGGTGTCGGCATTTGTGTATTGGGCGTTGTGCAAGGTGTGGCCCGTGCCGGCGACGAGTGATCGTTGGATGGAGGTCGGCGATGAGATTGTGGACTTGCGCGTGGCGTATGATCACCAGAGTGAGAGCCAAGAGGATGAGGGGATTGAAAGTGAGAGTGCGGGTACGGGGAAGAAGGTGGTGGCGACGGATGTTGGCAAGGCCGTGTAGAAAGCGCTATGCCGTCGCTTTGGCGTTTGATCATATCATGGTTGGGTGGGTTGTTTGTTGTCTGGGATGGGAACTGAATAGCGGCTTATTGGATACCCGGGTGCGTACAGGAAGGACGTTAGTCTTTGAGAGCAGGTTTCATTACATCGTTAGTGAATATTGGGAATGGAATACATTTGCCAAGCGAAAGTCGCGACCAATTTCGAACCCGTATGTATGTGTGCCGTAATGCCAGTCGTTGGCCTTAAATAACCTGAACCCTCTCAACCATTTCAACAAGCCGCCCCACTTAAATACCTCGGATCAGGTGGGGCAAACGGCAGAATCCCTCTCCGCCAAAAATTTCCCAGACAGAAGCGCTCTTGAAGTCTGTCGATTTCGTGAAGAGCATCTCCCCCCGCCGTCCTTCGCACCCACACTGACCGAGTCGCACAATGGCAACCGGCGGCTCAAAAAGTGGGCTTGCCCACCGCAACAAGTCGACGCCTAAAGATGCCGAGGCAAAATCATTAAAGCGGAAAAGAGGCCAGGACGACCTGGGCAAGCTGAAGGAGGCTGTCGATCAACTCGTGAGCAGCGCCATCTCCTCCTCATAATCGTCTCTTGTTGCTAACCTACCGCGCCGCAGGACCCCAAGTCACCCGACATCAAGAACTTTACCGACCTCCCCGTCTGCGAAGCGACCGCCTCAGGCCTGCGCGCCTCCCATTTCGAAGTCCTAACCGACGTCCAACGAGCCGCGATACCCCTTGCGCTCAAGGGCAACGACGTTCTCGGCGCTGCGAAAACAGGCAGTGGAAAGACGCTTGCTTTCCTGGTGCCCGTACTAGAGAAACTATACCATGCGAAATGGACCGAATACGATGGGCTCGGGGCCCTGATCATCAGCCCGACGCGCGAGCTGGCCGTGCAAATCTTCGAGGTGCTGCGCAAGATCGGGCGGAATCACTATTTCTCTGCTGGGTTGGTGATTGGGGGGAAGAGCTTGAAAGAGGAGGCGGAGAGATTGGGAAGGATGAATATCTTGGTGTGCACACCTGGTCGGATGCTGCAGCATCTGGATCAGACGGCTGGCTTCGACGTCGACAACCTCCAGATCCTCGTGCTGGACGAGGCGGATCGGATTATGGATATGGGATTCCAACCGGCTGTTGACGCCTTGGTGGACCATCTCCCTAAGACCAGGCAGACTCTGCTGTTCTCTGCGACGCAGAGCAAGCGGGTGTCGGACCTGGCGCGACTCAGTTTGAAGGATCCTGAATATGTCTCCGCACACGAAGCCGCAGCGAGTGCTACGCCTGCCACGCTGCAACAATCCTACATTGTGACACCGTTAGAAGAGAAGCTCGATACGCTCTGGGGGTTTTTGCGAACAAATCTCAAGAGCAAGATTATCGTCTTCTTGTCGTCCGGCAAGCAGGTGCGATTTATCTTTGAGAGTTTCAAGCGGATGCAGCCCGGTATTCCACTTCTTCATCTTCATGGGCGACAAAAACAGGTGGCGCGCATGGAGATTACCTCGCGGTTCTCCTCGGCCAAGTACGGGTGCTTATTTGCGACTGACGTGGTTGCGCGGGGTGTTGATTTCCCGGCCGTCGACTGGGTCATTCAGGCCGACTGCCCTGAGGACGCCGACACGTACATCCATCGTGTAGGACGGACGGCGCGGTATCAGAGCAAGGGACGTGCTGTCCTCTTTCTCGAACCAAGCGAAGAGGAAGGGTTTCTGAAGCGTCTTGAGCACAAGAAAGTGCCAATACAAAAAGTCAACGTCCGCGAGAACAAAAAGAAGAGCATCAAGAACGAGCTGCAAAGCTACAACTTCCAATCCGTCGACCTAAAATACCTCGGCCAAAAAGCCTTCATCTCCTACACCCGTTCCATCTACCTCCAAAAAGACAAGGAAATCTTCAAGTTCAAGGAGCTCGACTTAGACGCCTTCGCCGAATCCCTCGGTCTCCCAGGAACACCACAGATCAAGTTCCAAAAGGGCGAGGACATCAAGCGACTCAAGAACGCCTCACGCGCCGCCCTCTCCAGCGACTCCGAATCCGACTTCGACGCCGACGGCAACAAACGCGAAAAGAAGGACAAAGACCAAGTCCGCACAAAATACCAAAAAATGGCCGAGCGCCAAAACCAGGACGTGCTCTCCTCCCACTACCGCAAACTCGTTGACGGAGACACCACCGGAACCCCCGACGCCAACGAAGACGACGACGAAGCCGATTTCCTCTCCGTCAAACGCGTCCTCGCCGACGACGCCCAACTCGACGCAGCCGCCGGCATCGACAACCCAGCCACCACAACCATCGAACCCCGCGTCGTAAAACTCGGCAACTCCGAACTAATCATCGACTCCAACCGCCGCGAAAAACTGCTCAAATCCAAAAAGAAACTCGCCAAGTACATGGAACGAGGCAACAAGCTCGTCTTCGACGACGACGGCGTCGGCCGCCCGCTCTACGAACTCCAAGGCGAAGACGATTTCGCGCAGGAAGGTTCCGCCGACGCGTTGCGCACGCAGTTTGTCGCGGCTGAGACGGAGAAGGTTAAGGAGGCGGATGTGCAGGATAAGCAGGTTGCGAAGCAGAGGAAGAGGGAGAAGAGGGATCGGGCGAAGGCGCGGGAGAGAGAGGAGGCGCAGATGGAAGCGGAGGATGGTGAGGGGATGGGTCCGCAGATTGGAGGGGATGGGGACGATGGGGAGGACCCGTTGGCGCTGTTGCGGTCGTTGCCTATTGCTGGTGGTGGTGGTCGTGATGATTCCGATGGCGATAGTGATGGTGGGGAGAGGGAGCCGCCGATGAAGAAGGCGAAGAAATGGCTCCAGGACGATTCGGAGCAGGAAGAGAAGGAGAGGAAGAGTAAGAAGTCGAAGAAGGGTGGGAAGAGGGTTATTGAGATGGCGGAGGAGCCGGATAATTTGGAAGATCTTGAGGCGTTGGCGGCCGGGTTGTTGGAGGATTAAATTAACTGGATCGATATGACCTCTCGGATGCAAATGAAGAGAAGCGGATCTGTCAGGACATTCAAGCGTTCCCGATTGTGTGAATTGACAACCGATATTCACAAGTACTACAGCAACATGATGTTTTGTTGTTTTGACCAGAGCCAAAACAAATACATACATGGCTCACCAAGCTGACTGCACTCCCCATGATGAACGTCAGGAACAGTATAATAATATTGCAAGCCAGAACGAGTAACCCCATCCGAGGGACGAAGATGTAAACATAAACACCGAATGCTAAAGCCTGTGTGGTATTGTTTCTCCATCATCCCCCGGCCCAAACGCCGATGCTGTTTTCGCCTTCCATGCCCGGGTAGAAACTCCGTTGGCGTTCGTCCGAACACCATAAACCCATCCGTCACTCGGCCAGTGCATCCCCTAGTGCATCCCATAGAACAATATACCCTTGCTGTATCGTCCAGCATTCCTCAAAAAACTCTCACTCGGTCAATGTCCTTCCCGAATCCCCTAGCAACGCTCCCCAACCAAACTCCCGCAATGACAAAAATCCCTCAAATCCACCCCGATTAAACGTCTCTTCCGCCAGCGATTCCTATACCACCTCGCCATACAAGCGCACGCGGTAGAAGCACGTGTGGTCGCGCGCACCGTAGTTGCTCACCGCGCGAATGAGCACCGAGTCCGTCGCCGCCTGCAAGCGGTCGACAAGGTCGCGGGACAGCGCGTGTACAAACATCCCCTCGTCACGCGCGCGATGTTCGTAGGCAAATTGGCCAATCTTGGCCCACCCGTCAGCGAGTAGCCTGTCCGTGCCGGGAATGGTGTTCTTCGTGGTTCGCGAAGATATCGGTAGCGACCCAAACCAGGAACCTGAGGTGGTTGCGGGCGGAATGGCGGTGCTGGGGAACTGGGCGGCCATCCAGTCGAGGACACGTTCGCGTCGGGCGTGGTCGTCAAACTGGGCCCAGATTTCAATGTCGCGCGGCATGGCGAGGGGGTCGGTGGTCGCGGCCGGGTCGATGTGCTCGAGCAGGACGTGCTGGGGGACGACAAACTGCGGGAGGCGAACGGCGAGGACGGCCGGGTAGGTCCGGTTGGCCGCGCCAAGGGTGCCTGCGCACCAGCAGTGGCCCGGTTCGGTCCAGGGACGCAGGGCTTGCGACTTGTCGTGGAGAAACTGTGGCTGGCGCGGCATGTGCTTGAGCCACTTCTTGGAGCCAACGCGGGGTGTGGCGATGTCCCAGGTGGGAGAGGAGAGCGATATATCGATCTGCGCATTGTTGCCCGGCGAGAAGAGATTGACCCGGTTGCGGAATGCGTAATCGATGCCGACAGACCCTTGGCTGCGTCCAAAGGAGGCAAGTCGACGCGTGATCTCTTTGTCAACGAGTTTGTTGATCAATGTTGTCGTCTCGGTCTTGCTCATGCTGTCCTTGTCGTCGAGCTTCTTGATCACAAAACCGATCTCCTTGCGCAAATCACGCATCTCGACGTCGAGCTGAGCGTTGAACTTAGCAAAACGGTCGCTGACTTCGCGCATGAACTCTGCTTTGGATATAACAGTCTCGCCCGTGCCCTTGGATGGGCCCTTGCCCGGGCTGATGACGTCGGCCACCTTGTCTTTGTTCTTTTGCAGCCACCTCTCCCAAGATTCGGGCGCGGCCTTGTCGACAATCCGCTTCACGTCGTCAGCCGAGAGGTGCTCCGCGAGCAAGCCGGCGTCCTTCAAGCGCTGCTCAATAGCCTTCCAGTGCGGGGTAGAAATGCGCGACTTGGAATCCAGAGTGAGAATCGCGTTGTCGTGCTCGATCTTGTCCCTGAGCGCGGTCCAGAACTCTTCTGCGATGACGACCCTGCCCTTCCAGTCTTTCTTGACCGATACGACTCTCGGGAGAATCGCTTGGATATCTTCCACTGCTTTCTGCGTCGGAGCTGCCCTCGTCTGCATGTAATCCTTCATGTCGGTGTATTGTTGGTTGGTGAGAACACCAAGCGGGTGCAGGAGCGGCGAGGGGAAGAACTGGCCGACGTTGTTTTGCAGGTCATCCCAGCCGTACCAACGAACGGTAAGGAGGGGTCTGTCGAACAGGTCCGGGCGGGCTAGGGTATGCGCAAAACGCATTACGTGGAGTAGAAGAAAAGCGGCAATGACTGTCTTGACCAGCGTGACGGGGTGGAAAAAGCCCTTGACATCAAAGCCGTGGTGTTGACGGTCATATACCTCCGACATCTCAGGACCCTGAAGGTTGTCAACTTGGCTTTTGTCGCTAGGATCGAGGTTAAGAAGGCGATCGCGTACCCGTTGCGCATAACTACCCGCGATGTGTGAATCGTTCAGTGTCACCTCGACTTCTGGTAACTTCTCCGCCTCGTCAATGTCCGGGCCGGGCGTGCCCAGGTCTGGCGAGAGCTCCCTAGCGAGACCAGAGGGCTTTCGAAGGTGAGCCTTCGGCGTCAAGCCGCCGGGGCGCCTCGGCGGTTTCTTCAATACACTAGGGGGGGAGGAGACATCCGGCCGCTGTGGTGCTTCTTGCGACTCTGGAGGTGAGATTGGCGCACTAGCCTTAGCCTGTCGTGCATTCATGGCCGGCGGCGGTGTCGGGGTTTTGATGTGGGCTTCGTTGAAGAGGTTCCGCTCCTCGATAAAACTGCGGGCCGAGCCGGGCCGCTGGACGTCGCTGTCCTGCGAGGACGGGACGTTGTTGGGCGTCACAGACATATCCATGTGGGCGTGCCGCGCGGATCGTTGGGGAGGCGGGGGCATGGCGGCCCTCGCAGCCTCTTCCCTCGCTATTTGGTCGACAAGTCGCTGTTGCTCGGCCACCTCGTCGTCCGCTTTCCTCTTCTCTGCTTCGCGTTGTTGTTGGAGTTTCTCCTCTTCTTGGCGTTGCTGTTGGAGCTTCTCCTCTGCTAGGCGTTCCTGCTCGGCCTTCTTCCGGGCAGCGTCTTCAGACCGCTTACGCTCCCTAGCTCTGCGAGCCTCCTCTGACCTCTCTCGCTTCAGGCGAGCATCTCGCTCCTTACGCTCTTTCTCGGCGAGCGCTTCAGCTTCATCATCGTCATGCGCCCTCTTCCGTACATCCCTTGGCGCAGGTTTCTTGGGCGGGGGTCGCGTCGCCGACAGGTCCCCGGCATTTTCCTGATCCTCACGCTCGCTTCCCATATCCCCATTCGTTTGCTGCGTATCGCTCATTTCTATGTCGTCAGGCTCCTCCACCTCAATCGTTGGTCGCAATTGCGACCCAGCCCGACGCTTTGTTGCAGGAGGCGGCGTCGCGCGTTTGAACGGCTCGGGTGAGGGCGACACTGTCGTGGCCCGGGATCCTGACCGTGCCGCCCTTTCCTGTGCCTTGGCATTGCGGCGAGCCTCGGCCGCGGTCTTGTCCCTCCTGACCTTGGTGAAGATTTCGGCCGCTGCCTTATCAACGCTGGTGCTGCTAACAACGGCCCGGTCTGGTAAATGCGACATAGGTGAGCCGTATGAAATGCTGTATTTGGTGGGGATTGCTGCTCTGGTGATTGCCACATGATCGGGCGCAGGCGATGGGCTCGCCGACACCCTTGTTCGGCGCTTTGGGGCCATGGCGCGACGGGAGCCAATTGATCCTTGGGAGTCGGTTGCACTGCTTTGAGAGTTTTTTGGTGATCGCTGTGACCGTGGAGATCGCGGTGGACTATTGAGAATGTCAGCCACAGCTGCTATCTGCTGGCTGAGTCTTGAATCGTGTGACATCGCGAAGTCGGTTCAAAAAAATAAAACGCGATAAATGAGACAAGTGTTGCGGTCGAGGTCATGAAAAAAAGTGGGGTAAACAATCTCAAAAGAGGAATCGAGCTCAATTGAGATGGCACACACAATAGGGAGAAATGGGAAGAATAAGAAGGCACGCGGGGATGAAGAGAGGGGCGAGATGGGATGGATCAAAGTGGTTGGGTATTGGGTATGAAGGGCCACAAAACCCAAATCAACTAACTTACCTTGAGTGACAGCGTGGCCGCCGAGGTGACAGTCGACAGCCTCGAATTCAATCGGGTAGCGCGCCCAATCCCAACACTCACATACACGCTGCAGACGCACACCGTGAGCTAGCCTCGACACGTCACAGTCGATTGATTGGTGCCCGAAAAAATCTGTCGTAAAATCCGACGCAGTCGAAAGCCGATGGAGCAATTAAGGGTCCGGGACTCGATGATTCGACGGCGGCAAAGGCCAGATGATAGCGATTCCTATTCGGCTACGAATATTCCGTCGTAGTGGTTGTGCTCTTGTTCATCGCGACAGGGCTACAAATGCAAGCAAAGAGACAAGAGGCTGGAAGCTCGAGGGAACGTTCCGGGGGGCTGCGGAGCAACTAAATTGGAAAACCCGCAGAGGAAACAAAATGGCTTTGAGTTCCTCACCCTACATCGCAAGCGGAAAGAAAGGGCTTGTCCAGCAACCGAAAACGGCGTTGTCTTTGACCTTCGATGACGGCGGCGGTGCTTTCATGTCTTCCGCTGTGCAACCTGCTTCTTTGTCTCTCGTGAGCGCACACCGACATGCGGCGCGCCTGGCCTCGTGGAGAGTGAGGCCCGTGCATGTTTTCTCTGCCTTGGCATTTTGGGAAAGCGCGAGGGGCTGGGACTTGGCAATTAACGGCGATTGATGACTCAGCTGGGCAAGAATGATATGCCGTTATCGGGATATGCAGACAATGATATTTCCTCGACCACAATTTTGATGTGGTGGCTGGCAAAATATTGCCCCGGCCAGCCAGCCGCCAGGGTCTTTCTGTTTCAAGTTTCAACTTCGAAGATCGCCCTGCCAAGTCAGCAGATCGGCGCGCTGCAACATGCCGTCGATTTGTTGGTGAAGCTCGGAACGTCCAACATGGGAGCCGGCTCAGAACGGGCGCAGGAACATTCGTGGCCTCCGAAATCTAAGACCTGAGGACTCCTGCGCAATCTTTTTTGAGTCGAAGCACAAGGGAAACTCGAAGACGACCCGCCCCAGCTCGCGATGATCATATCCCACAAGTGCCTGAAACGGGCTGTGCAAGGGCCGATGACGAACTTGTCAATTTCACCGTCATTTTAAACACATTCGTCACACCTTGAATTTTGGCGCTTGCAGGTGCGCGCGGGCCACAGACACAGCTTGCGTGGGGTCGTTGTCGCCGAGTTGCGGCAGCCAGGGGGGGGCGAGCCCCACGTTTCAATGGCAAGCTGCCGTGCTAGCGAGATTCGAGGTGCAACCAAACCACAAGCAGAACCAAGGCAGCTTGATCATTTAAGATCTCCCATTATCCACCGAGCAAGACCCCTCTGCGTTGCCGTTCTTTGCATCACAGCAAACTGCACTCGTCCTTTGCTCTGTTTCGCCGACCAATTCCTGTACAGAAACCAGACCAAAACATAAAATGGCCGTCGGCACTGTTCTCGTTACCGGGTAAGGACCGCATCAACCAACCCCTCATTCACCCCACCATCGCCCACCGCCTCTCGATCACACCTCGCGACGTGGCTATGGGATAGCGAAAAAAAGAAAATGGAACCTGCCAAGCACGTACCGGTTGACGCAAGAGGAATTTGCAAAGCTAACAGCACGAATGAAGTGGCACCGGGTACATTGGCTCGTTCACGACACTTGCGCTGCTCGAGAACGGGTACGATGTCGTGATCGTCGACAGCTTGTACAACTCGTCGGAAGTCGCCGTCGACCGCATTGAGCTCATCTCTGGCAAGCGCCCCGCGTTCCACAAGGCCGACATCACCGACGAGGCTGCCCTCGACGAGGTGTTCGCCAAGCACCCCGAGATCGACAGCGTCATCCACTTCGCCGCGCTCAAGGCCGTCGGCGAGTCGGGCCAGATCCCGCTCGAGTACTACCGTGTCAACGTCGGCGGCAGCATCTCGCTGCTGCGGGCCATGGAGAAGCACAACGTCACCAACATTGTCTTCTCGTCGTCCGCAACCGTCTATGGCGATGCCACCCGCGTCCCCGGCATGATCCCTATCCCCGAACACTGCCCGATTGGCCCCACCAACACCTACGGCCGTACTAAGGTGATGATTGAGGAGGTCATTGCCGACCAGATCAACGCCCAGCGCACCAACAACCAGAAGGCGGGCAAGCCGCATGAGCAGTGGAACGGCGCTCTGCTGCGGTACTTCAACCCTTGCGGTGCCCACCCCAGCGGCATCATGGGCGAGGACCCGCAGGGCGTGCCTTACAACCTGCTCCCTCTGCTCGGCAAGGTTGCTACCGGCGAACGCGAGAAGCTGCTGGTTTTCGGTGACGGTAAGTAGCTACCAGGGTAAAAATAGAGCCCGCAGAAGGTACTAACTCCCGGTTCATAGACTACGCCTCCAAGGACGGTACCGCGATCCGCGACTACATCCACGTCCTCGATCTCGCCCGCGGTCACTTGGCCGCCCTCAACTACCTCCGCGAGCAAAAGCCCGGTGTCAAGGCCTGGAACCTGGGTTCCGGGCGCGGCAGCACCGTGTTCGAGATGATCAAGGCCTTCAGCAAGGTTGTCGGCCGCGACCTCCCCTACCAGGTCGTCGAGCGGCGGCAGGGTGATGTGCTGGACCTTACGGCCCATCCCGCGCTTGCGAACAAGGAGCTGCAGTGGAAGACCGAGCTTACCCTCGAGGATGCGTGTGACGACCTTTGGCGCTGGGTCCAGAACAACCCCAAGGGGTACCGCCAGGATCCCCCTGCGGAGCTCCTCGAGGCTCTCAAGGCCAAGAAGGCTTAAAAATAGTGATGCATCGTACGAAGACAACAACCAGAGAGGTTCCAGAAAAGAGGCCATGCCATGATGTCAGGCCGCCATTTAGAGATAAAGTAATCCACGAATAGATAAATGACAAATTTCACCCGCTCAACCGTCAATCCCTATTCCCAACTACACCTTGAGCAGGACCTTGCCAGTGGTCTTGCGGCCCTCCAAGTCGGAGTGTGCGCGAGCCACATCCTTGAGCGGGTAAACATCGTGGATCTTGAGGTTGACCTTGCCGGCCTGGATGAGCTCGAACAGCTCAGCGGTATAGGAGTTGCGTTCCTCCTGCGTCGCGATGTACCCGAACAGCACCGGTCGCATAAGCTTGATGTTCTTGGCTCCGAGTCGCAACACGTCGACAGGCGGTACGGGTCCAGACTAAAGTTGTTTGTTAGCATCACGCAGCCACAAAACGATTCAACAAAGCTGAGGTGTGGAAGAAGAAAGAGAAACGAAACAGAAAGAAACTTACCGCATTCCCGAAAACCACCAGCGTTCCCTTCCGCGCAATGCTCTCCAAATCCCCCTCAAACGTAGCCTTCCCAACCCCATCAAAGATCACATCCACCCCATTTCCACCCGTAATCTCCTTCACCCGCTTCACCACATCCTCATTCCGCGAGTCCACCACCCACTGTGCCCCATTCGCCTTCGCAATCTCGACCTTCTCCGCGCTACCCGCGGTCCCAATCACCCTCGCCCCATGCGCAACCAACAACTGCACCAGCAACGAGCCCACGCCCCCCGCAGCAGCATGCACGAGAGCCCACGGCCCCTCACTCACCCCCAGCTTGCCCTGCGACTCTGGGTGACCCGGGCGGGCAAGACCCGCGGCTTCTCGGACAAAAGTGAGGGCGGTCAGGCCCTGGAGCAGGGAAGCCGCTGCCGTTTCGGTGGAGACGCCTTCGGGGAGGGCTTGGGCTTTCTCGGCGGGCACGGCGGTGTATTCGGCGTAGGCGTGGTCGGCGACGTAGCCTACGGGGGCGCCTTCTTTGAGGGCGGGGAAGGTGGCGGTTACGGAGGGGTGGACGGCTGCGATGATGCCGGCGGCTTCTTTGCCTGTGATGAGGGGGAGGGGGGCTTTGTAGAGGCCGGTGCGGAAGTAGCTGGGGTGCGTTGTGTAAGTAATAGTGTTGTTAAGCATGGGGGGGTGGTGGAGTGTAACTCACGTGTCGATGTAGTTGACGCCGACGTACTCGTTGCGGACGAGAATCTCGCCATCCTTGAGCTCCGGCACGGCGATATCGGTCTTCCACTTTAGGGCCTCAACTCCTCCGTTCTCCTCGATGAGGATCCCGGACATGGTCTTGGGGATGGACGCCATGGTGGAGAAAGCGAAGCTGGTTTTCGAACGGATGATTGATGGCGGGGTTAATGAGGGGTTGCGAAATGGGTGAGGAAATTGTCTGAGGGGATACACCGCCGTTGGGGCAGTTGAAATACTATAATTCCTCTGGGAAGGTACGAGGGGTCTTGGTTTGTGAAGCTACCGTAACCGTTAGTCAGCGCGTTGTGAGGGGACCAAATCACGAAAGAGGAAGTTCAAGGTTGTCGTCATCGAGACCCGTTATGTTGCCCCTAACCCTCGGTTTCGTCGGATTATAACAATTCGGTTCTATGAGGATTACATACTTTCTGCCCGAAGTAATTCAGTTTTGGCTTGGGATATCTCATCGCGTTAATCTTTAATCGTTTATTTTACGTTGTTTCTTGGAAAGCATTAACTACAGGTGAAGGTCCAAAGCGGGGAGATGCTGCTCTGGTCCCGGCGTCGGGAAAGAGCACACCGGGGATTAGGGAACCTTATTCCCATAACGGTCAGCCAACGTTTTTACGAACTGGAAGTCAGGTATATAAGCATTAGCAAGCTCTTCAAAATCACGGCCCCAAATTTGTGTCGGGGTATCTAAAAAATGGATTTGTTATAATTACGTGGTGTGAAAACAGAATTAACTAACTAGAGAAAGAAAATGGAAATTTGACCCATGAAAAAAACCTCATATTACTTACGGCTACAAAAGAAAACAAAAAAGGGAAAGACGTTGAGAGGTTTAGCAGTCTTTGCGGTGATAAAAAAAAAGCAGTAACCGTTTAGAAAATAATTCTACAAGTCTTTTATGAAACTCATGTACTTTTCTACTTCAAGGTGTATAAATATGTCTGTAACTATCTCACTCGTACTGATTATTGTCAACAGATTGATTACTTGTTCTCTGGTGGATGAATTTAACAAACTCCCACTAATCAATAATTAATGTTGGCTCACTGTGCATCTGGTTTCCTGCAATAACCAGAAATATTTTGCTCCCTTGTGCTTAATTAAATTGCAAGGAGTCTGTTTATGGCAAAGGGGTCTGAAGGAGTACAATATACGTTCGTTCCCCTTCTAATAACAAGTCTCCGTGAATCGATTCCTATTGAAGCTGTATGTCCCCGAAAGGAGGGTCATTCACGGTTGCTTCTCCATCCATCAACCCGAAAATATAAGTCGGACCCACGAGATGGTGTCTCAGTTCCGTACCCTCCTCAGGTACGGAACTCAGAAGAAATGGAACGTGCCCCCCAGCAAAGACCGCAATGTTGTCACCCTCCTTTACCTCAACCGGCCCCAATCCAGGACGGCCGATGTCATCAACAAACACCCGACGGCCGTAGAGTTTCCAAACACGTCGGTAATCCCATGACTCCTTCATCATCCACGCCTGCTTTTCAACATCACCGGTCACTTCAGTTGGGGGCATTACCTTGCCTGTCAGAACATCAAAGCCGTGTTTAAACTTACTGGTCCCTTCGGCATCCGCCCGTTTGACCAACCCCATATCGGCCATGGGTACACGCCATAATTCTTCCCCAGACACCCCTTTCGCCATTTCACCGAGTTCATTCAACCAGGCTCGGCAAGCTTCGAGATATTTCGGCGAGTCGGGCGCTTCGGTGAATTCTTGCCCAACACTTCTTACTTTACTAATGATGATACCCGGGAGTGAGATGACCGGATCATCATACGCAGCAGTGGTAATTCGGCTCCTGGATGGCCAATCTTGCCAACTAGCACTTCCACATGCACTGCCGCGCGCCCTGGCCTCAGCATCATCGCCGAAGAATACCCCGCCGATCAACGGAATGGAGTGCGGCGCGGTCCAGTCCGGAACCCAAGAAGGGAGATCTTTCTGCGATTTAGCAGCTAGCCCTCCAGACGTTTTGCGGCAGAAGCTCAGAATGTCCGGTCCGTGATCGTGTAGTAGAACCTGTGCGACAGAAAAGAGGACTTTTCCAATAGTCATGTCTGGGGAGTAATCGACGGGAATCCGGCTGCGGTCTTGCGCCCGTATCATCCCCAAAAGGCCGTAGATCCTGTCTCGGGGATCGGTGGACTGGATAGCGCCTTCAGGACTGGTGCTGAGAGAGGTCCACATGATCATATCCATCAGGGGCAGCCCAATATCAGCCTGATCGAACCCCGCGCCAGCATTTGCCGCCTCTTTCGCTTCATCCAGAGCCTTCCTGTATCCGTCCGACGCCAATGACAAGTGCGATAAGTTGGGGTAAATATCCCCCAGCAGCGTGTACAGCCGGCGATGTTCTGGAGCCGTACTCGGGTAGAGGATCATCCATTCCAACAGGCGAATACACTCGCTCACATCCTCCCACGCCACGGAGCTCACCCGTCCCTCGGGGTCTTCCCCACACAACATCACCGCTTTCCGCGCCAGCACGACCTCCTGGATAATCCACACCCGCTTCCACCACGCCCGGTCCCGGAAGAACCTCCAGATCGCCTCAAAATCAAACCCAACCCTCGGTTTCCCTTCACCACTACCACCCTCACCAACATCACCCCCCGTCAACGCAAACCCCCTAACAGTGTCCACAAACCCCACCAACCTTCTCGTATCCCCCAACCCACCTCCCCCAGCCCCATCACCATCCCCTTTATACTCCCTAACCTGCTCCCGAAACAACACCCCCAACTCCCTCACCGCATGTAACCCCCCCTTATCATCCTCCGGCCCCAACCAAACCACCACCTCCTCAGCAGCCGTATAAATCCGACTCATCATCGGCACCTGCCAGTTCTTCTCCTTCGTATCCATCTGGTTGATACACAGCGCGTCGACCCACAGGTTGCCGGTCCATTTCTGTCGAGCGAGGCGGGTGATGGCGCTGTGGAGGTTGGGGGTCACGGGGACGGGGTGGGTGTTGATGGTTAGGGTTGGGGGGGAGGTGGTGGGTGGGGAGGGGGCGCCCCAGACGTAGGAGAGGGCGGAGAAGGAGGGGGGTGGGGTATTGGGGGATGGGGGGGTGAGGGGGGTGGTGGTGAGGGTGAGGGTTAGAGTGTCGGACCTGTCGGTTGGGTTGGTTGGGTTGGTTGGGTTGGTTGATGGGGGGTAGGAGAGCGTGAGGAGACGGATTTCGTGGGTTAGGGGGTTGAGGGGGGAGTAAGGGTAGGGTTCGTAGGGAGGGGGTGTCATTTTGGGGAATCTGCGAGGAGTGTGTTGAAGTTTCCCAAGTCTCTGTTTTGGTGGTGATACTTTTGATGGTGTTTAGGGGGGTTCTGGGGCTGAGCTGTGCTGCGCTGACAGCGCCCTGTGGGGTAGGTGGGGCCACGCTCCCGGGGGTTATTATTGTGTACATAATTATTGGAGTATTTCGTAGACAGTTTCGATTGAAACATCACACTTCTTGATGTGTCCCGAGAAGTGCCCGAAAGATGAACTTTTTGTCAAATTGGGTCCGATTGGCAGCGGCTTTGGGGGGCCATGGGGGTTGTGAAATTTCGACTTGTCACAGCCCCCATGATCTGGTTCAAAGAAAGGGAAACTTTCATGTAACTTGGCGGCATTGTAAACATGGAGAAACCAAGATACCTGGATATTCTTTTCGTTGGGGGCGGAAATCTGCAGTGATCACCTGTAATTGACAGCCGAAGGTGCAATGGGCGTTTGTGTTCTGGGGCTCTCCTCAAAAGCGGCTTCGGACGGGTGTTTTTCCCCAACTCCAATATTGAAGGTGTGCTGCTAAAACTCGGAAACGCCCAAGTTAAACTCGTTCAACAACTTGAGTTTTGACTTCGTTTCTTTCAATATTGAAGCGCTTGCCCCACTGCATGCGTGGGCGAGGCGAAGTTGAAATCTTGACGGGTTGCGTGTTCCTTTGGCGCATCCACCCGCTGAGGCTGTGCCCCGAACACCCGTGCGGGCTCTGGAAGGCTCTCATTTTTATCACTGGGAGTGTCGACGACGGTGAGCCTCTTTCTTTAAACAAGGCGATTTGTGCTGCGTAACATCGCCATTTTATCCACAACCTCACAACGGTAGTTGGTTTTTTATTCTTTGTCAACATCTTTTCAATTTCCACCGAATATCAAGGCTTGGAAAATTGACATAATCAGCCGCAAAGTTCTATCCGGACCTTGCATCCAGGCACCCGTTTCAGCTACCGCTTCCTTCTTGTCCCACGTTGCGGCCCCAGAACTCCAGCAAGCGGATCGCCAGGCCGCGCCCCACAAGACCGCGTAACCCAACGTGCAAGCACCTGCACCACTCATTCATTGGCACCCATCCGGGGCATTCTTCATCGGGAATCGACAAAAAGACGCCTTGTCATACCAATCTGCCGGCCCGAGAACACAAAAGAGCCCTTTCGCTGCCTTGGGTTTCTTTGTTTCCCTCAGGCCTCACTTGTTCAACACTCCAAGGCATCGCCGCTGTGCCGTCCGATCTCAGTGGCCTTTGTCATTTGGTCCAGGGTATTTCGACTCCCAGGGAAATGAGGCACTGCCGCAATCGCAGTCGGCCGGACGTCGAACAACACTCACCTTGACGGATTTCTTTCCACACGATGACGGCAACAATGGGCATGGACGGCCGCCAGGCCCGGCTTCATCAGCTTGCTGCCGAGTGGGGGGTCCACCAATTACCCCCGGTGGCCCCGCCGACTCCAGCCCCGCAGCCCCGGACGCCCAACGACGACTTCCACGCCGAGGAGTTGCTCAAGAGACGCCGGCTGGCCAACAGCCAGGACTCGAATTCCCAGGGCAGCATCAAGCGTGCTTTCAGCTCACACAAGAAGTCGTGGGAACCCAACGAGGTTTTTGAAGCTCTCAATGTTCACGTCGCCAATGGTGGGACTCCGGGGGTCGCCGATGCTCTCATCGCCAAATTGCTTTCCACGGGTGGGAATCCCAATGTCTCGAACCTCAAGAGCAAGACAAACCTCCTCACGCGGCGGCGGAGCGTTGAGTCGATGGAACGAAGCAGGGTGCTGCAAAAGGCCGTTGAGAATCGTCACAACGACATGGTTGCGGTCTTGGCGCAGCACGCCGACCCTCTCACTCTCGACCAGGCATTGCCCTTCGCGATACGATCTGGTGACCTCGTCTTGGTTCACTTGCTCTTGAGTCGGGGCGCGAATGCTTCTCAGACACAGGGATCACAAGATGCATTTCGGCAACTGTGCATTATGGGCGGCTATTCCGAACTCATCGGGCTCGTCCTCCAGTCTGAGGGACGCCCACCACCAAGTTGGCTCTCGATGTGCATGGTTGACGCCGCTCGAAAAGGGTGTCTCGCGACAGTTTGGCGACTGAGCCGTTTCTCCGCTGATGGGGAATACAACAAAGCCGAGGCCCTCAAAGCCGCCATCGCCCAGTGTAGAGTGGACATCGCGTTAGCAATTCTCACGGCCGCAAAACCACCCACCCTCGGCGGCCAAGGGATCTTAGAAGGCTTCTCACAACTCCTCACCCACACCACCATCGGTCCGAACGAGAAGATGGCCCTCACCGAGGCATTGTTATGTGCCGGTGCCTCAGGTGACCCCGTTTCACTCGCGCTCGCCCAGGCGTGCTCAACACAGTTCTACGATATGGTCACCCTGCTCGTGTCATACGGGGCTTCCATCGAGTATCAAGGCGGTGCTATCGTCCGAACTGCCATTTCCCGGGGCCAAACCAACCTAGCGCAGCTGCTGTTAGGCGAGTCATCCAGGTTAAGCCCCATTTCCGCCTCGGAATGCGTCATGTGCATCCCCAAAGGCGTTTCACCAGAAGACCGGCATGCCATGCTCAGCCTTTTGTTAGCCAAGGGCGCGGTGGGAACCAGTCTACACGAGGCCCTCATAACCGCCGTAGAAGCCGGCGATTTACAATCCGCACAACTCCTCACCACTCCCCAATTCCCGCGTGTTCGGTCCATGACAAACACCAATCGCCGTAGCAGCTCCCCGGGAATCGTCCAAGTTCGCCACGAGATGGCGTCAGTCGATCATAAAGCCGGATTCGCTCTCGACATTGCAGTCAAATCTGAGAATCTGCCCATGGTCAAGCAACTTTTAGCCGGCAGACCATCCGCGGCAACCCTAGACCACGTTTTCACCGCTGTGCTAGGACTTCAATCCACAACGCGTTACCAAATGGCAGAGTGCTTCCTCAGCGCGGGGCTTTCTCGGGCTCGTATCTCTGCGGCTTTGCAAAAGGCGATTGAGGAGCAGCCACCACGTAGAGACGAGAACTTGATCAGTATCTTACTTCGGCATAACGCCGATGTCAACTTTAATGACGGAGCCGGGGTGGTGTCGGCTGTGGTGATCCGGGATCTGCCACTGTTGGAGACCTTACTCACCAGCAAGCCGTCCCCGCAGACCATGGCGGCGGCAATGGCTCAGGCTCTCACAGTGGACGACAAGCCGGTTCGTTATGAGATGATCCGGTTGCTTATTGCTGGTGGGGCGGGTCGGGACGGCGGGGAGGTTTCTGAGGCATTGGCGCAGCTGTTAACTGTGAAGCCAACGGATATGAAGCTCGCGGCTTTATTATTGGAGAAAGGAAGGGCCGACATCAACTTCAGTCAAGGTTTGCCCGTTGTTATCGGTATGTTCACCTCTTTGATCCCATGTGTGAAGCAGGAATTAGTCATAATTAACTGGTCAAAGTCATCAACGAACCTGATCCAACACTGCTCGACCTCGTTCTCCACCACGGCCACCCAAACACAGATACCCTTTACCGCGGCCTTGAAACACTCTCCTCTCTCCCCGCATCCCCGACCAAAACCAAGAAACTCACCTCCCTCCTTCGCCACAAACCATCCCCGACCATCCTCAACGCCATTCTCTTCAAAGAAGTCCAAGCATTACTCCCCATCCCCCCATCTCAACGTCCACTCGAAACATTATCCGCCCTTCTCGACGCAGGAGCCGACATCAACGCCCACAAAGCCGCGGCCTTCTGCTGCGCTGTAAAAGGTGCTGACGCGCCCATCGTCGATCTCTTCTTCACCCATCCTACCCAACCCCAAGGACCCACCCCCGCTTCCCTGGCCGCGGCCCTCCCACAATCTCTCAATATCCCTGATGCGATGGACCGCCTGGCGTTTACGAAACGACTGATCGCGGCCGGCGCGCCGCCGTCTGAAGCCGGACGTGCGCTAGTGTATGCCATCACGGCGCACCCGGCGGACTTACCGCTCATCTCCCTGTTGGCGACACATGCAGAACCTAACGTCGCGGGCGAAGCCCTATCGGTGGCGGTGAAGAATGGAAACGTGGGAGCCGTCAGTGTGGTGCTGGAGATGGCTGGGTCGAGGTTTACGCGGCTGATTTTGGAAGAGGCGCTCAAAGACGGCGTGGCGTTGGGGGATCATGAGAAGAGGGCTGGTGTGTGCAAGGCGATCTTGAAGAGGGGGGTTCCTTTATCGGAAGCCGTGCTTGGGGAAGTGCTAATCGGCGCGGCGAGAGAAGGGGACTTAGAGCTAGGAACGGTCTTGCTGGAGTATGGGGCCAGCGTGGAGTTCCGTGAGGGGCAGGCGATTGTGGAAGCGTGTGGTGCCGGGTCAGCCGCTGTTGTGGGTATGCTCTTAGCTGGGAAAGGGGAAGCGAGGATGCCGACACTGGTGAAGGGGTTCCAAGCGACGACGCAGGTTGGAGATCTTGACAAGAGGACTGAGGTTTTCCGGCTGTTGCTAGAGAAGGGGGTGAGTGGTGACGTTGTCCACTCGCAGTTGGTGTCCGCGGCGAAGTTTGGTAGTGATGGGACTGAACTCGTGCGGTTGTTACTTGAGTTCGGGGCGAGTGTGGACTACAACGCTGGCGAAGCGATCTGGAATGCGACGCGCGGTGCCATTATGGACAGTCTTAAGCTTCTCCTTGGCGTTGAGAAAGTGGGCGGACGGCAGAGCACACCATCGCAACCGACATTGCTGCGGGCTCTCAAGGCGAGCAAGAAGCTCGGAAGAGACCCCCGGTATCAAGTCATCGACTGGCTGTTCCAAGCTGGCTTGGAGCCATGCGAAGAAATCGACATTGCCCTGAACCGGGCGGTCAAAGATGAGCCCGACCTCCGACTGGTGCAGTTGTTACTCAAGCACGGCGCATCGCCGTTAGCTAACGGCTGCGAGACGCTGATCGATGCCTGCCAGCGGTTACTCATCGACATTGTCAACACATTGCTCGAGACGGATATCCCAGCCAAAGATGTGTCCTGGGCATTCCAACAAGCTTTCACTCCGCAGACCGCTTCCACTTGGCTGACGTCGGAGGGAATGTTGGTAGCGGCGATGCTCCTAGAAAAGGGCGCTGAAGGAGAGAGTCTTGCTCTCGCGCTGGGCACGGCGATCGACTCGTACGGGACGGAGAAGGACGAGATTGCACGCCTATTTTCCGAGCTACTCTTGGGGGCCAATGTCGATGTCAACTACGAGAATGGACTGGCCCTCCAAGAGGCCGCGCGAAAGGCAGACTCGGAGTTGATCCAGCAGATTCTGAAGCGGAACCCGGACTCGCATACCGTGTCTATGGCGTTTCCGTATTTGTTCGAGGCGGATCTCTCTGAGGCGGATAGTCTCCGCCTTGTTGAACTGTTTGTCGAGTACCATGGTGATGGGGAGCGGCTTGATGCGATGTTCGTTCATCCGGAGTTGAAGGAACCGGTGATCTTTCGTGCGTTGGGGAAATATCCACGCTCGGTCAAGATGCTCCAGGCGTTGCTCGAGGCGGGATTCTATCACGACCAGATGATGAATATCAAGGTCGTGGAGGATGCTGAAGAAGAAGAGCCCGTCAGCTTATTGTTCTGGGCTCTGCTTCAGCCACAGAAAAAGGTCAGCAGCGCGGTCGTCGAGATGCTGATTGACTGCGGTGCCAAGGTCAACTTTGAGACGCGATGGTCCAAGAAGACGCCTCTGATGCTTGCTATTGAGAACAAGAGGCCTGATCTGGTCAAAACTCTGATCTTGTCCGGGGCGGAGGTTGATGTGGTGGATGCCACCGGGAACACGCCGATGACGATGGCTACCCGGATCGGCGGGGATCTCAGCACGTCGCTCATGTCCAGCATCCTGGCCGCGGATCCTTCCATTAACGATGGATCGCTGCATAATGCGGCGAGGGATCTGAACCTCCAGGCGATGCGAGTCTTGGTCGAGTATGGGCACGACGTTGACTTCCCGAGCACACTACACGGCGGCCGCAGTGCCTTGGGTGAGCTGTGCTTGAACGCAGCGCACGCCGGTCCGTTGAGCGCAGCGCAGGAGAAGCAGATGGAAAAGGCGATGACATTCCTCGTGAACAAAGACTCAGACCTCGCCATCCAGTCAGATTCCAAGTCAGTCCTGCTGCTAGCACTCAACTCGGCAGATCCGGTACCCATTACCCGCGCTCTGCTCAAAGTCGGCCTGTGGAAGCACGTAAACAAGTCCTACAACCACTACACCGACGGGAACTTCACCTACTCAGCCACGCAGTACATCACCCGTGTCCTCCCCTGCAATGAAGACCTCCGCCCCCAACTCCTCGACCTCCTCAAATCCAACCGTGCCATCGACGTCTACTACGCCAACGAGGGCCCCCAACCCCAAGACGCCATCAGCCTGCCCCCCGAACTCCTCCGCGCTGAACGCGAGCGCCGAGCCCGCGAAGAACGCATTTCAAAAGAGAGCGAAGAACACGCCATCGCCTTAGCCCGCACTAAAGAAATCGCCCACATCCACAACCAAATCTTCCGCCAGCGCGCCGAGCTCGAAGATTCCCGCGCTAGGCGCAAACAAGACGACGAAATGGCCGCGCTGCGCGAGAGGCAAGCCGCAGAGGAATCGGCGTTCGCGGCTGAACTGCAGCGCCGCAAGGCCGCGCGCGAAGCAGCCGTATCGCACGAACAGCGGCTCACTGAGGCCGGGCTTACCCGTGCGCGGCTGGTGGCCGAGGCGGAATTGGAAATGGAAGGGAAGAAACAGGACAAGATGTTGCAGTGGGAAGGGAGGATCTCGAAGCAGAAGGAGAACGACGCAAAGGCGTTGAGTGGGGTACGGATTCGGGAGCGCGAGGCGATTGAGAGGTTGGATGCGGCTGCTGATGCGAGGACAGTCAAGAGGATTGGAGAGCAGAAGAAATTGGTGGAGGGCCAGACGGTGTTGGCTGCAAGACTGGCGGGTGGACCGGGGGGGTTGGATCGCAGGCAGATTGGGTATGTGACGGGGGAGTTGGATTAGGGGAGGTGTGCATGGACGTGAGGCTTGGGATGGTCAGGTTGTCAGGTTACGTGGATCAGGTTACGTGGGTTTGACGGGTGTGATACTTGGGGAAGTTACGCTGAGAGGACGTGATACTCGGGGAAATTACGTTGGGAGGACGTGATGCTCTGGGAAGTTAGGTTGCGAGGGTTTGGTCAGCATGAGCTAGGGGAAGTTAGGTTGGGAAGGTTCTATGCACGCATAGGAGGCGTGCGGTGGATGTGATGTAATTAAATGCTCGAAGGTTTGGGGGTAAATAATGAACTGCACAAGCTTACAGAATTATTTCATGGCTCTTGATGTCTCTTGGGGTTCTGTATACGTCACGGTGCGTTTGATGCGAGAAAGCGCGCCCGACCTCCAAACCTTAGCATTGCTAGGAACGAACGGGTATAAATACATGGTCTACTCCTGCCCTTTTCCCGTCTGGACTTGAATAGCTAATCGTATCATCAGACTCGAACACTTCCTGGCACTCACACACTCACACACACACTGACAGACCTTCATACACACACACACCCATACACATACACACCCTTACCCACACAACATCCAACTGTCACCATGTTCCCAAGTCACCGCCAACAGGAACAGTCTCCCGCCACGGGTCCTTCAGCCCCCGTGGCCCGCGCCACCCGCCCCGTCGAGTACTGGCGCCAGGCAGCCGAGGTCTCCATCGAGAAGATCTCCAAGTTCACAGATCTTCTCCACGACGCCCGGGAACAACTGCAGCAGCAGTGGAACAACCCCCAGCGCGATCCCCGCTTCGGTCAAGAATACCTCTACGGTCTTGCCGAGATGGAGATGGAGACCGAGCTGGACGCCAAGACCCAGATGGCTTGGTGGTCGACACCGGACGCGCGCTGTCTGGTGGAGAGGGTCGTTGCGGCGGAGGCGGAGACGCGGGTTTACGAGTCTGTGGTGAGGGAGATTGCGCGGGACCGTGATGAGGGGGGTATGGATGGGATCGAGCCGAGGGTGGTAGAGCCGGATACGGCTATGTGCAGCGATCTGTACAATACCCTGGATAAGGTTCACCAGAAGGAGGTGATGGGTGGGAATGGGACTTTGCTGGGGGCTCTCGGGGGTGCGGAGGACTGGTTAGGGACAGGCTTGTGCAGGCGTATGGGGCGGGGCACAACCACAACGGCGTAACCGGCCACGGCGACGACGACAGGATGGATATCGACGACCAGCTGCGGAGTTGTAGTGATGATCTCCACAAAGATTGCGTCTACGACCAGGCGACGGGTCTGCGGTTCTCGCACCATCTTGTCGAGCCGGTTCGTCTCGTCCCATACCGACTCCCGCCCGCTTTCTCCGCGGCCATCTTCGGCGTCGCATGCCAGTGCCTCGGCGGACTATGATACGCCCGCCAACGGACTCCTCCTGCACCACGCCGTTGCGCACGCTGTGGCTGATGGCGCGTTGGCTGTTGTTCCTGCTCTGGGAGATGAGCGTCATGAGGCCTCCATAGACGACATCGACGAGTGGGAGATCAGCGAACCAAAGGAGTACCGCTGGCGGGTGGTCGATCCCAGCGCGACATCCCTGGACGCGGAACTCGATGCGTCGGCCTGTTGCGATCCTCGTTGTGGGGGGGACAGCATCATCTCCACCCACAAGACTACCATCTGTGACCTGGATGGCGAGCGGTTGGTATTCGACACCAACGAGGGACGCCAACACCACCAAACCCGCCCGGCAGTCAGGTATCTCTATTTCCATTACCTGGTATGCCACCTCCGACTCGCCTGGAGGCACGGATACCACGACAACGCCCGACTCGAGGACCGCCCTGCCGAGTCGGTCCTGGGGTTGAAAAACTGGCAGCCGTTCTGGCCGATCCAACAACCCCAGGACCGAGGGGTTCAGTGTCTCGCCCCGACTTGTCTGCTGGCCCTGGAGGAAGAGTTTATCCACTGTGTGACGACGGAGGATGACTCTCCTCGCACGTCGTACCTGTCGGGACACCAGCCAGACGAAGCGGACGCCGACAAAATGGACGTCGAGCAAGAGCCTACGGCTCGTTGGTCGTACCCCATTGTACCCTTGGTTGACAGCCGGGGGAGCAAGGCGATAGATCGGGCCGGGTTGGTTGCCATGGCGAAGATTGTGCAGGCGAGGAGGACGCTGGAGGAGGTGGAGGGCATGGAGGACCCGGGCGGTGGGAAGGCGGGGGAGGGAGAACGACGACGAGGAGGAGATGGGCGGGGTGTGTAAGCGGGCGAGGGGGTGTTAATTTTGGCTTTTGGCTTTTGGTTTTGGCTTTTGGGTTAAGGGGTGATGGGCCTGAATGGGGAGTTAGTTTAGAACTGAGGAAAACACAACTCAGCTGCTTCTGTTTTGGGCAATTTCATCACTTCTTCAGAGTTCGCTCAAATTGACCCGTTATCCTAGCTGCCTTGAGAGTTACTTATTGATTATCATCGTGTCGATGTTGCTATTCTTCCTCTGCACGAAAATTGTGATTGAGTTGTTGAAGGGGAAGGAGTCAAGCAGTTGGAACTTTGCAGTTGTAGGAAAGAGCACAGGAACATGAATTGGTACGCAGACTCGACATGGTCCTTGTTTCCAGCTTACAGGCAACAGGGCGAAACCCCTTTTCCCATTAAGAAGAGGCCCATCGTTGTCCACACTTGCCTCAAACACCCGTCAAGTTCTTGTCGAATATTCAATGTTTCTGCAGGTACATCCTCAAGGCGTAAACCCGTGGCTGTCTATCTAGGATTGTGAAATACCTAAGGATAGAATCACCGACAACCGACTTCAGTATTGTGGAAAGAAGGAAGCTATCAACCGAGAGGTGCAGTACTGACAGAGGAAGGATGAAATAATAAACAGCTGCGACCCTTCCACCCGGCTCCGAAGTATTTAACGAGAACAAGTCCTCTTGGACCTCCCATTTCGAACCTCGAAAAATCATGCAGCGCAAACCCATTCAACCAATTTCATTTCTAATCACCTTCGCTTCTTCCCATCGCCACCAAATTCACTTCTCATGTTCTTTGCCTCTTTCCCATCGCCGCCGAATTCGAATCGAAACAACAACGGATCAGTAACGCCCGTGATGATCAGGATACCTGTCATGCCGATACAGGGAGCTGGTGGCCCTCCCTCAGTACCACCCGTGACGACCAGGAATCATTCCATCCGTACAGAGAGCTGGCGGCCCTCGCTCGACGCCGAAGCCACGAATCCAAACACTACACACCCAGCGCTCCTGGCACCCAGTCGTCCTGCACTTCCATCATATCCCGTAAGTTGAGCGCGGTACCGGAGGTGTAAACATCGTATTAACAGACTGCTAGGCCGCTTGTTACACCATTGCCATCGCCGCCGCAGAAGCTCATTAACACCGACGTCGCAGAAGCTTGTCGGCAGCGCCTCCCGCTCGCAAGAAAGGGGACAGGAGTGGACAATGCCAGTTCGGCTGCCTTCGCTCGGAATTGAGCGGCTGCATGCATTCCCCGAAGGGTTCAACAACCGTACCAGGGTTCCATCGACATGCCGGCCGGGCCGGAGGGCTCGGGGACCTTTTGCCAGGCTGATGGCATGGATACTCTCCGCCCTCCGCCCTCCAGGGGGCACAACATGTTCAGGGAGCGCTTGCCACGGCCTCAGTTACTATCAGAGCAACAGTAGGCAGTGTGAGTGAACTCGACGATCTAGTCCTCCGGGGGGCACGACACGTTCAGGGAGCTTTGCCACGGCCTCCGCCACTTGGAGATACAGCCACCATTTCCCATTGCAAGAGACGCGTCATTCGAAGTGCCCTATCGCAACAGTGGCTACGGCTATGAACAGGGTTAGGGCCTGGGTGTTCGGGCGGGACCGAGAACCTGCGCCGCCGTTCGACCACGGCTGGGTAGTGGTCGATAAGCTGGCTATTCTCCAGTCCAGTTGGTGTCCGCGACTTCGGCAGGCCCCCCATCCTTCTTGTCAGTATTCTCATTGTCGGTTTGGTCGCTTTTGGAGCCACTATTCCGAGTTGGGAAGCGACTCCTCCAAGCAACAACACATCACCGACAGCACATCGGTAACAATACATTAACAACAACTCCATCTTCTCAAGCGCATCATGTGTTTCCCCTACCCCCTAGTGACAGAATGGAAGCCGACAGTTGGATGGGTTCACGGAGGAGTGGAAGACCTTTCTGCAGTCATGTTTGGAGGTTGTTATGAGGCTCATGGCGCGAATGCAGTAACGAGGAGTCAGGGCGTGGGGCTCGGTGTATAAGAAGCGGCTTTGATGGACCTAGGAACAATGTTCGGGGGCTTAGAGTTCAATTTCAACCTTGTATTCCACTCTAAAATCATGCACTGGCCCCTGAGATGTTGTTGCGGCGAGACCCATGCACATCCCTTCACTCTTGTACTATCCCTGGGGCTTTACATGTTGACAGTCACCCCGGCTCTATTCCTCTCGCTCCACATCATTACGCAAGTGGAATCTGACCAACGGGAATAACAGTGGATTGAAGCCCTTCTCTGTCTAATCACTATCCCATTCCAGATCTTTCAGCTTCTCCTCCACTTTCTCTGTGACCTCGCGACAGTCGGGTCCTCGATGAGGCACGATTTTGTCCAGCACCCGGCGCCACAGTGACGACCTGGCCATCTTCAAGGCCTTGAGCATCTTCGAAGCCGTGAGCATCTCGGGGGGCTGGGGCACCTCAGGGGGTTGAGGCACCTCAGGGGGTTGAGGCACCTCAAGAGGCTTGCGCATCTCTGGGGGCGCGAGCTGGCAACCGTACTGGACCGCAAGGTGTTGGGCCTTCAACAGCATTTCTTGCTGAACCTGTCGGTCGCGGATGAACTCTGGAATGAGAATATGGGCATCTAGGGATAACTTCCGTTCCAGTCGGTCTTTTCCCCTGGTAGGGACTTCATCGATCATCTCCTTCAGGACTCCAGTGTACCCTGTAAATCCCGCACAGGCTTCATCCAGGTGTTCGCCCCTGGCATCAACGCTTCGATGAACCTGGTAGTAGTAAATCATCGTAGCAGCATCCCATACCGGTAATCTTAGTCCATCATCGTCGACCCAATCCCCCACTAGGCGCGAAATGAGCGCCCACGACCTATCGTCGGGGACACCCTGCTGCCATCTCCAAAGCCGCGCGATGCGGACAAGAAAGTCGGACACCATCATGAAGTCGGACCATGAAGGAACAGTTACTCCTGCCCCTGACACGCGTATTGAATCCGATGTAAACCCATAGTCGACAACGAGCATGATCTTGATCATGCGCCTCAGGTCCGGCACAAATCTCCTAAAGCACTCAACCGGAGGCTTCAACACGTACCCGGGCTTCAACGGGCCCGTGGTGCTGCCTTCAACGGGCAGCAGCAGCATCTTGTCGTCGTCATCATCATCCGTGTCCTGAAGCGAATCACTATCATCACTATCATCGCTGTCATGACCCGTCCATTCCATAGCGTACATCATGGCGCCTGCTGCTTCAAATACGGAGTACGGCCTGCTCATAATGGGTGATATTAATAAACCATGTCGCTTTTGGCCGCGCTGGCGTGACGCGACGAGGGTGTCGGCGGATTTTTCTTTGAATGCGCGGATTGTAGCGTGCATTGTTTTGACGACGTGGTTTAGGGTCTCGCGGCCGCGGGGGTCGGTGAGTTTGCCGACTTCGTGGTCTCGTTCGGTTATGATGGGGCGGAGGGTGGGTTGGGTTGGTTTCCATTCTATGGCGAGGGGGTAGGGGAAACACATGATGCGTTTGAGGAGTTGGAGGTTGGTGCGGTCTGTGGCGGGGTTGATGCTCGCGGCGGCGTTGGAGGGGGAAACGGGCGGTTGGGCGACGATGAGGGTGTTGTTGTTGTCGTATGGCAAGATGAAATTGGGCGATGACTCTTCGGTGAAGGTAAAGGTGTGGTGGACGGTGGGAAGGCCCCTGGGGTTTGAGAGCGGGGGAGGCATCGTGGCGGTGGTTATTGTGGCTGGGGATTTGACAGAGACGGAACCCCCGGGAGGGCTCGCTGCTAGGGAATGGAATCATCGTACATATGTATGTAATTAGTCGGAGAAAGCTCCGGAGAGTGTGTCCGCGCTCTTTGAGCGTGTGATGTCATGATGAAGCATTATATAGCTTCACCGTATGATGAGGTGGAGTCTGAACACACATTCCCCCTCTGCTGAGTCAGTTCTGTACTCGGATATCAAGGGACCCGACCTGGCTTCCCTCGATTCCTTATCTCACGAGCCCAGACCAGCGGCTGTGATCCTAAGATAACTTGTGGGCGAAGATCATACCCATTGGTGTAAGATGGGATATCCTGCATTGGTGGAGGATTACACCAATTGGTTTAATACGGGCCTAGCCGTAACACCACCTGCCTCTTCTCATCTCTACCAACGCTGCATGCAATTACGGCAATTGACTATGAACGCCCGTAGCTATCGTGATATAATTAATCATCTATCAGTGTTGTACTGTTGTACAGTGAGCTAGTGCCCTTCCGCAAACGGTTCAAAGTCGTTACTTCAGGATAGGACAAAATGAGTGCTCATAGCAAGCACGATGGGAAAGAAATCAATGGTTGGATATGTGCCCCCAAAACAGCAAAAAAGTTATCAATCATAACACCAAAAAAGGGAGGAACACTGGTGACAACCGATGTGTCTGACGTGAAATGAAGCGTTGCTTGTTCGCTTCTTCAATGTACGTAGCCCATGTCAGAAACTCTCTAGACAGCTTCTCCGTCCAATCGTCGTTCTATTGTCTTGCTCGTTCTGCTTTCGTCTCGGTGATCTTTCTTCCCTTTTAACTGCACTTCTTCCCCCTGCTGAGCCATAATGGTGAACCGAAAGCCGAACGTTGCGACCAGCATTCCAGAGTGGGCCGACAAGATTCGCCGGCAACTCGGCATCAAGGGCACAGATCCCGACCGGGACGACAAGATCTGGGCCGCGGATACTGCCGGCTGGTGTTTCTCCTCGGGCTCTGATCTCGACGAGAAAGACTACCTGCTCCTCCGGGTTATCTGGACCCATCACGGCAATATCAACAAGCTCAGCGCTTTCATTCGAAATAACCCAGAGCTAGAGGGGGGGAGTACAAGGGTTATGTGTCTCCAGAAAACGACGCGCTGGCAAAGGAGATATATGAGCGCATCAAGCCCGAGCTTGAGGGGTACTTGGAGGACATTCGGCCAAACAAAGATGGGACTCGGCCGCGCTCCAGCTGCGGCAAGTATTCGACTGTCAGGTATTAGCAAGGCATGACGGTCTCAAAGATCAAAGAGTTCCACAACCGGAGCGATGTGGCTGAATTGTCAAAGAAAGTTCACAAAAAGTTCAATCCTACAATCTCCGCCTCCCCATCCGCCACCGCCGCCTCCACCAATTCCTTGGATGATGACGGTGCCTTTGCCTCTGGCGATATAACGACGTTGATGGCAGAGACGAGCATCTCGGGGCTTCCCGCCACACCTGTGAGACGGGGCCCGCAAGCCCAGCCTTCGATGGAGACGCCGGTAGTGGCCACATCATATCCGGTGGCAGGCGGCACGCAAAACCCCGCCACAACAGACGAGTACTACGTTAACATGGCAATCCTCGTGCTGCTGCAACAGCTCCTCTCGGACATGAGAGAGCTCGCCACTGACGTTCCTAGGCGCCGGCTCGACTTTCTCGGCCTCCCCTTTGAGGACCTTGACTGGTTGGTGGACCGCCTATCCTTAAAGTTGTACAGCCGCGAATCTGGCGGCGATCCCGTTGAGCTGATGGAGGCCCGGGTGGACGGTTATCTCTGCAAGAGGGGCTATAAGCGTCACAGCCACGGTCGCAAGGTCCCCGGTGTTCAACGACTTACCACTGGCCATCATCGAAGCAAAGCCATGCGTCAGAAGGGCTGGAGCTTCCGCCATTCGATGGCAAGAGAGTGCAGAGATGGCGTCCTGGGTGTCTAGCCTGGCTGAGGAGTCTGAACACTTCGGTTTGTTGCAGTCGTCGAGCAGTGGGAGAAAACGGTAAGTATTAGATCCTTCCACCCAGTGCGTTGTCCGTCCTGCTGTAAGCTAACATGAATACGATAGGCGCTTGCTACTATCCCGAAACCGCGAAGAAATATACATTACCATCGCTGAATACGGTGAGGCTTGGAAGCAGTACATCCGTACCGGAAGCGCATCGGGATCGCCAAGCGCTCGCAAGAAAGGGGACGGCATAGATCTCGCTGGTTCGGACGTCTTTGTCCGAAACTCAATCGCTGCCGTCCCCAAGGAATTTGAAGAACAGGCCAATGACGCAGAGAAGCACCTACCTGTCGACACGCCAAACCGCCCCCGCCTGACCCGCGCCCAGAAAGAGCTCAAGTTGCTAGATAATGGCCATTTCTGCTTTATGAATCAGTGGGGACCCTTTTCTGCCAAGTCGGACAGCGACATGGACCTTCTCTTGCGTCGGCTGATCGGTTTCCACGTCCAGCTGCTAGCAACGGCTTCAGGACAGCCGATTTAATGCTCAAGGGACTCACATTGTTGTTTTGGTCATTTTCACGGTCGTTTTTGCTATTGCTGTAGGGTTGAGAAATTGAGAAGTAGTTCGAATAAGTTGGTTGGCAGCTTGAGGTGGCATTACAACAGGCAAATTGTTATTACAGTGGCCTTTTTTGTTTTTGCACTCACGCGTGTGAGGTCGTCCCTTTCATTGTAGTCCGTACGTTTTTGCCATGATATATTGTCATGTAAAACAGACAATACGTGTCAAGGAAACCAGGCAGCAAGGCACCATGCAGCGACATAAAGTTCATTCGAAGCTAGGTACCGAGAGGAACAGAAAAGAAGATCCGTACCGATGCAGGGCTTTCCTGCAATTAAGCCAATTGGTGTAATTCAAGCCGAGCCGAGTACTGAGCCGAGCGCGTGCCGAGCCCACACATCGATTGGTTTAAGACGAGCCTAGCCGTTACAACTCGAATGACCTCACACGCACTCTGCTGCTCCTGGGTTGCCAGCCTGATACGGTCAGATACAGTCCGGTACCTTTGCTTATCTTGACCATTTCGGGCCGTATCGGGCTGGCAGCCCAACAGGCCACGCCGCCAAGGCAGGGTGCCTGAGCCTCTGGTCACGATAGGACAGTGTTTCCGAGGAAAAGTCGTGGAGACCCATAAATACTTGTGCAGTGGGTCCACGCCGCGATGTAAGGGTGCCGACACCCTTAGGAAATGCGGCTATGATCTAGAGATAACGAGGTACAACGATTTGTTTCAATCGAGGATACGGAGTACCTACTATGGTATCGGTATTAAGGCTACCATTGTAAGTGTTAATTAAGGGTTCAGATTTAAGAGGGCTTGGCTTATACCAAGACCCTAGCCGTGAGTTATCTCAGGCACTCAGACCAGCAGGCGGTGGTGCGCCCTTCCTTCATGGGTTCTCTGGTCTGGAGTTTTCCTCCACCTATGGCGACCACAATGCTCAGTCACGGCGTCATTAGCGAGTCAGGCCGCGGTTCCCTCGCCTCACGGTCCCAGCGTTCTTTGTCCTTTGAAGTTTTGAACGTCTCACGATCTCTCCCCTTTCGCACCTTGGCAAAGTTGGCCCTGGTGTCCCCATGTGCCCCGACACATCGCGTCACCCAGGTCCGAGGGGGCCTGCATAGGCATGGGGCGCATTAGACCTCCGAAATGTAGGCAGGGATCTCTCCCCTATTCAACACAATACTGCGTGGCCTTGGAGATAGTCGGGGTGGCCGCCACACGTCTGATCAGTGAGACTGAGGGAATGTTGTTTTCTTTTTCGGGTCGTCATGGTTCATTCCGTTGCATGTTCTGGTGCATGACCGACACCTTTTATATTAGGTACTTAGGTAGCCTTCCACTGTTTGGATGGGGAACTTTCCTCTTTGCCTCGAGCAATCAACCACGTTCCTCTCTAAGTAGTGTTGACGACCGAGGGTGATTCCTCATCAAAGTCAGGTGACTACCGTAGGGGGTGTATGTTTGTAGGTATGTAAATAAGTAACCAGTTCTTTCCCTCAGGCTCCGCCGGTCCAGAACGCCGGGGTGGAGCCAACCAAGGACGAGATGAGCAGGAACAGGGGAGGATCTGTGCGATGTTTTGTCGTCACAGACAACAGCAGACAGGGGTGTATACAGCAGCCAAAAACAAGGCCCCGCCCTCCTTAGACCTTTTTCGGGCTCACCTCGAACGATCACCAGTTCACCACTTTAGCATCTCGCCACTGCATACAACCGTTCCTTGCAACCATGGCGCAGATTCGCCGCCGACGCCTCGAGAAAACGCAACACCGCATGTTGGAGACCCTGTGGGACCATTTGGACTTCGACTCGCCCGGCACGCTGAACGACGCTGAGCTCAACAGCCTCGGTGTTCTGAGGGGTGCAGATCTCGACGTCGACAACCTGGTACCCTTGGATTCTGAGCCACGATTTTTTTGCTCCCTGCCACGGCGATATTAGCGGCCTAGAGGAAGAGCTTGAGACGTGGGGGCACCATTGGCACCCGAGCATGGAGATACCTGAGCACCTCCGCGACGATGAGTGGATTCCGAACGCGGGCTACGTCTACGCTGAGTCGAAGCTGAATTGGTTTGATCATGTTTTTTCCGGCTTGGAAATGGAGTACGAGGATGAAATACATCCTGTGTAGGTCACTTCATTGCCGCTGCTCCGTTGACCTTCGCGACTAACACCTGTGCCAAGCAACATCTACAAGGGACTCGACCAGGAAGATATGAGTTTTGGGTCACCGATAGGCGACTGTCCTGACAACGCGGGGTTGTACATGACCGGATACTACATGGTGCCGACCGCCGCCGACACACCGCATCTGGGAATCACAGTGCTCAACCCAATTGTGGCCCGGGAAGGTGAGATGCTCGAGTGCGAGCTCAAGGCCACCGCCGCTTGCTTGTGGGCACAAACCCGCTCGAAGCAATTCACCGACCATCACACCAAGCCCGTAAGACCTTCCCTCTTCCCCCTCCGGCCATTATCCAACTAACTACCACCAAGCACGCTACAGGTCCTCGTCTTCACCTTCCAATCGGAAACCCACGCCCGCATCACCCAATCCCATATGGACGCCAAAACAAACAAAATCATCATCCGCCAGTCGCGCCAGTTCGAGCTGATCGGCGCCCCCGGCGAGCCACCCGCCGACGCCTACTTGCTCATGCGTTGGCTGCTGAACGCCCCCGTAGGCGCGACCAAGTACGAGGACGAGCAGTCACCTAGTGAGGGCGAGATCTCGAAGGGCGCGGGGACAGCCGGGGCTGGGATGCCTGTGGTACCCAAGATTGTGGTCGCCAATCCTGACCGGTAGGCTGGGGCCGAGTTGATGAGTGGGTCGGGGAGTTTACGTTTGTGCGGTATTTGCTTTGGTTAGGATAGGGACTCACGGGGCGTTAGGCTTGTTTTTATTATGACATGGATGAGGGACGGGGCACGATATGACTTGGGTTTTAGGTTGGGCCTTCAGTGAGGGTAATCGGTATTTTTTCGTTTTGACATCGTCGAATCGGTCTGTCGGAAGGTGGAAGATAGACACGGGGTGATCGGAGTGGGCGCAGGACAAGGAAAAAGGCAACCCTTGTACTGTTCTCTAACAACCCATTTTCCTCTATTAACATCGGAATCGTCCTCGAAGTCCGACTCTGCATCCGTTGCGTCCGCCGCGGACCCGTCCGCTGCCACGACTTCTCCGGGTTCTTTGGCACTGCCGTCACCGGTGCGCCCTATGTAGGATGACCTTTAAGCTCTTAGCAACCCTGTAAGGCCATGTTCTACGGCAATGTGCAGCAGGGTACCCCATAGGATTCCGGACGACCGAAGAGCTCCGACTTCTTGTATGCATACAGCCACGAATTCACAACTTCGTTTGATGGCCAATGAAATGACGCCAGGAGCTCATTATAAGCACTGACTTCAGGATCGGATCGTGCCGCATGCGCCATCCACTCCGTTGAAGCATAATGCAAAAGGGCGAAGTCGTCACTGTTGGGGTTTGCCGGCCGGTTTAGCTCTTCCATCGCTAGGTAGCGCAAGCAAATTTTGAACAGCCGGAAGTGTCCTCGGATTGCAGCCTCGGCCGAGGTTACGTTGTCATCCAAAACCGATAGGCCGTCCTCCAGAAAGAAGTCTTTCAGGGACTGATGGATAAACTGAATCTCTCCGGTATGACTAACCTCGGCAAGTCCCATGCTAAGTGTCCTGACTTTCCTCTCCATTCGCGTGGTGTCGGGGACGTAGTTTTCGTCAGTCTCGTACGCCTGTAACGACCGACAGGGTGAGTCACTGTCAATAACCATGGCCCATCGCATTTCATCTATTGTTAAGGGTCGCGAGGCAAAGCAGATCCATTGGATGAGTTTCAAGGACGCCGGTCCCATGTCTGGAATCAGGTTTCGGTATACTCGACGGAGGTCCGGGGGAACCGCATGAACCGCCCCTTCAATCTCATTTAATCCGGCTCCTTCAAGTTCAAGGTCCCTGACTCGCTTCACCACAAGACGTGCCCAGAGAAACACACCCGAAGCACGCGCCGTAATCAGTGCTGGAATCGTAGATCCCGTCCTTGCCTGGAACGCACCAAGTTGCGTATTAACAAAGGTCGAAATATCTTTGTCGTTTTCATCTTCGAGGCAAATCTCGAAGGTATCGTCCAGGTCCAATATTGGGTAGTGACGACAAGAGAAACATATGCGAAACGGCTTTAACCCAATAGACCGGGATCGGAGGTTGTTCAGTAAAGTCTTGAACATGTCGACGACCTTGACCGCATTGTCTTTACCACATTCGTCCAAGGCGTCAACAAATAGCCAGACCGGATGAGTCTCCAACACATTATACAGGCATGCTTCGAGGTAACCCCGTAGTTCCTCTTCATGCCACGACCACTTTTCGTCGTGGTTACCAAACTCCTTGCACCTTTTCTTAAAGGCATGAACAAGATTCGATAACGCACGTGGGGCCAGACTAAAAAGCTGATGAAGTAGTGACCGGAATAGGCCAAGAGGACTTCTGAGCAATTCATCGCCAAGACCGCGGAAGAAGAAACTGAGAAAAAAGTCTCCGTCTCCGATTCTGTGATTTTTGACGGCGTATTTCAGGAGTGTTGACTTCCCAGAGCCAGGTTTCCCTTTGATGCACAGTAGTCCGTGATGATCAACGGCCCAGGTCCTGTACGTCTCATGTCGATTTACCCACTCGCATGTCCCTTTGACTGCGCTATCGATGTCGGACGATTGATTGCACATTTCCGGGAAGGCTAACGACCTGTGGCACTCTGCGGAAAGGTCACGCAAGCTGGGCAGTTCGAGCCTATCTTCATAGTAAAACTTAGCCAATTGGGTTCTCTTCTTAATGGGTCTATCTACTCGATCCCCTTACCGGTGTTTTGAAGCTTAATTTCGTGGTGCTCAACGTTTACAGACCTGGTGTTAGCACTGGCGGCTTTGATGCTGTTGGTGCCATAACCGTAACCAATTCTCAATGGCCCTCCCAGGCCGATTTCCACCGACGAGGGTGATGGTTGTGACGACGGGGGTTCGATTAAGAGAGGCCTCGACCGTTCAATCTCTTTTCCCCATCTAATCAGCTCTCCCGTTACCATTACGAACCCATCGTCCTGCATCGACGCAAACTTGGTCATGTCGTTGTGGTTGGCGTGGATAGTGATGTGATTATAACCATCGAAATGGGCGGAATCCTTGGTTACGAGCAGCCCGATGGGAGGAACGGGCAGTTCTTCTGCAAAGCATGTGACGTTGAGAGCCCTGCCTTCTTCGCGCTGTTCTCGCAGCATTCCTAAAAACCGCAAATGGATAGACTCCAGGAACTGATCGTTTGTCTGTAGGATCTGCAAAAGCGGCTTGTTGACTTGCTTGACGATACCAAAAGCCGACGCCGGTATCCTGGCCCAACCGGCCATCGAAGACCCCTTGTGGGGGGTTCCCATGAAGATGATGCCTTTGAAATAGTCGAATATGCCGCGCAAATGAAGCTCCGGGTTGTCTCGCGATGACAGGATCGCTTCCTTGCAGACAATCCCGCCGAGGCCGTGAGCGACGAAGATGAGAGGGCGAGTTGAGGCATTGTTCGTCCGCCTGTTTGTCGTTAATCTCGCCAAGAGGCTCATCGCGTGGTCAAGTAGTCGATTTGCCGATGGACCCGAGCCCGGGACGACGTATGCGTCGTAGCCGAACGTGAGTATGCGAGCATTGCGGAGCTTTAGAGGAAGGAAAGTTTTCGGCCAAGGTACGGACTGTCCGTCTGCGGTCCAGGTGCTGTTCCGGTCCCCAGACAGACCGTGAACAAAGCAGATGTCGACTGTGGCGTCGGGGCAGTCGTGCAGAACATCCACGCCGGTCGGGAAAGGGGGGATTCGTGGACTCTCGACAAAATCGAGCTCATGGCTCCTTTCTTTCCCCGTGACCTCAGCCTTCTTGGCCTTTCTTCGAAAGCATAGCAACGATTTCATGGTGTTGAATGTGCGACCGAGTCAATCTCGATCATCGCGCCAGGGACCAGCTGTTGAGCAGGCTTCGCCATCGTGCAAACTCGGGGAGCAGCTGAAGCACCCCCGAATGCACCCAACCTCTTGCCGCCCGGCGTCTTTGCATGATGAAACTACAGCCAATTGGTTTTGTGTCCTGCAGGTTGGGCTGCAACACCGGCGTTCCCCTTGTCGCTTCTGCCGTATCACATCACGTCAAGCGCAAAAGGAATGTGTGGTCCCCACTTGTAATGGGAAGCTGTCCACAAACCCTCGTAAGCGCCCTGCCCTGAGCCGCGCTGTGGCATGCCGCCTCGCGGCTAACTGCTGTAAATATAACTTTGTATGTGCAGGAAGCCAAGTGCAGGTCAGTTATCCAACTTACCGCGCGTGTGTGCTATATTCAGGACCGTTGTTGAAAAAGTTGCGTCATGCAGCGTTTCACCATGTTTGTGAAAGCGTTGAGCGCTGTAATTACGTAACCAATGGAATCATTAATTGTCCCGCGCATCAAAAACATCAAGCTCTAAACGCTTCATTGTTCGGGGAGGTTGGGGTCAGGAGAAGAGGACGGTTTGAAGGAAATTGATGAAAGTGACAACGACATTAATTACACTAGACATTCAAGAATTCTCAATGATGCAACGACTAAACGTTAAACAATGGCGGTAATGGCGGTGGGATGTAATTACAGACCCTAGGAAGTAACCGTCACCAGCTCCAGCTCCGGATGGACAGGCTTTTGGAAAGCGAGATGAGAAAATGATGGTTTTATTCGACGGAATCACCTGATCCATTGATACGGGCTTTTCAGAACTCACATCTACATAGATTGCAATAAAGTTGCGCGTCGTATCTAGACGAACACTTGCTGCGTGGCTGCGAAGGTGTGCGGCGCCGACTGTGTAGCGACCGTCTCCGGATGATCAAAAAAGGGCGAACCGCGTGTAGAGGGAGAATCAGACTAACACACATTGCTGTTTTTTAGATCGCACGCATTTGCCCTTTGGTAAACTATCCCGGCGCCCCATTTACAGCCAACTGGATACATCTAGAAAGGCACTCTCTGTGATCGGGTTGTTTTCCGATTTGACGATGATAATATTCCATTTTAGTTGGAAGTCTATTAGGCCTGTTGAAAGGGCCCTTGAATGAGCGTCGAGGTTTTTAAGGTCCTCGCGGTGATGCTCGGTCCTAGCATGAAGTCCTCGCCTGTGGGATATTTCCGCTTTGTACCGCGACCAGGTTGAGGATCCCTTCAGTGGCGTCCAGGTTGTGATTTTAAGGCCAAGACAATGTTCAGCGGCGAAGTTCAATAGTTTAACTATCCGTAATTTCACGCCATTTAGTAGTTGGAGCGTTAGGAGTTGGAGGAGAAGGAAGGGTTATTGGTTTTTCTATAGTGAGAATAGGGACATTTGTACCGCACTTGTTGGAGAGGAAGCCACGTCAGACGAACTTAATGCCTCCGTAACTTGTTTCTGACTTCCTTGAGCTTTTGTCTCTAACGTGTCGGCCGTCAATGAATGTAACAAGTGAGTTGCCCTTCATTGTGAACGTCTCGGATATCCGAGCATCTTGGCAGTCTATCCTACCTCCTCGTGCAGGAAGGATTCTGAAAATGGGACGCTGTGCTCGGACCCAAGCAGAGACACAACGTTTGGCCGACTAAGACAATGACAATTAATTCCTTCGGGTTTTAACCATAGTTTCTGCCATTCATCTGCAGTTTTAGTCAATTGAGACAGTGCCCCAATCATGTAAATTCTTACGAGTCTCATTAACTCTTAAACTTGCACCCCATAATTGAATCCAAAGCTCCCAAACCTCATTTTTCCGTCAGTCGGAACAACTACACCGAACCGAGACGATCATTCTCCTTTTCTCCCCTTCACACCACCATCCCAGATGCATGCCAAGCCCGAATTTGGGGTTGCGATGGTGCACACGAACAAATGAATCAGCCTTCCCCTCATCTAACCGGCCGCCGCGATTCGCCCAACCAGACTTTCTCAAGTCTTCGCACCGGGGAAATATCCTTCTCTGCGAGGGACTTGCACAGAGCCTGCCCGGTCAGTCCGGCTGGCGTTGTACTGTGAGGATTCTTGTGTGACACACAATGCAGCTGCTAACTCGGATTTTGAGCAAAGGTTTTGAGGGGGATTGACAGAGAAGGATCTTAACAGGCTTGACACTTGACAGGCTTGCAGGTTCACCGGAATGCAAGGTTGCAGTCGGCCGTCATACGCGGCATCCGACGACCGAAGTTACTTACGTCTTTGTACAAGTGTTGCATGACCCCGCGAACGACTTGTGACGATGAGAATCCTTTTGGTTTCTTTTGCCTTTTGCACGGAATGCCCTTGCAATGGGTAGAGTGGAGTAGAGTATAAAGTTTACATTCAACACCACACCACACTACACTACCTAAACATGAAGCTATTCCCAACTCTCGGGCTGGCCATCGGCCTCTTAACGCCGCCAACAATCGCCGGCAAAGCCACCACCTGGACTGGCTGGGGCGGATCCCACCTCAACAACCACTGGGCATCCGACAACCACGACCTCACCTCCCAAACCATCTCCTCCCTCAAAATCCACTGCAAAATCGACGACCCCATCGGCCAAAGCGCACCAGCCGCCATCGACGGCGACTTCGCCTACTACCCAACCTGGAGCGGCTCCTTCATCGCACTCAACTACAAAACCTGCGCTACCCTCTGGACCCTCAACGTAACCGACCTCATCGAACAATACTCCCCGCTAACCCCCTACCAATCCCTCATCAACGCCGCCGTCTCCCGCACCTCGGCCCAAATCGACCCCGACCTCCGCGTCCTCTTCTTCGGCACCCAAATCCACGCCCTCCTCGTCGCCGTCGACCTCGACACCGGCGCCCTCCTCGCCACAACCCAAGTCAACCCCCACGAACTCGCCGTCGTCACCGCCTCCCCAACCTACTACGACAACACCCTCTTCGTCGGCGCAGCCAGTGGCGAGGAGAACGCCGCCTACTCCACCAACGGTACCTACCCATGCTGCAGCTTTGTCGGAAACGCGGCAGCCTTCCGCTTCCGCCGTGTCGACACCACGGCGGGGAAGTTCACCACCCTCTGGAACGTCACCACCATCCCCGCGCACCTCGCACCCACCACCCCGCCGACCCCAGGCGTCCCAGCCACCTTCGGCTGGGCGGGCGCCGGCGTCTGGGGCTCCCAGCCCTCCATCGACACCGCGCGGAACCAAGTATTCTTCGCGACAGGCAACACCTACACCACGCCGCAGGAGTATTTCCACTGCGGCGAACCCGACGCCGGCAAGGACTGTTTCCCGTCCTACATCTGGCAGGAATCGGTGTTTGCCTTGGACGTGCGGACCGGACACGCCAACTGGGTGCGCCGGCTGGATGAGTTGGACGCGTGGACTCTGATCTGTGGTGCCGAGGGTCTACCGCGGAATGAGACGCTGTGCCCGTTTCCGCCGGGGCCGGATGCGGATTTTGGGATGGCGCCTACTATTGTGAAGGGGGCTGCGGGGAAAGGGAAGGATTTGTTGACGGTGGGACAGAAGTCGGGGGTTTTGTACGGGTTGGAAGCGGATAATGGGGCGGTGTTGTGGTCGGTGTTGACGAGCCCGGGCAGTGCGTTGGCGGGGTTGTCGTGGGGGGTTGCGGCGGATGGGGAGAAGGTGTATTATACGGGGATTAATGCGGGCCAGCATGAATGGGTGTTGCAGCCGGGGAATGTGACGACGGTGAAGAATAGCGTGATTGGGGCCGCGCAGGCGTCGACGGGGGAGTTGTTGTGGCAGGTCCCTGTGCCGGATGGGGCGGCGTCGTTGGTGATTCCTGCTGTGGTGGGTGATTTGGTGTTGACGGGGATTACGGGGTCGTTTGGGTTTACTTCTGTTGGGCCTGGTTCGTTGTTGGCGGTGAGCCAGAAGACGGGCAAGGTTCTGTGGACGCAGGAGTTGGAGGGGCCGTTGCAGGGGGGGATTTCTGTTCATGGAAAGTATGTGTTTACGGGGACTGGGTATCGCGGGGGAACTGAGGGGGGGTCGTTTTATGTGTTGAAGGCAAACTAGATGGGACGTGACGTCGGTTGAGAACGGGGTTAACAACATGCGACCAGCCGTAGGATTGTTGGTTGTAGGATTTATGCCGTGTTTTCGTTTACTTGGAATTCCCTCTCGGAAACAGCAGGAACATGCTGGTTGACGTGCCACGGCGTGGACATACCCCTTCAATAAGAACTAAGTTGTCCCAAGTCCAATCAAAGCCAGGAGTTTGTCATTACAGTGCCCTCCGCACCGCTCGTCAAATAAACACAGTGGGCCATGCAAGGTATATCTCGTATAACCGTGTTGTAATAGGACAGAAACCTACAAACGTACTCCAACATATACAGGCCTGCCAGTCATGTAAGTTCCGCACCCTGAACCAACGTGCTATCTTGCAGCAGAACGCTACTTTTAGATCTCTCTCGATGATTCTGCTACGATTTGCAGAACCTCGTTCCTGGACCTTTCCCGTGGCATTGGCTAGTCCTGCTCCTCCATCACTTAGTTTGTGTTCAATCCTTGGTAACAACGACCGAGGCAAGATAGATTAATTGCGATCTGAGGAACATAAGATCTGAGGAACATAAGACACAGTGACACATGGCTAGCTGTTAAGATAAGATTCTTGATCGAGAGTTGCACGGTACCTCGATCTTGCATATCGTGTGACCCCTTTCATGTCTCACAACAGCACGCAGGTTTCATGCCACCCAAGTGTAAAAAGGCTTCGCTTGTTTCCCCTTTGCTCATTTCCGCTTCCAGCCGCTTTTCGATTGTCTTAACTGTTGTCCCCGATGGTAACACGAGGGGAGTTCCCCGTTTAGCAGTTGTATTTGGTACAATGGAATTGTCTCTATAGAGTGGTAGGATGCTCACAAGATTGTGTTACCATGCCACACACCAGCTCCGTTATCACCGCTTCATTTACATCCTCCAATCCACGCAGGCCTAACCCTCAAGTTCATGTCAAGATCGATAGAACAGTGGCCGTTAATCAGACTCTAACATCGCTTAGAATGGCAGAGAGACCCTGTTGATGTTTGGTCAGGATGACAACAACAAGAAGACTCAAGCGAAGTTGAAACCGGCTACAAACTCTGTAACTACGCTGCTGTCAGGATAGTAATAATGAACTTCAAATTGGCGTCCCAGAGATAGCCTAGGAGAGATCTTGATTTCATTGCCCAGTCCCGATACCTGACCCGATCCAGGCACCGGCGATGATGTCCGATGTTACGCAAGTCTCAGATCTACAACGTGAAAGGTAACAACAAACAGTCTAGGTTCAAAACAGAGGAACAGAGGAATTGGCTTCAATTGTCGCTCAGTGGTAAAGATAAACAGTGTCAAGGCAATATACATGATGGTCACTACCCGTGGGTACCCATTTAGGTAGGACCCAAATGCAACCCACAGCCCATCCGGGTACACATGTGGCCTTGGGTTCATACGGATTCGGGTTGAAATAGGTTAAGTCCAGAGATGTCCAGAAATATGGGTAAGTGTCAAGTTCTATTATATGGGGTTGACATATGGAAGGAAATCCTGGCAATTGATCGGACCGGACTGCAACCATCGTTGTAACCACCTTCTAGATAGGTTTTCTGGGCTGTGGAGATTCGACCACCTGAGCCAGATTAACACTGTCCAGGTGTGATTATTACTAGGAGATGATGACGATGGAAGCACAGGTTACGTATTGACCAAATTAAGACCCAACACTACAAATGGATACAACCCAACCTGAACCCAAAATAATGGGCTCCTACTCATAACCCCTACGGTTTGGGTATTACCCACCCATGGGTACCCATGGGTACGTCCCAGTCATAATTCTTGACGCGATAGTAACATTAAATTCGTGTGCTGTGAGGAATATTATAAAAGGCCACTACACCACGGAACACAGACATTCAAGCTAGACTACTTGACTCCGATAATCCCCAACATAGAAAACCAGTTCATCAAGAGGTTTGGTACTAGAAGACTATCAAACTTATACCTTCATGAAACCACTTCTCTGCGATCCAAAGCCATCATCATCACCTTATGCTCCATCTAGCAGTCACCTCGGTCTTGTAGAATCACTGTACTGGCCACATCATTTCGCATGAGATCATCAGCAACAAGTGTAAGAGAGATCTGGCTTTATTATACCTGCTATTCACCAAGCAAGCCAGTGTGACCCCACGCTAGGAGGATTGATAGAGGCGGTAAAGATTATTTCTTCAAAGGTTCAGCCTTGTCTGTTATAAACATAACCTCAACTCAACTCATGGAGTACCCCGCCAGGGGCCTGGGCAGGTTCACCCCTTCGCTTTCACATTGACGGCACAACAAAGAGCAACCCAGTGCAATGTTGTTCACTAACTAACTAACATGACTGCCCTTGTACCATGACGCCCAAAAGGAAGCCAAGAAAGGCAAAGAGAAGAATGGAGAGATCACCCATGTCAAAGCTACCGACCTGAAGGGCAAGCTCAATTGCTCGCTGCTCTGGCGGCCTCGCTGGAGAAACTAGCGGTTCCTATAATAGTGAGTGTTTTTCTTCCCCTCTCGCACCTCGCGCCTTCCCTTCGCTCATTCACTCCCCGTCGGCCCCGCCGCGCCGGGTTAACTCGCCGCATCAGGATGACTCGCTGCGTCGGTTTGGTGATCGAATTTCTGCACTTCGGCCGATTCTCAACCCTGTGATTACCGCAGTATCTTCACCCACGACTGAGTGATACCCAACGTACCACTGGTGATGACAGACCTGGTTAGTGATTTAGCAATCTTTGCATTGCGGTAAAGGTAATAACTGGTTCAGGATTACGACATTCGTCCATATGTCCAACAAAGGTTAATTGAAAGAGGACTACATTGCGAGATAAGTGTATCAAGTTGGGCAAGCAGTAGAGTTTCTCTCAAAACTTAAGAAGTTGAACGGTACATGATTATACAAGGGAGTGATATAACCAATAGCGCCATGGCATAGCGATGTTAAATTGCTATGAGAGTTGTTACTGTCGCGGGCATTGGCCAAACCAAAGACCTCGGCGGTTTTCCTGTTGATCAAAACACACTTGCAGCTCACCAAATAACGGACTTGACTCTCCCTAAACCAACACAGTCTCAGTTTTAGTCTCAAGCCACCAGCTTATCCAGCGCCTCAATTTCCTTCTCATACAACTCCATAGTCTTATTGCGGTCCAACGCCTGTTTGACCGTCCTAACCAACGGCCGGTCCGGCGCAGCGATAATAATCCGCTTCGGGGAGATCCGAGTAATGTACGGCAGCGTAGAGTTCAGTTCCTCCAACACCGCCATGAACTGCAGGACCCAGCCTAAATCACCGGAGCCACCCCCACGCAGGATCGACTCCCGCAGCTCTATCAACAGCCATGGGTGGTCTTCACCATGCCCACCAACCATGGCCAGCTTGATAGCCGGGCACGCCGCTTCCAGCTTCGATTGAATGTACGGCGCATCAACGCCGTCGCCGCAGGTGAGCATGACAAAATCGTCAGAACGTCCGTGGTACGCATACAGGTCCGGCCTCTCTGGGTGGCGGATCCACAGATCGCGCGTCCGGTACTGGGAGAGGTGGGGGAAGCTGGAAAAAGCATGCTGCCAGGTATTCTTGCTGCCGGGCGGCAGACGGTTAACGATCATCTCGTAGAGACCCGGCTTGACCTCCTCGAAGGCGAGACCTTCCCAGTCGTAGAACGAGTACCAGTGCCAGTCTGGCCCGGGGATGTCGCGCAACGGCACATGGCCCATTTCCGTGGTGCCAAAGATGGGACCGACCGAAGTGTGCTCGCAGAGCAGATCGCCCCACACACGGTCCGCTTTGGCACCGGCGTAGTAAACAAAGTCCAGTGCTCGCAACTTGGGGAGCAGATCCTCTTCCTCGGCGATCTCCTTGATGAATACAGGGGTACAGAGCATGCCATCAAGCCGGCCGTGCTCAAAAATGAGCCGGATGTCGTCCATCGTAGGAAGCCGGTGCCGCGGGCCGATGACCATCGGCGCGTTCATCGCGGGCACGATGTCAAGAATGACGATGAGACCTAGGCCCTGCAATCGTGTTAGACCCCTGCTTTCGTGGTTTCGATCCTCCCAACATGGTCGTCAGATTCGTGTTGTATTTTTACTCGGACTTACATGGACACAGGCCAGGGGTTGAAAAAAACGCTTGTTTCGAAACAATTCGACCTTGGACTCAGCAAAATCAGGAAACCGCAGCAGGCGATCGGTGGACCGGAACGCCTTGTGCGTCCATGGCACAGGCTTCGGATTCCCTGCATGGCAAGCCGTTAACCCTCAAATGCTCACTTCGCTTGCTTGACCGCCGGATTCCCTGGAAACGTACCTGACGATCCCGTGGTATGGAAGATGACCCAAACCTTGTCCTTCCATTCCTCCCAGGTGATCCGAGATTGATACTGGCGCTCCGGCCTCGACTGCAACAGCTCAGCCTGCGTCGGGCACTCAATCACGCGCAACCCCGGCCGAGACTTTGCCAGCGACTGGGCCAGTTCACGGCCCGTCTCGCTGTGGATCCAGACATTGCAGCCCGTGTGGTTGATGAGCCCCAGCTTCGCAGATTCCGCCGAAAACGGGCTGATGAATTGGTACTATCACGGACGATTCGTGTTAGCATTCTCCCCTTCTCGTTCTGCCGACACGGAGCTACGTTGTCTCCCGGTTCATTCCCGAGCCCTCAAATCACGTCGCCCTGGGTTCGTACGATCCTTCTGCGCTGTCATTCCTTCGGCTGCGACGCTCGGACGGACCGAATGAGCGGCGGACCAATCCGTCGCAGGCCCTTACCTCACTTCTCGAAAAACACCTTCCTGAGCGGGCGGCGGAAAAAAAATAACTCTAAAATCTCACTTACCTGCCTGCCAGTCTTGGCAGCTGCGGCCGCCAGTATTGGTTGCCGAAAGTCTCTATCTCCGTAATAGGCGAAGAGACCTTTGTCGTTATCATCAACATCGTCGCGGAACACCGAGTCGAGCCAGAAGGCGGCCGTATCAATGGCGTTGGCCAACGCCCGATAAGTCACGTCGTGGAACCCCGTGCCGAAGTTGGTGTCGTCGACGGGCAACGATGCCCAGACCCGGTCCGGGTGCTGGGCGGCAATTTCATCGATAACATCAATCACCAATCGTTCATCACGGATTTCGGACTCGGGGATTGGCGTTTTGGCTGTGCTGCTTGTCGAGTTTCCCGGGATGGGCGGGCTGACTTCGGGAGCAGACGGAGCCATCTTGCTGGGACGAGCGGCTATATTAGGCAGAGTGTTGGAGAGCCACCGACGAATGCCAAGTTGCCAAGGGAAGCGAAGGATGCTGGAGCCTTGGCGATTTACCATGGTAGCCAGGTCCCCCTTCGTGAGGGTCTTGAAGTTAACTTCGACAAGTCTTTAAACAATCGCTCGCGAGCCTTCAACACCACGAAACGACATTTCGTTGCTCGCTTTTCGCTTCCGGAAGCTCTCCCCACCCGCGGAACGTAATACACGCTGAATTTTGGGCCCGAATTACCCCTCCCGGAACCGACAAAGCTGTACTTCCTCGTGCAAAATTCTCCAGTTACCGTGTGCTCGCTTGGTTGGTTCCCGGCCAGCGGCTGCGTGTGGCTGCCGAGCTGCAACTCCAAGGACCTCAGCGGTACCTTCGCGGTTGTTACCGACTGGAAATTGCCGACCAACTCTCGCAGAGCATACCCAAATCATCACTTCTTCAGCGATCCGCGTGCAAAGCTTTGGTAAGTGATGCTCGATGTTTGTCGGTTTCATCGGCGCGAAACCATGAATTCACCGGCGCGAACGATGCGTTCATCGGAGCAAACGATGCCGGAACGAGTCGCTCTCAAACCCCATAAGACGGAAGAAAGTTCAAGTCGCACAAAGTGACTTTGAAGTCCCCAGCACGGGCCGAGCCGGGAAAAGATCAGCGCCAAGACCACCTCATCCACCACGTCAAAACCGCGCCCAGAACCTTGTCTGCACCTCACCTCTTGTCCTTCTGGCTTCATCAAGACGCAAGAGCTGGAGCATGAAAACCAGCCGAGGCTGTCAGGTTCAGCTACGATCTATCGTATGTGTGTGAGCTGAATCATGCGGACGGTGACGGGGACGAGCAAGCCACGGGCAAAAAAAAGCCCGGTTCTCCGGGGAGTTTAGTGCCAAAATTTTGGCGCGCCATTTGTGCGCGCGGATTGGAGGAAGTAATCATTGCCCAATAACTAGTCAATAAATGTGTGCGGGTTGACAAGATGAAAAATAATAAGTATTGCACACAGCGTCGGAAGCGATGAAGAAACTCGGGGAAAGAAGCCACCTGGTTTCCCCTCCAGGCCCTTTCCCCATTCAGCTCGGCAAATTGGCAACTGCAATTGGACAATTGCAACTGCCTTTCCATGAGTTGCCATACATCGAATTGACTAACAATTCCGTCGATTCAAGTCAACTCCACTCCAGACGCTTGCGCCGCTTGATTCCTCCGTTCCTTCAGCTCCAGTTCTTCCCTTCACGCTGAGGTCAGACACTAACGTATAATCGAGCAACGGACGGCACTCCGACATCTCCGTCCACCTTTTTTGGGCGGAAGACGTTAGCGCAGGACAAGGGCTGCAAGGTGGAGAGGCTGATGGGAGAATCTGCTAAACAAGGTTGATCGACGCGGGAGCGATTCCTCCGCGGGAGCTGGGAAGCTTAACCGGTCAAGGCGACGGGCGGAGTTTAGATTTCGACACCGTTTGTTGTCCTTCCATGTTGTCGTCAGCGTTGTCGTCGTCGTCGTCGTCGTCGTCGTCGGTGGGTTGTTGTGGTAATGATGGTGATAGCGTCAAAAGTGAATGCGAAATACGGTGCCGATATGCAGGCCCAGATTTGCTGACGCGGGGTAGGGAAAATGTCAAAGGAAAAGCCGATGAGGCCGGGGTCGTCAGTTCGAACAATTGCACCGCTCGCCGAAGGGCTGGATCGGTATAGTTGGTCGGTGCTCCTTCTCCACGTGTCACAGGGGTTTGGATTTAGCTGCGGAAGCCCGTCTGAACACTTGCTGGAACATCATTTCCCCCAAGCATCCACGGTACGGATAGGCAAGTCTCCATCTTTGCCAGATCGTGAATTTGATCCGATTTACAAGAAGCCAAGGAACTTTGATGCAAACATGCAAGCTTGGCGCAGAGGCGGCGAACCGAGCCGGGTCAATTTTGGCCGGCCGAAAAGGCCGAGCTGGTCAACCCAAATTCATGATTCCTCGCCAGTTGCCTCGGTAAGCCAATACAGAAGCAGAGGAGGAGGGAGAACCACCTCGCCGGGCAAGCAGTGAGAATGAGCCGCTGCGCTGCATTGCGTTGCTTTGCGTCTGAGTAATAACGCGAGCTCCGTCTCGCCTCGCCTCGTCTCGGCCCTTGTCAACGAACCATTTCGCCTCGCTCCCTCCTCCCCAAAGTGGGACACAAATGCGCGAACCGACGGGCCGGGTGGGGATCACTTCAGCCGGCGGGGCTCCGTCCGTCCATACGGACTCCGCCTGTCCGCTCGGCTGTGCGTTTTGCGAGCCTGTCGGTCTTGTCGCTTGCTGATTTCCACCTTATTTTTCTTGTTCATTCTATCCATACATAGTAGCGAAAAAACGTGGTTGTTGATCAATGTCAACAAGGTCGCAAACCATCCGTGCATTTGACCGAAACGTCGCCAAGTCGCCAAATTATGTGGGGGAACTCCCGATGCTTTGCACGCACGGCGGGTGGTGAACGTAACACAGTTCTCGGTATTTTAAGGTGGCGCCTCGAGCAAGTTATCAATAACTACTCAGAGTGCCATAGCCAAGCCAAACTCTCAAGGCCGTTCCCGTCGCGGCTCATGCAAGGCGGGGAGAATCTGAGACCGTGCGATGTAAGCACTAGCGCAAGATATCGGAAGAAGTCGTGCCATTGGAGCGATACAACACGATCCCTGGGGCGATGAAGCAGAAAACAAGAACACCACCAGTTGAGCTTGTTGAAAGGGCATCGAGCTTGTCAGTGGCGTGTTGCAAGCGTGTGTGGACGATGCGAGTGTTGTAAACGATGTCACCGCAAAACTCGTAGATCTTGGTCGACCCCCTCTGAAAGCGGAATCTTCAAGGGTAGTAAAACCGACCGATAAGTCCCGGTTGCCTCCATGATCCCGCATCGACATGTGCGAAGCGGGGCGACGTGCACCAAACCCTAGTCTCTCCCCAGTGGCGTCAAAGAGGGGGGCAAAAAAGGTTCGCAGTGGATGGACTCGAGTGGACTCATCTCCAGGTTATGAGTGCTACCTTGACCGGGGCTAACCGTTAGGGTCGGGCACCTTTGGTTCTCGATCTTGCGGACGGAAGGAGAAAGTGGAAAAAGTAACCGGGCGTCAGGGGGAAGACCCCAGGTCGGCGTGTTTAAAGTTTTGCTGAATGTGCATCATGTCCCGACCCTTGAGGGGCGGTAAAACTAATTAAGGCAGCACGATCGTGATGGCGCCGTCACTGGCGTGATTGATCGAGCCACAGGGCGTTCGTATCCCAGCCTTCTTTTCATCGAAGCGGTTAGTCAACTTTAGTGGCGGCTAGTCTGTGGGGGCTTATCGGAAACCAAGATATCGACAACGGATGGGGATACTTCGTTTCGTGTTTCGTGTTGGTTGGGGACGAGATTTTGGGCCGTACAAGAGATGAAACATGACAAGAATCGCTGTGATCAGGTTTTCGTCTTGCAGCTGTCGATATTTGGGTTTCAAGTGTGAAGTAATTAACCATTATCAACCGGACCAAAATAGTGACGTTTGGGATTCTGCAAAACGAACAAGACCTGCACATGTGGCGAGGTTATAACCTCGGATATGACAACTTAATGCTGAGATCACGACAATCAGCTGCTCGACCAGTATGACTGTTTGAATTCGTAGGCCCCAAAGGAAAATCGAAAACTGCCAAAGTATGAAAACTGAATAGATGATTGAGTCTGGTCTATCCTGTATTGCATCTAATATCCAAAAAGCCGACCATCCGTTGCGCCCATTAACTCCTTTACACGATAACGCCTTGTTTCCTCGCTGTCCGGTAAATCTCTAAAGCCACCCTCGTCACATCGTCCCGTTTTATGGGGACCCTGTGATTCCCATTCCATTCTATCGTTGTGGACGTCTTCGGGTCACAGTACTGCCACGCCAACTTCCGGTGATATGGAAGTCCGATATCTTGTAACCCATGAACATGGATGGTCGGTATCCTCAGGACGTGTGGTGATGGAAACGGGTAGTCGAATTCTTGCATGCTAAGCTGGGCGGGCGTCATGAGTGCCGGGCTGACGCTGTGGTGGGAGAAACTGAGTAAGGGACCGCGACCGGCGAGCAGAACGCCAAACCGGTAGTCGGTGTCGGCATAACCTTCCCGTTCTTTGCGGATCTGTTGCTCATAGAGAAGACTGGCGGCGATCTTAGCGCCTTGGCTGAAGCCGAGAAGTGCCACCCATGGCCCGACGCCTTCGTCGTCTTCTTTGCACTGTTCCAGGCCGGAGATGATAGTGTCGGCTGCCGTGTGGTCGTCGAGCTCTGGGTGATGGTTCTTCCAGCGCAACCAACGACGGAACGGCCCCCAAGTCTCGTAGACCGGGACGATTCCCGGACCGGGCTCGCTCAGGTACGGGGCATCGGCAAAGACAAGCCGGAAGTCGGGCAGGTGCCGGATCAAAGCACGGGCTTGGGCGCGGAAGATGGCTGCCGAGACGCCGCCACCATGCAGGCAAAGAATTCGTGGCCGAGCGTCGAGTTCCCTTTCAGTCACGACGGCCGCATCGGCCTTTTCATCCAGTACCCAGGTCTCAAAATACATGGCGTAAAGGTGTCTTCGTCGGTGAAGACGGGGTAGAAGAGCCGGTAGTCTGGGCTGTCACTGTTGAGAGTGGCCTGTTCTGGGTTTACGGTCTGGTGTTGCGGTGCCTTGGGTTTTGTTCGCTCTGGTGGTGGCGGGCCATGTTCACTTTGTTCAGGGAGGCGATTCGAGTGGGGTGGCCTTTATCTCTGACTCCCACCCGAAACAAGTCTAGAAGCATGATGGCTTGGCTTAGCTTTCGGGTGACCCGGGGCAGAGGGCAGGTTACAGACAAACAGCAACAAGCTCGAGGATGACATGAGATTCTGCACGAATGCGATAACGGGAGACAGTGTGGGCTTCGGGGCTTTTGCTGAGTTTGGGTCGTTTACGTGAGCCACAGGTGTGTGCCTTTCTTGTGGTTGCCTTGGCGCAATTTGAACGCCTCTTGCGTAGATTCGCGGAAGAACGGCTCGAGGATGAGGATTTTGGCCCTGGTTGAGGTTACCTACCCAAGCGAGGCGTGGCATGGATGGGGGGGGGGTCAGAGTGGAGGTCGTGAAGAAGTGGGGGCATGTTCATGAGAGAATGGGGGGTGGACAAAAACACATGGGGTGTGCAGCATCGAAGGCTTCAGCACGCAATCAGAATGTTCCTTCCAAGCTAATCTTCCCCGACCTTGCCATCCTCGGCATTGTCCCCGGGAACGTCCCCATGCGCCGCCTCCACGTACAGGCGGTCTTGGAATTCGGGAAATCGTAGTGCTTGACCGGACTTGGCTATCCTTGGCGACATCATCAACGTCAAAGAAAGTACGTCGGCACGACGGGCGATGACAGAGGCGAACGGGAACGTCGAGAACTCGTGCCGTCGATTGGCAGGCGAAACGATCCGGCCGGGCGAGTCAGCATCGGCTGCGGCGCGGGCTGCGGCCTTGAAGGGGGGAGGGTTGCAGCACGTTGAATGGCCACGTTTGCTGGTCTAAGAGATGGTTATCGAACATCTGGGCAGTACGACAAGTGCTAATTAGGTATGTTCTGGGTCGCGGGGCTTAGGCTCGGTTGATTACGTGGAGATGTGCGCCCTCGGTCCCGTCGGACGGTCTGTCATGCTCGTAGTGTTGCCTTTTGCAACCTCGCCAGCGGGAAAATAAGCTTAAACCCGAAATGGCGGAGAGGTGCGTTGAGTTGCTCAGGTTGCAAATGGAACGGGACGATCATGGATCACCGCGCACCTGCGAGAATGGGCCACACATTCGAGAACCCCCCGATCCTTCCTTAAAGGGTCCAATTAGGTACCAAGTGGTTCGAACAGTCGCACCACAGAAACATCTGATGTTCAGATGCACTTTCCCCCCACAGAGAGGGACAACCGTGGGTGGTACCTACCACGCACACACCACACCACCATTCACACGGGTAATCCGGCGTGAGGTCTTGGCGCCCGATCTCGCCCTGCGGCTCGGCGGGCGCCATACCGCCGCCACCGTTAGGAAATAAGCTTCGACCGAGCGCTGATCTGACCATGCTTCGTCCATCTCAGAACGGCCCCACACCGGGGTCATTTCCAGCGGTGGATTTCATGTCCCTGCGCCCACCCCCCCCCCCTGTTCCCGCATTTAGAGCAATTCACCGAGCACCCTGACAGGGCCGGGGACTCTGGGAGTCAGTCCTGCCTGCCTTGCCCACACCTTTTCCAGAACCCTGGCAGGATTGAGTGGGCCCCCACGCAGGTCATCCGGGGACCTTGGACATCCACTGTCGACCGACGAAAGCCAGGCGTGCTGCTGCATTTCAGAGAGATGCGCGGGCGTTGTGAACCGCATGGCCTTCCCCTGGTCGTCTTAACACAAGAAGCGAAGCCGGCCCGCAGCAGGATCCAAGAGGATTGCTCAATTCCGAGCCTGCCACGAAATACGACCGCACAAGGTACGTCCACCAGATCCGTGTCTTAGTTTCCATGACAAAGCTGAGGGCCATGCACCGCCTGCAGACTTCGCGTCTCAGAATCCACACACACGCAGCTGGAGACATACAACGCAACGCTGTATTTCCCCGCCATTGTTTGCTCGGCACCGATGCTGGTCGTGGACTGCTGTCAGGATATACTTGGAGCACGATCCCGCTGACAGCCAAGAACGACCTAACAGAAGAAGCTTTCCTTCCCCGTCTTGGGGCCTCATTCTTCACTACCTCCTTCCTTCGGAGAAGACACGCACACACACCCGCACACTCGTACCTTTGCACATCGGAAGCCCAGCCCGCTTCAACAGCGCCTGCCTGCCGTCTCCTTCGTCCCTTCCTTCTCAGGTCAGGTACCCATGAATCAGCTCCCGCAAGCCAACGGGCAGAGCACAGGCTCTCTCGCAGCGGCTCCACCGACCACCAACAACCGTGAAACGTCTCAAAGTGGGAGCCACGCAAAGCTTGGCAGCGCTGAACAGAAGAGTCAAACTTCTTCCTCGGCTGATCCCTCCACCATCGACGCGGATCGCAAGAATAAGAAGAGGATTCAGAACCGAGTCGCACAGCGGACGTACCGTAAGATGCCTCCGTTTAATTATAGCCGTGTTTCTTTTCTTCCTTTGTCTTGTCGATAAGCCTAGTGGGCATTGCGCCTTGCATGTTTTGTTTTGTCTCCTACTGTATGTCGTTGAATTGTGCGTCAAATCCGCAAACTTGCAGCGGCTGATGCGAGATCCCGACCCCAGGAAGCCGGGTGAAGCAACGTCTCCAAGACCTGCAACAGCAGGTGTACGAGCTGCAGGCCACCCGCAATCAACTAGACGCAGCACAACAGCAGCAACAACAGCAGCAGCAGCAACAACAACAACAACACCAACAGGAGCAACCGCAAGAGACACAGCCACCAACCCGTGATAGCCACGGTGGAAGCCTTAGCATTACAATGCCAGGTTCGCTACCCGCCACTGAGCAGCATGCGTCTGCAACTACGCCAGGCACCGGCAGCAATGGAGTCCCAGATCTCTGGGGCCCTATGCCAAGCGAGTTCTTGTGGAACACGGGTGTGCCACCACATCAACGGACCCCAAACATGCCGTGCCACCCCCCGCCGCAGTTAGCCGAGAAGATGTCGATGGAACCCATTTCCCCAGCCGCCGCGGCCATCAACGGGCCAGCAGCGGCCATGCCACCATTAGGCCGGGAAGCCACTGACGCGTACATGGGAGAACGCCCAGCAAAGCGGCGGGAACCTCTGTTGTCCCCTCATCCGGAACCGAGTCCGCATCACCACTACTTGCGCGACTCACCTATGACTGGTGGCGATGACGACGACCAATCGCCGTCGGCGTATTTTGCATCTCTTAGTGCCCAGCGCTTCGGTGGAACCAACCCATGGGACACCAACATGCGTAACATGCTCCAAGGAGACCTAAACAGTCCTCCAGCCACGGTTGTTGCGCACACGGAGCGCAACTTCTTGTTTAGCCCTGAGCCATCCAGGATTCTGGGTGGCAGCAGCCATGACCTGCCACACCACCAACACCACCACACCAACAGCCACGGCAATGTTGGGAGTAGCAGCAACTGCCACAGTGGGAGTGGCAGTGGTAGCAGCACCAATGAAATGGGTGCCACTCCATCCACCACAACAGCGCCTAGTGAGCTCTCTGATGATGCCGCGCCGCGGGCGGATGCGGCAATAGAAGATCGGTTCGAATACGTGTTGGCGTGCGCGAAGCGAGCCGGATTCGACGGATTCGACGCAATGGCATTGCAATATTATGCGCACAACTTTGACGGGAGGTCGCCGTTGGCGCTGGAGCAGCGGCTGAGCCGTAATAGGCAGCTTCCGCGGCTCCTGAGCGAGTTGAGCCGTCGGTCGGGATCGTGGAGTGCGTGGCAGCGGTCCGGCTTCCTGGATGAAACACTCAAGGCGGCCGAGCAAATATGCGCGCGGGAGTGCGGAGAGTACCGGGCGGCGGAGAGAGAGAGGGAAACGGGGATGGGCACACCCGAGAGCATGGATGAGATGCCATTGGAGGATAGGGTGAGTTCAGATTCCAACCGTTCTCTCAAAGCGTTCCCGGTTTACTGACACTTGTATGTTCCCAGCTCCCGCATCTTTTTGCTCTCCTTATGGGTTTGGCATCCACGAACCCTCTGCTTCCACAGAAAAAGGCGCCTAGCGTGGTGTTGACGTGCATGAAGCTCCTGTGTGGAGTGGACGGCGCAGTGCCGACGCAGTTAGCCATGTAAAAGAAAATCCTTCATAATATTCATGCCATAAAGACTTTTTCTGTTTTACCTTTTTCTTTTTCGTGTTCTCAGTTGTTCTTTTTGGTTGTTATGATATAAGTAGGTGCAGCATAGCAATGCGCTCACTTGGTTGATGACTTACATACGGGAGCTCTTGGGCGTTGGATGGATGATGGTTATTGGGGGGTTTTGTATTGTATAAATTTCAATGTCACCTTGGCGGCCATCAGCAGATGGAAAGGGTCCCGGATAAGGGAGATGTAAAATGGGAAGTGGAAATTCTCAATTCAGATCCTTTTTATCTCGGATATTAAGATAAAAGACAAGCGTGATCTGCTGCAGCAAATGGTACCCTTTTGCACGTAGTGCTGTGCGACTAACCCCATAATTTACAGTGAGGCTCGACTCAGGAGGCTCCGGCTGAGCACCACAGCTTTCTTGCTTGTAGTAAGTGAGCTTTCGTCGGCACACTATCCTCGTCAAGTTGTTGTAAGAACGCATTCGGGAGGCGCTTTGGTTTGCACCTCCGAAAAGACTGGGTGGAACACTCGGGACCTCTGGTAATGATACCTATTATAGAAGCGTCGTGCATGTGAACTAATACCAACAATGATTGCTACGCTAATTATTCAAGCTCATGACTGAGACAAAATACAATGCTCCTTTACTGGAGCACATGGCACACTTTTGTATTGTGTGACGATATATTTGCAACCCCAGAGTGAAAAGTCTTTTTTTCCCTAGTTCATTATGCCGACTTAATTACCTGCCGATTTTTTCGGGGCATCCCAGACCTTAAGATTCTTTTGAATTAATGATTTAGTAACGGTTGGAAGTTTTGTAATGTCGGCAGGACAGAACAGTTGCAACGACACAACATGAACCCGGCTACTGCATAGTATTCCATGTCTCATAGCAGCATACCTAACTCTTCTATTTCGTACTCACCCCACAACTCTTCAGTTTCACTCACCATCTACCTACTCCTGTCTATTCCTTCACCCCCAACTCAATAACACACTCATCATTCACCCCAGCCGGATACCACCCGGTAACCTCCAACTTCCTTCTCCCCTCCCCACCAGCAGCCTGAGCAAAGATCCTCTCATACTGCTCCCCCGTCCGGTCGGCCGCATTAAACATCGCCATGACATGGATATCTGTCACTGCGCTGCGGAGGGGCGTGTTGTGGGTTGCGAGCACGTAGTCGTCGATGAGGATCGTGGAGTAGCCTGGTTTGAGTGCGGGCAGGAGAATACGGAGGATGGAAATGCAGGCGGTGTCGGGCAGGTTGTGGAAGATGTTGTTTAGGTAGTAGAAGCGGGCGCCTGGTTGGGGGTTAATTAAGGGGGTGCGTGAGAGGGGGGATGAGTGGATATGTGTGAGACGGGTTGGAGAATAGAGGTGGTGTGCGTGTGAGGTGTTAAAGGGGGATGTGGGGAAGAGGGGTGGGCGTGGAAACTTGGTTAAAAAGGGGATAGATGGTGAGTTATGGATCGTGAGTTGTGCGGAAAGGAAGTTGTGAGAAGTAATTATTAGGTTTCGGAATTCAAGAAGGTTGTTGTCTTCATTAGGAAATGAGAAGGGAAAAACAAGACCGAATAGGAATTTGAAGCGAGGAAAACAGGGGAGAAGAGAAAAGAAACCCACCTTTCACCGGCTGTTCCGTCGCCAAATCATAAGTCATCACCTCCACCCCCTCAGCCGTCTGATTCATCACATTCGCCTTGTCAGGCGGGACCTGCAGGATACACCGGCCCTGCAGCTCGGGCAGTTGGGTCCGCAGGCGGCCCAGCTGCACCGCACTAATCCCGCCTACATCGACCATAAACACGGAATCGTTGTTACCTTCCTGCGGTTCCTGCGGCTGCTTCTGCAGCAACTGCTGCGACCGAAGCGTTGCCAGGGGCGGGTACCGTGCTACCCAGCGGGTCTCGTCGTATTTCTTGCGCTCTTGGATCCACAGGTCAAAGTTGCGCTTGTGCTCGGGCTGTTCATCCATCACCTGCCATAGCGACTTGCCGCCGTGGCCGAAGGTGAAGGGAGTTGAAGCAGGGCTAGCAAGGACAGAGTCAGAGGTAGAAGAGGAGTTAGAAGAGGAGTTAGACTTGTCAATCCGGCCAAACTGGGTGGAGGAGAGAAAGGAGCGGATTTGGCCGGCTACGGGGTAGATCAGTTCCATCCAGGCCAGGGCGGCCTTCCAGCCGGGACGGACGAGGGAGGTGGTGATGGGGTTAGGAAGGTAGGTTTGGGAGGTGGGGTGGTCGATGAAGTGGAGGGCGCTGGCCAGGCGGAGGAGGCGGACTAGGGTCGTTAGTCCGGGACAACTCTAGCTTTTTTTCTTTTTTTCTTGTTTTTAGTTTTTTAGTGGTTCAAGAAACAGAAGACATACCAACCAAACTCTCCTCAACACCCGTCTCCCCAGCCAACTGCGCAGCCGTAACACCCTCACCCTCACCCTCATGCTTAACAAGAGCATCCAGAATTCCCAGCTCGAGCAACATCATGACGCCAATGTGCTCGACAATCTGGAACCGAAAGGTAAACAGGGTGTCGGCAGGGGAGCTGGCGCCGGCTTGGAGACGGCGGATGGTGTGCTGCACGGCCCGGTAGTTGTCCTGGGTGCTGTCGGCTGTGTAGGCGTCGAGTTCCCGGCGGACGTCCTCCAGGAGGGCGTGCAGACGGGCGGGTGGGTGCATGGACATGGTTGCGGTGATGAAGACGTGAATGGAATTGGAATGGGTTGATTGGAGTGAAGGGATAATGGGAAGATGGTGAATAGGAATGGTGTTGACACTGCAGAGTATCAAATGGCAAGAATTTTTAAAGTGTAGTCGCTTGCCAAGCTGAGACTGGTCAAACCACAAACTTCCGCGGAATGGTTCAAGGCTCAGTGCAGACAGGTGCCAATGGCCTAGGAATCTCAATCGTGAAACGCCTCAGTGCTGCAAACCTCTCACTCAGCCATCCTCTCACATCCATCTCATTTCCTCCTCCTCCTCATTCACAACATGCGCACCGCACGCTCACAACATTTTGGAGCTCCCGCAAACTCGATGACATGAAGACGTCCAACCCCCTGTCCTGATGTGGTACGTACTCCAGGAGGGTGTGGTGGTTGTCAAGTGGGGTCCGGGGAACGAAATGACAGGGCCCTTGGCGTTACACCCAATTACGTGATGTTACAACAGGCAGTCCTTCGAGAACACCCCCTCACACTCTTCCACTCCCCTTTCTTTTTCCAAATCCCTGAACACGGGAGAAGGAAGCCACGTCCGGGGCTGTGCCGCAATACCGGGTCCCAGCGGGAATTGTGAGAAGCTTTTGGGGTGCCTGCGCCTGTGCCTGAGCCCGGCATGTGGGCGTCAAGAGAGGAAGGAACAGACGGACAATTCCACATGCCAGGAAAGAGGACCCCGGTTCTGGAATTGCCGGGCTTAACCCCGGGTTCCCAGCAGAGGAAACGGGGAAATAGCGAGAAACCTACAAACTCGGATTTCATTTGCCCCGGTCATCGCCGAGCTGACAGATGGAGGGCATTTGCCAATGAGATGGTCAGGCGAGTAGCGCGTGGCTCGTGTCTTGTGTCTTGTGTGTGTGTAAGTCATCCCTTTTTTGAGCACGTCTTGTACGACAGTACCTACCTATGCATCATGCAGGCACCCGCGCCACGTTTTGGGCGCGTGTTGATGATCGGCCTTCTCGACGACACCTCATCTCGTGAGAGCATTTGCGGGGGTTCCCAGAGAAGCATAGACGATGATACCGGATGGGTAGCACTGTGTACTTTCTCGTCCAGTATGCCTATCGGATGCACAGATCAGAATACGGGACAAGGGATCAACGGGCACGCACTCACACACACTCACAGCGGTTTACTCAGTTGGGCAAGACGAACGGTCCACCGGCGCAAGCGATGCGTCGTGACGCCCTCGTCGGGCGTCCTTCGAGAAGCACAAGCGAGGCTCAAGCTTTTCCCCTTTTTTCGTCTTTCCCTTGCTGACTTGCACCCTACCACGGGTTCCTACGGTCCCCACGGTCCCGTGGTACTCAGGAACACCACCCTGTTGACGTGAGAAGATCTGGAAAGCGCCTTTCTCCGCTTCAGGCACACAAAGCTCCCAGGTTCCAGCCGCAAGCGTCCCTTTCCGGCGCATTCTCTACCCTTCCCTTGCTTCCCTTCGCTTCCTTTCGTCTCGTCTTGTCGCGTCGCTTTCCCATCTAGGACTCGGGTCAGTAAGACTGGGATTGCGGCTGGGCCGGGGAACTGGGGACGAGGTTCCTTCGCCCACTCGGTTCGGCTCAGCTGGAGAAAGAGGCGCAAGCCATCTCATGTTCGAGATCGACTCATCGGCGTTGTGCGCGTGCGAGTGCTCGGGGTGTTTCGATGGATTTCCCGAACGGAAGACGGGAAATGCGAGGTTGAGGCTGGCGCTGCCGTGACTGACTGTCTTTGACTGTCTGGACTCGTGATGCTGAAGATGGAGGTTTGGGTATAAGAAGCTCTGGGAAAGCTCCCACGATGTTTTCGTCTTGTTGTTTGATATCGACGTCCAGCAAGCTGCAGCCAAGGTCCGACTGCCTTCTGACTGCCACCCCCCCTTCTTTTTGTCTCCGGACGATCGTTCCCCACATCCATCTCACCTCTTGGTTGAGCCCTCTTGCCCTATTGAGCTGTTGAGCCTCACTCAGTCAGCAATCAATCATCATGTCGAAGCTACTCTCTCTCACCCCCCTCTTCCTCTTCTCGGCCCTGGCCTCGGCTGCCACCAATAACCACCACGGCCACCACGGGTGCGATGACAAGTTCAACGCGGACTGCTACGCCTCGGGCAACGTGATCACCCGCGACGTGGCCATCATCGGCGGCGGCTCGTCGGGCACCTTTGCGGCCATCACGCTCAAGGACCTCGGCAAATCCATCGTCGTCGTCGAGAAGGCCGCCCAGCTCGGCGGCCACGTCGAGACCTACACCGACCCTACCACCGGCCAAACCGTCGACTACGGCGTGCAGGTCTTCTGGAACACCTCCGTGGTGACCGACTTCTTCGCCCGCGTCAAGGCCCCGGTGAAGGCCTTCTCCCCGCCTTCGGTCCGCCCCACCACCATCTACGCTGACTTCTCCACGGGCGAGAACGTCACCGACTTCACCCCCAGCTCCGACTGGTCCGCCTACAAGACCGAGCTGGCCAAGTACCCTTACTTCAACCGCGGCTTTGAGCTGCCCACCCCGGTCCCTGAGGACCTGGCTTTGCCTTTCGGCGAGTTCGTCAAGAAGTACGACCTCCAGGACATCGCCTACTCCGCTTGGGTGGCCCCGGCCGTCGGTGGCTTCGGCACCATCCTCGACGTCCCCACGGCCTACATCTTCAAGGCCCAGGGAGACGTGACCTTCTCCGAGAGCAGCCCCGGCGCAGCCCTGGTGTCCGCCACCAACAACAACCACCAAGCCTTTGCCAACGCGCAAACCGAGCTCGCCTCTAACATCCTCCTCTCCTCTACCGTGTCTGCCGCCTCCCGCCCGGCCGCCGGCGCCAATGGCCCCGTAAAGCTCGTCGTCAACACCCCCTCAGGCACCAAGCTCGTCATCGCCTCCAAGGTGCTCTTCACCGCGGGCCAAACCACCTCCAACCTGGCCCCCCTCGCTCTCGACTCCACCGAAACCGCCGTCTTCAGCCAACTCAAACAAACCGGTTTCTTCTCCGGCCTCATCTCCAACACCGGCCTCCCTGCCACCATCTCCTACCAAAACGCCGGTCCCTCCGCCGACACCTTCCACATCCCCGAGGGTACCTCCAACGTGATGCACCTTTCCCCCACCGCCCTGACCGGCGTCCACTCCTTCTGGTACCAGTCTGACTCGCCCGTGTCTGCGGATACCGCTAAGCAAGCCGTTCAGGCCGCTGTGGCGCAGTTTGCGGGGGAGAGCAACGGCGCGGCTACTAAGTTTGTGGCGTTTGGGGACCACACCCCCGGTGGACTGTATGCGCCGCAGGAGGCGACGGCGAACGGGTTCTGGGCCAAGTTGAATGCCCTGCAGGGGTATAGGGGTGTGTGGTATACCGGGTTGTTGTTTGAGCCTGCGAGTGGGCCGTTGTGGGTGTTTACTAAGGACCTGATTACGGATATGTTTGCTTAGATTGCTGGCTACGTGAACACTGCCAAACACTACTCGTGCAGTATAGAGCGGGCTGTGTCCGTACAGAGTGGCAAGACGGAACGGGCGAAATCTCCGATGCGAGATGCAGTTGTATGTACATAGATTGAGTTGTGATGGAGGGGCGTACGTGGGGGTTTCTTGTTTCTAGTTTCTTGTTTCTAGTTTCTACACTTGTTGAGTTTGGTGTCTCCGTGGTGGTTTACTCAAACACTGGTCCTCGAATAGAAACTCTAGATCTTATCACGTTCTCTCACCCTCCCGCTGCTTAAAGCCGTCCTCGCTGCAGACGGCTGACAACTCTAATGCTCTGATTGCTTCGCTCGTATCTCATGCAGTACCTTCTCGAGGGTTTCCCCTTTGGTTCCCGGGCTTATCGCCTATCGCCGTGTGTCGACGTGCGTCTATGCAGTCGGAATCGTTCCCGTTGATGCCATTCACATGGCCCTTACATACACTACGTTACTCTGATCTCGACAGGCCGCGCAAGTGCTTGCTTGACATGTCAGCAACACCATGCACTTGCGCTAGTTCCCGAGTTTGAGATCTCACTGTCGTGATCTCACTGTCGTATTGGTTCTACCGGCTCACTGATTCCCGCCGAACTAGTTTCCCCCGCACTGGTTTCCGTCGAACTAGTTTCTGTCGCACCCGGTCCCTCCCGGCTTACACTGGAACTGTCCATCTCACCCGAGATCTCTTCGTCCGAACTCGGGACTCTGACCATCGACCGCCGACGGGAAACTCAACTCATCTGCGCATAAACTCCTTTGAGTCCTTTCATTCCCAATGTCAATCATATGCCTCTTCGGGATATCAAGTACCCCAGCAACAGGTTTCCCCGTGAACGTCGGGTTCGGCCTATTTTTGGCCGCGCCATCCGTTACTGTCTCATCGCCGTTGTGATGTCGATGTCTTCCTTCCAGAAAATTACACTAGTATCCGTATCCTGGCTCCACCCCTTTTGCTGCGCAAGAATCAAGACCCCCCACCCCTGTTCCCTCTCTCTCAGCCCTACCACTCAGCGTCGAGCCGAGTTCTGTCTTGGGTAATACCTCCCCTGGTCTGTCCCACCCACCCCACTTCTCTGGATACCCCTGTCTGGATGTGGTAATATGCCAGGGGTCTGCGATATCCAGCGCAAACCCGGTCAGAGTCAGGACTTCAGGTCGACCACCTTTGGTACGTACCACCTTCCCGTCGGTACGTACCCTCCTCGCTACGTACCATCTTCGGTACGTCCTCTCCTGTGTAACACACCCAGACAAACGCACACCACACATTGCTACACCCACATCGTTACACACAAGCCACCGGCCCGGCTGCACCCCCTCCCCTTTCATTTCCCCACATGGCACGACACACGCACACACACAACCGATACGGCACGGTCGGTCGAAACGGCAGACCGGAGAACGGCAGACGACCAGACGACAAGTCACGACAGGACCAGCGAAACCAGACGAACGGCCAACATGGTCCACGCCACGTACATCGTACAGTTACACAGTGTCAGCATGAGGTAAACCCTCGGCTTTGCACTGCGCGAAATGCATCAGTCATGAATTGTGGAAATTGGGAATGGCCTCGCTGCTGCGCAAACACAACGGTCCCCCCTGGGAGGGAACCAGTTAGGCTGCAGCGTTTGTCCTTTGCCAATTCCCTTTCCAAGGACCTTGGCTGCGCTTCGCCGCAGGCACATCTCAGCCGGCCAAGCCGTCAGGCGGACGAATTTTGGGGCTTGGTGATTTTTTGGGAGGAAAGGAAATGAGGAGGAGTCAGGTCGGGGGTTTTGGGGGGTTCTGGGCATTTGGGAAGGTGGTATTAAAACCTGGTGTTGTGTCCTGTTTTTTGTTGATGTTGATTGCAAGCACGCAAGTTTGTTGTTCGTTCTTCTGAGACATTCCAGAACTTCCTTCGCGTCCCATACCTACTTTGACACGTTCGGCTTTACCATTGGGCCCGCTTGTCTCTGGAAAAACGTGCTATCGTCTCTTCTACGACCGCATTCTACCACTGCAGCATCGCATCGCAACACACCGGCCGCTACCCCCCTTTTTGTCCTATCTTTGCAGATCCAGGCTACCTCTCTACCCCCACCACTTCGTTTGTCTCAGCATCCGAGACATACATACACACGCATACACACGCACATACACCTGCATCCAACCAATCAGCAACCATGACCCGCCTCTTCACCACCCTCCTAGCCCTCACCGCCAGCCTCGGCGGCGCCCACGCAGCGCCCGCAACCGAGCACCACCACGGCGACACCCCCTCCTGCATCGACACCACCAACGCGGCCCTGCTCGCCGAAAACTGGGGCTGGATGGTGGCCTCCTGGACCCTCAACGTGACCAAATCCCGCGAGCTCCTCCTCTCCTCCATCGCCGAGGTCGGGTTCACCGACTACTCCGACAGCATCCGGGACGTGGAATCCCTCGGCTGCACCAACGGCCCGGAACCCTTGGACGATTCCCGCGAGGCGTTTGAGGCCGACCAGCAGGTTCTGCCGCCGTTTGTGTTTAATGTGCAGAAGGTGTGGCATAGCTGTGATACGGTGACATTCCTGTGGGAGAGCCCCGCGACGAAGGAGACTGGGCAGAGGAGTCGGGGGATTGTGTTGTTGGAGGTGGTCGAGAGTACCGTGGGGCCGGCGCCCAGGAGCCCGACTCATGTTATTCAGACGGCGTATTCGGAGTTTAATACGGTGCCGTTTTTGGTGAATGGGGGGGTGTTTGTGCCGAAGAACTGCTCGGCTGCTGCGCCGACTATTCCGAATTAATTTATCTTGTCTCTGGGGAAACAGGGGTGAAAGGGATTGGGGTTGAAGGGTTACGGGGTTGAGGTGTACATATGCAGGGTTTAGATTATTCATAGTTGGTGCTGTTTGTTTTGAATTGAGCTTTTGGTGTTCTGCATTATGTTGTTCCACGGTTTAAATTGAAGTTTGGTTTTCTATGATGCTGTTTAATGCGGTCATGGTGTAAGTGGCAGACGCAAGGATGTCCACAACTGTGTCTTGGCAGTGATTTGACTTTGCAGCTTGGTTCTGCAACGCGACAATGACCTCGGTTTAAGTCTACGAAAAACACATGTTTCGTTCCCGGAGGGTGTCTAGTTAAGTTCGTAATTAAACATGGTGAAAACTGTGTTAAACTTGTTGTTTTCTGAAGTGGGTTAACTTTGTAATGTTAATTATAATTATGTGCAATGTTTTTCAAGTGAACTTAACTATAGTTAATTAATGAATTAATTAATTCGTCACATTTTTTGATAGTTAATAACTAATTTAATCATAAATTTAGAATCCTCAACGAATCAAGAACCACTGATTATTATTCGCACCGAGCAGCGTCCAGCTGTCGTTCGGTTTAATGTGAGGGGATCTTTTTATAATTCAGAGAACTTTGTTTGCAAGATTTAAATCCAAAACACTGCATTCTTAATCACCCAACTTACCGTTGGAAGTCGCAAAACAAACTTAATTTCCGTCGAGATTCGGAAATACATCCAACAACCCCCATGCACCCTGTCAGAAAGACGATTTCACTAAAACATGGGATCTGAATGAAAATAAAACAACACTTCATTAATTAATTAACGCCATTTATCTCCCAATCGCCAACACATTTAATCCAAAGTTCCAATGTATTGCATGCTGAACAGTCTACAGATAATTTGGACATGTAAACATCGTTTCAATACAATACCAGTTCACATTCAAGATATCAGTCGTTTTGTAACGCACCAAACTGAAGAATTCATCATGAACAACAAATCAATTCACTACTATGTACAGTACACTACAGCCGCGGGGTCTCGTACAGCTCCGGGGTAAAGTACACGCCCAGGCTGGTGCCAATCTTGGTGCCGCCCTCCTTGCGACCGAACGCGACGAACGTGAAGATGCCGTTCTTGTCCTCCAGCTTGCGGTGGGGCCTAGATTTGCTCAGTCAGTAAACATGTCCATGGTGAAACAACGAAAGGAGGGTAGAGGGGACACTCACAAAGAAGCCTGCACCCAATCCTCCAACTTAATCTTCCCATCATTATACTCCCACTTATCCAACCACTCGGTAATCCCCTTAGCCACCACCAAATCATTCGGCGCCTTCCTCGCGGGCGGGTAATACACCTTACTCGTCGGGTACGGCTTATCCGGGGTCAACGAGAAATAAAACGCCACAGGCTTCGTCAAAATCCGCGCCTGCCTCGCCGGGTCCCCGCCCGTCGGCGGCGTGGTATACCGGCCCGTAGCCAACTCGATCAAGCTCCTCAACATCTCCTTGTCCGACTCCAACCCGGGGATCCGCCCGCCAAGCGTGTAGTAGTCCCAGATCTCGTCGAAGTTGTCGCCTTCGTAGCGCATGTAGATCTTGAGACGCGCTTTGCCGGGGGCGATGAAATCTGTGGCCATGAAGCGGGTGGCCGCGCGGTAGTGCGGCTTGTCGGCGACGTAGTCGACTAGGCATTGCAGCGCGGTGAGGATGTTGGGGGAGGTGTGGATGTCCGGGAGGTTGTGGACGGAGTCGAGGATGGCGGTCCAGTTGCCGCCTTCGATGGAGTTGTGGGCGACCGTGTAGTGCGGGGAGTAGTAGCTCTTGAGCATGACGGGAGCAACGCCGCCCGGGTGGTCCGGGAATTGGTCAAGCATCTTGGGCTTGATGTCGAATCCCAGGATCATCGGGGTGATGAAGCCGAGTTTGTCGATGAGGCCTTGCTGGACTGAGGTGGGGAGGTCTTCACAGTTGAAGTTGCGCTCGACGGCGCGGTCCCAGGTGGAGTCGAAGTTGGGGGTGTGTTTGGCGAGGTAATCGATGATGGCACGGCCGTGGGCGGTGCTGAGCGGGCGCTCGGCGTCCAGGGGCCGGTGCTTGGTCACGTCGGCGACAAAGCGGACATCGGCGGTCTTGGTGGATTCCTTGAACTCGAAGCTGTACTCGAAGGGACTGCCGTCCCAGCCGACCACGCTGCCCTTTTGCGTGCCGGAGCCGTCGGGCTTGCCGCCGAGGGCCGGGGCTAGCTGGGTCGCGAAGAAGTGGTTGAAGCCGGCTTGGGTCTTCTCCGGGGTGCCGGCCAGACGCATCATGCGGGCCAGGTCGGCACCGGCCGTGGCATTCCAGTAGTCGACGCCGTCGGGGGCGTTGATTACGTGGGAGCCCATGGTGGATGTTTGATGGGATGCAAAAGAGAAAGATGTTACGAGGGAAGAAACAAGTGAATGGGTCTACAACAACACAACAGATATGTTGTGATGTGTTGGGATGGTTACCTTGATGTAAACAGTTCACGGTGAAGTGAGACTCGAAACTCTCCTTTTATCATCACAAGCCACCACTGCCTGTATGTGAGTTAGTGGGCAAGTGAGTGGGTGAGTGAGTGTATGTGTCTGTGTCTCAGTGCTCACTCAGACAGCCAACCCCTGTGGGCACTGCCAGTGCCTGACTGCACCGAACACCAGTCATCCTCTGCTTACGGGGCATATAGACGGACGTACGGACAGACAGACAGCCAGGCACACACCCGTCCACAGAAACTGAACGGGGTGGTCGGACGACACAAATGCTGAGCCACGAAGGAGCGTCTATTCAGTATCCCTCCGAGGTATGTGGCCGAACCTTCCACAGGAAACTCCACAATCGATCGTCTGGCGTAGACTGAAAGGGGAGATGGTCTTGGCGGGGTCTGCGGGCCCTTGTCTGGCTTGTTATGCGGCTTATTCACCCCGATCGACTAATGGTTTCGACTCGACCGCGCCCCACATTTGTTTTGCTCTCTCGCTTGTTGTCTGCTCTTTTCACTCTACCCCTGGCACGACACTCTCAATCCGGAAACAGCCGATCCGGAAACAGCCGCGGCAGTTCGCGGAAAGGACGTGTTCAGCATCGTTCGATCAATCTCGCTCACGGCTAGAGACTGGCGTCCCTGGAAGAGCAATTGCCCTGGTTCAGTTGCTGTTGAGTTCGTCTGCGTTCGATTCTCGACCCTTGATGGGAGTTCGATCGTTCATCGGTGCGAGACCCCTGACTTTGTCCTGCCCCAGCTGTTCAGTCCCCCTCTTGCTATGTCCCAGCTCTTTTCAGCCCAATGCCCCAGGCCCAGCCCAAGTTGTTGTCGTCCCCCGTGTCCCCATGTCAGGTTATCGTTGTGTCGGACGGTATTAAAAATCCAGGTCTCATCCAGTGGTCCATATTGTCGTCGAGATATTCGCCGTAAAAGCTTGCCAAAAAACAGCACGTCCTTCGAGGAGACCACCACTCTATTAATACTCGCATTGCTACTAAACTTGATTAACACGCCAAACCTTCGGCGTTTCTCGCCAACTTACCCAACCGGACAACGCTAACACTCCGCCAACAAACCTTCTTTTTTCCCTCACCCCATTCCCAAGCTTTCCGCGCCTTCCTCGCAACACCGAATCCCCATTTTGCCCTGTGATCGTCGCGCATTCCCCAAGAAGCAATCAAGAGACCGAAGTAGTGTCCGAACCGCGCGCACGACACCGAATACGTCTCTCCCTCTCGTTCTCGTTCTCCACATTCGGAATCGTTCGTCTGCAACTGTGTATGTCTTAGACAGAAAATGGCAATGTCCGACTCGGCATTTGTAGATACGGCCGATAGCCCAGACTGGAATTACAGGCGATCGGACACATATGACCTCAACACCAAGACCGCTCACCTCAGGCCGGTGGGAGCCAAGGTGCCGAGAAGAGTGGGAAATGTGACGGTATGAGGGCAGGATGGGGTCGGGCTTGCGGTGGTGATGAGTCTTGTGTGACGTGAATTTTGATTTTATTGTCATTCTGGTCCCGATACAGTGGAAGCGAGATCCTCTTTTGACTCTGCTCTCATCATGTTACTCTCATGTTGCTCTCATCAAGGTGTTGCTCCTGAAGTGACTCGGGGATATCTCACGACACTCGTTGACTCAAGTTATCGAGACCTTGGCAATAGGAGAGGATTTTCTCCCTTTGCTTGACCGAGACGTTTCTCCATAGCCAACCCTCTGAAAATAGTCCCACCTCACACGTATAACCCTGAGAATATGTCCATATCGACCCAATATCCAATATCCCGACTCCAACCTCGGGGTTTTCATGGCGGGAGTAACACGTCCAAGTAACTCTTCGCCAAGAAACTGTCCGTCCAAGAAACTTTCCGTCCAAGAAACTTTCCGCCCAAGGAAATCTCCCGACCAAACATCACCGCCGCTATTCTCTCCCGTCGGACACTATGGTTGCTGGTCACAAACATAAAAAGCCCGATAGTACGTACAGACGGGCACGGGAAATTACATAATACAACGGCGATCGACGACGCGAGGCCATCGCGAAGAGAAAAAGAAAGACCAACAGTTGCAGGGAACGTCACGAATCTGAGACATTGATTCTCGGAGATAGCATCGACAGGCCGAGGGTCCACTGTGAGAGCCGCATGCAGGTGGATTTACAGGAAGTTAAACAGGAGCTGTGAATGTATCTCTGTTGAAGTCAAACGATAGCTGCGAATGGAATTATCGCTGTTGATTGAGAAAGCAGGTTGATGATGCCTTGTTACACATGATTCAGCCTCGGGTATGGTAATAGCAGTCCATGACGCCCACCTCATAAGATCCGTCTCTAGGTAATCAATCGCTCAGAGTAGAGTTGATTTATGAAATTTGGCAAAATTCCATCAGACATTTCCTAACATGTTTTCACAAACTGCACTTGGTGACATCATAACCAATCATTGAGACAACTTTCATAATCAAAGTTGAATTCTTCAACACATCATGTCATTATCATACTATCTCAGTATATCTCATGCCTACTTAATGATTCGGCTCAACCGTGGTCGGCACCAGCGAGACAGCCTTGCTGTACAAAAAGTTCTCGATACCATACCGGCCGTTGTTGCTGCCCCATCCACTGCCCTTGAAGTTGGTCGCCGGGCCGCTCGCTGCGAACTATTAGTCTCTGTAACAATGTTGACCTCGGGGTAGATGAGGAAGCGGAAGAGGGAAGAAAAGAAAACTCACGCTCAGCAAACAAAGTCGAGTTATTAATCTGCACCATGCCAAACTCCAATTCCCTCGCAATCCTCAACCCCCTCTCAAAATTCGTCGTCCACACCGCCGCCGACAACCCGCCCACCCTCGAATTCGCCTCCTCCACCGCCTCCGCATCCCCTTCAACCGTCACCACAAACGCCACCGGCGCAAAAGCCTCCGCCTTCGACAACAACGAAGCAGGGTCCACATTCTCCAGAATCGCCGTCGCCAACTTATCCGGGCCTTCCAGCTCGGCAGAGCCATAGAGGAATGTCGCCCCCCGGGTGACGGCATCTTGCACGACGGTAAGCCCGCGCTCGGCGTGCTCGCGCGTGACGGCTGTCCAGGTGGGTTTGAGGGTGTCGAGGGCTTCGCGGAGTAATTCCAGAAACTTCTCGCGGATGTTGGCTTGCACGATGATGCGTTCAGTGGAAAAACAAGCTTGGCCGTGATGGAAGGCTGTGCCGAAGGCAATCACCCGCGCGGCCTTTTCCAGGTCCGCATCGTCCAGCACCACTGCGGGGCTTTGATCGCCGAGTTCCATGAAGATGGGTTTGAGATGCTTGGCGGCTACGGCACCGACGATGCGGCCGACTGCGGCGGAACCGATAAACTCGATTTTGCGCAGCGCTGGGTGGGAGATGACGGTTTCGGTGATGACGCCTGCGGCAGGACGGTCGGCCATGATCATGTTGACGGAACCAGGCGGGAAGCCGGCTTCGAGCAGGGTGGTGACCACCAGCTGGTGGGACCACGGGCAGAGTTCGGAGGCTTTGAAGACTACCGTGCAACCCGCGGCGAGCGCGTTGGCGATACCCCGGACGGAGAGAACAACAGCCGCGTTCCAGGGGGCGATCAACAGCACCGGACCGACAGGCTCCTTAAACACCAGGTGAGTGTACCCGGAATACGACGGCTGGATCTCCCCCACGGCCGCCGCAGCCAACGCGCCCGCAACCTCCCGACAGAACCCCGACGTCTGGCGCGCAGTGAACGAAGCCCAAGAGTCATTGCAGCTGGTCTCGAGGGTCTGACGCCGAGCAGACTCATCAGCCTTGGACTCAAAGAGGTCAGCGGCACGGAGGAGCAGGCGCCGGCGCTCGTGGACAGCGGTTCGACGCCATGTTTTGAAGGTGGTGGCTGCGGAGTCGACGGCTTGGGTGGCGAGGTCGACGGTGGCGGTTTGGCCGTGGTGGACGACTTCGTTGTTGCGGGCGGCGGAGATGACGGGGAAGTTGGTGGAGGCGGGGAGGAGGACGGGTTTGCCGTTGACGATGTTGAGGATGGTGGTTGTGTTGGTGGTGGGGTCCGTGTGGACGAAGTCGCCGGCGGTGGCCATCGTGAGTATGTGAGTGTGGTGGTTGTGTGGTGGTTGGGTAAGGGGTAAGTCAGGGTTAGGGTCAAGGTAGGAAGCAGTTCACAACCAAGGTAAGAAGCCACCAATGTGTTTGATTTCTGTGTGGTTTCTCTTCTTCTGCTCTCTTTCGGCCTCTGTGAAACACTCTATCGACATCTCCAAGCCTTACATAGGATACTTTCCATACCTCACAACTCCCGAGCTTCCGAACACACCACGACACCCACAGCAGCGCAATACTCATCGCAGGGGCTAAGAGACCGAACAGAGCCAACCGCAGGCATGTCCTCAGAACTCCATCGTTCACAATAATGCTTCTCACCTCAGTGCTCACCACTGCGTCTCCTCCCGCTCCTCCCAGTGGGTTCTCGGTATGTCAGAATCAAATTGTCAGCAGGACGATGCCAACACCAGGCGGGTCTCCCTGACAGCAAAGTGTCTGCCGAGTGGCTGCTGGGGCGTCGCTGCATCACAGGGGCGTGGTGCTTCTGAGGTAAGTGAGAAATTTAAGGTTTCGCACCCTAGCAAGTCTGGCCGATGGGAAAACCGCCGATAAAGATGGCTTGCGGGCTGCAGGTGCGGGGCTTGGCATCGATCGGGTTAAGAGATCCTTCGGAGTAAGCGCCGAAATCCGAGTTCTGAATTCACCGAGTTTGCCGATCGGAGTGTTAATTTACCGAGTCCGAACACCGATCCCAACGGCCGGTTGCGCCGAGGTGGTATCTCCGTCTTACTGCAGCTCTGATCGGGGGGATGCAGGTGTGGGACAGGGATGTTGCAGGGGATCTTCAGGGGAGGAAAGAGGGTGTGCAGGAACGATAGAAGGCACAGAAGAACGGAGAATAAGCGTCCGGGCTGGCCCGCTGCCGGTTCAGGCGGGTGAGCGCTCCGATTGCTGTGCCTCTGTGGTGCTTCTCACGACTTTGCCCACTCCGGGATATCGCAACTGCGAACTGGTTCCTTCGGGACCCCCATCGGCTTCGGCATCGGCATCGGCTCCGGGCAACACGGGGAATGCCGCAGGCGCACAGCAGGAGCAGACGCAGGAGTACTCCGTAACTGCAGGCTTTATCGATATCACCTTAATCACGTAAGGACGGGGAATCTCCCGGCCAGCCATCCGGCCATCACGCCGTTTCTTTGGACCACATCGCCGCCTTCCCGCATACCGCACTGGCGCACGGAAATAACGGCGATTAGGTCATTTGTTTGCCCTTCTCGCGCCGTGTCGTTTAAGTCCGGCCTCCCGATCTCGCCGCGTCACGGTGAGGGGCTAAAGACGCATAGCCGCGGCGACGAGAAACTTTGCGAGTCCGTCCGAGCGAGAGGATCCCGTTCTGCAGTGTAAACTTGACACACGGAATCCAGTCCAGTCCACACCACGCAAAGCCGCCACCACCACCAACCAACAAACACAACAACCCGAGCTTCCCGAGTCCGAAGCGCCGCACAACACAAACCCCAAACTTTACCCCTCATTTTCCCCTCCTTTTCTCCCGTGTTCTTCAAGCACAGACACCGTCAGCAATGAGTTTTCTATCCCGCCTCCGCGCATCCAACCTCCGCGCCAGTCTCTCCAAAAGGCTCAACCGCGGAACTTCCACTCCCACCACCACAGCCACCACCCCAAGCAAAACCCAAACCGCCCAAGCCTCCACCTCCACCAACGGAGCAGCAGCCTCTACCACCCCCCAACCCGCAGCCATGTCCCAACTCCTCGCCATCGTCGGCGCCACCGGCCAACAAGGCGGTTCCGTCGCCAACTTCGTCCTCTCCGACCCGGTCCTCTCGGCGCGCTACAAAGTCCGCGCCCTGACCCGCGACACCACCAAGGAGGCCGCCGACGCCCTCCGCGCCAAGGGCGCCGAAGTCGTCCAAGCCGACCTCGAAGACCCGGCCTCGCTCAAGGCCGCCTTCGCTGGTGTCGACACCATCTTTGCTGCTACCAAGACTGTCTACGACGAGCAGGCTAAGGAGCGCGAGTTGCGCCAGTCAAAGGATGTGGCCGATGCGGCTGTTGCCGCCGGCGTGAAGTTTATTGTGTACTCGTCCGAGGTGCACTGCGAGACGGTGTCGGGCGGGAAGTACCCTGTTGCGGCGTACGATTCCAAGAACGAGGCTGAGCAGTACATCCGCACTCTGCCGGTGAAGTCGGCTTTCTACTACCCCGCGACGTTCATGCAGAACCTGGCTGCTATGATGGCGCCCCGTCCGGTTCCCGACTCCCCCGGTGTGTACGCCATCGCCAACATCTTCGCTGGTGACCGGCCCTACCCCTGGTTGGACGTCGTTGCCGATGCGGGCAAGTTCGTCGGTGCGATCCTGGCCGCGCCGGAGAAGTTCGACGGCAAGGTGCTGTACGCTGGTGCCGAGCTGGCGACGATGGACCAGATTGCGGAGAAGATCTCCAAGCAGACTGGCAAGACGGTCAAGTATGTGCTGATGCCGGAGGAGAAGTTCCGCGCGTACCTGCCGCCTGCGGCCGCGGACGCGATTGTGAACATGTTTTTGTTCTGCTCCGACTTTGGGTACTATGGTCCTGACTCGGCGAAGCTGTTGGAGGAGACTGTTGCGCAGGTGCCGTACAAGCTGACCAGCTTGGATGAGTACATTGCGGCGAATGTTAAGCTGGCTTAGGTCACATGTAATTAATGGTGGATCGGATAAGGTTGGGATAAGGTTGAAATAAGGTTTCTTGTTTTGGGCTAAGGATAGTGGATGTCTCAAAGATCGTTGGTCGATCGATTTGCCACGCGCCATGCCGTGGTGAGACAGATCGACGCGGGATCTTCTGGGGTGGATGTAGCGATGCAGAAAATGATGAATGAATACCAATTTGTTTGTATGAATTGATTCTGTCTGACTGCATATCTGCGTCTGTGAACTGATAATCAGTGCCTTGAACGACTGACTCGCCAAATTCTTGACAAGTTTCGTCAAGAACCTAAATTAATGTTCTACATTTCGCGAACAGCCGTTGCAAATCAAGATTAAATCGTTAGAAACCAAAAATGAATTAAACATGTTAAAGCTTGACCACGGTTTCTTCCACGGCGAACTTGGACCATGATCCTGAGAAACATCATCAAAGTCAGATGGACGTAGTAATTCCTTCCAAGCACTTAATGAACAATGAAGCAGTAAAACAACGACTTCAACTTGAATTGAAATAAATCCTGGCTTTGGATAATTAAACGTCATGAATTTAGTTCCTAGGGCCAAATATTATTGGGAAATTTCACATGTTTAACTATTAGTTATTCTTTGTACTTGATAATACTAAACAATCTCAATTTTGCAAATGGAAGCTAAAAAAAAAGGAAACTCTTGGAATGACTGCATTGTTAATGTCTGGAACGACAAGCTTGGAATAAAATATGACCAAGCATTGCTACCTTCAGCTGTACTTGATATTCACTTGATGAATTTCAAATGCTCAAATGAACACCCAAAACAGCCTCTTGTCATTAATTAAGAGAATGCAACTTCTAAATTTAAACAAAGCTCACGATTCGCTCCCCACACACCGTACTATTCACGCCCACTGATCGACAACGCATGCACAAACTACACGTGTAGCCACGAGGAACTGAAAATGCATTCATGATTGGCGATTTGACTAGGTAGCTAAGCGCCTTATTTCCGAGATCAACCACGCCAGCTAACATCTTGCCCCGCATCGAGAAGATCCTGGGGCCGTGTTATCCCCAGCCCTTACCAAGCCCTCACCAACTCCTTACCAGGCCCGTCCTGTACTACATCGCGTACAACGTGACTATCCTACCAGTTTGTGGGTCATGCCACTGTAGTTTTGGGGTGTCCTTCACAGACAATTAGGCCTGACGCCGCCGGAGCTTGGCAAGGATACCCTTTTGGCGGAAAAAGTACGAGTTCTCCACTGTGTAGGCCTTGGGGTCGATGAGGTCGATCTGGTTGGCAGGTTAGTACGATAGTCTCGAGTAGGGGGGAATCGAGGAACGGAAGCGTGTCTGGGGCAGGTTGAGGACCCAAACCCAGGGTTGAAAGGGGGGCAAGGAAATAGAAGGAGGTAAAAGTGGGTGAAGGGGAATAAGGAATAGAAATCTCACCTCATAATTAACAACCAACGCCGCCACAACTTTCTTAACCTCCAACACCCCCAACGCCTTCCCCAAACAAACCCTCCTCCCCGCCCCAAACGTCATCACACTCCCCGCCAGTTTCCTCCTATGCTCCTCATCCCCTTCCAACCACCTCCCCGGCCGCCACACCTCCGCATCCTCCCCAAACGTCCCCTTATGCCGGTTCACCACATACGGGTTCATTCCCACGCGTGTGCCCGGCTCCAAGTACGTCCCGCACACCACCACACCGCTCGCGGGGACTTCCCGCTCGAGGGCCAGGCAGAAGGGTGGGTGGAGGCGCACTGCTTCGTCGACGCAGGCCGAGAGGTAGGGGAGGGTGTTGAGGTCGGTCCAGCGGGGGTATTTGAAGCCTTCTTTAGAGGTCTCTGCCGTTGTGGTAAGATTGGGCAGGGCATCCAGCTCGGCGCGTACGCGGGCGAGGTCGGAAGGGTGGGTGAGGAGATGGTAGAGGGTTGTGCGCATGACGACGGCGGTGCTGTCAGAGCCGGCGATGATGTTGGAGAAGGTCCAGACGAGGGGCGCCCAGGGCGGGGAGGATTCGGAGGCGGATTGGAGTTTGAGGAATTCACCGAGGAAGTCTTGCTTAGCGGATTTGTGGGAGTGGCCGTTGCCGTTGCCGTTGGACTCAGACTTGGCAGCGGTCTCGGCTTTGCGCTCGGCGACGGCGTCAGCGGCAATCTGCATGATTTTGTTGCCGCTGGCCTTCTTGAGTTTGGCGGCGATGGCGTTTTTGTGCAGGATCTTGTCGAGCCAGGGGACTTGGGTCATGGGCCCGACGGTGAGCATGAAGTTCCAGATGCCGGTGGAGATGCCAAGGTTGTCGGCGCCGCTTTCGAGGAAGCCGTAGCGCTTGGAGAAGGTCATGGTGCCCATGACGTCGAAGGCGAAGTACTGCAGCCAGTCGGCGAGCTCGACGGTCTTGCCCGTGGCTACGAAGCGAGTGTCCAGCTGCTCAAACAGGACATCCAGCGTCTCGTCCACCGACGGCTCGCACTTCATGATGCTGCTGAGATTGTACAGCGAGGCCACAGGGCTCTTGAGCCGCTTGTGGAGGTTCTCATCGCGGGCGGTAAAGATAGCCGGAAGTGAACCACCCGGCAGATACGGGATAAATGCCTCGTAGAAGTCGCCCTTGGGAAACCCCGGGCGCATCGGGTAGATGGTGGGGATGGCGGCCGGGTCGGACACGGAGACCATGCGCGGGCCGAGACGGACGACGGCGCCGTACCGGTCGTGGAAGCCTTGGTGGATCTCGTGCGACCGGAGGGTGCGCACCAGCTGGGCGCGGTATAGGTCGGTGAACTTGGACAGCAGCGGGCCGGGGACGTGCCGGAGCCGCCAGAGCGTGCGGACGAGGTGCAAGAGCCAGAGGGAGGCTGTCACTAGCAGGATGACGCCGGCCGAGGTCGCGGCGCGCTCGACCAGCTGGTCGTTGAGGAGGGACATGGTTACCGTGTGGTGCCTCACAGTAACGATGAAGGTGTTTCTTGCAATGGGGAGTCCCAGAGGTGGACTGGGCAAAGAGACTTTGAAAGACAGACAGAAGAGAAAAGCTAGACCCCAAGATCCAGGTAGTCCTGTCCCTCACCTAACCTCTGATCAGACAGAGCAGACACAGAAACTATTTCTCAGCATCGTGTTCCGGTGCTGACAGCAACAAGCTCACCGCCCAGCTAGCTTCGGCCTTCGCTTCGATCCTGACGAAGAGTGCCGGCACTGTCGGAAGTATCGGCCGGACCAACCTCATTCACGCCAGAAACATGACAGACCAGACACAATGCTATCGAGATGCACCATGCAAGACTGTCTGTGGGATGCATCAGGCCATCAGTATCCACTGGCAGCCAGGCCCCGGCTCAACAAGGAATGTGTCTCAAATCCCACGCTTCACATCGATCGACTGCTATCAGCACTTGCAGCAGCAGCAGAATGCCCGTATCCTCGTTATGGACCCACCGGTGGAAAACCAGCCGAAACGTGGAAGAAAGAAAGAGAGCATGAAAGCCAGATTCCAAATCCCATCTTAGCACATCCCCCCATACCCCTGCAGGTGTTCAGACGAAATCGCGTAAGCCGCCTGTCCTGATTGGGCGTGGTTTGAGGGGACGGTTGCTGACCGCAGTGGCTGGAATGCCCTGAAAGTGCGAGCCTGCGGTTAAACTCTCGCGCTAAGCAGGGCTGCAGCGAGGCCCTGAAGGTCGCCGTTCACTTTGGATTACAGTGGGCCGAACACAGCAGTGGACCCGCTAAACACACTTCAGCCACCCCAAGCACACCCCCGGGCACAACCCTGTCAAAGTCAACAACAGAATTAGTACCACGATCTCACCCCTGTCTCTCTGGATGTCCCTGTCCATGACCATGTCCACCACGATGGCAATCCCACGACATGCATCCACTCCCACTGCAACAGATCACTGCACCACCAGCCGGTGTAACGTCCCTCGCCCAAGTGCCCCCACATACACGGTTGTAACACGAGTCTATCTCGCAGTCGCAGCAAACCAGATGAAGTTCTGTGTGTGGTGGAAAGAAGCTTGCATGATGCATGCAAGGCAAAAGCTTATGCCACAAGCCAGGCTGAGTAACAGGCACACACCTTTTTGCTGTCCCACACCCCCAATCCGGACACAGAGAAGCAGACAAGACACAGACACACAGAGATACCGCCCGGACCACATTCCGCATCCGCCATGCCGAGAACAACGGCCCGGCCCCGGCCAGAACCAGGCAGGACAGACCAGACAGGCAGTCCACTCCTCTGAGTCCACAGAGCCGAGGAGCCAATGCAGTGAGCACGCCCACAAGCAAGCGAAGCAGGGGTGTCTTTCGTGATGATGAGGATGATGAGTATTGCCGTGTTGCGACGCCGTTGACGGGTCAATGGAAAGGATGGGGAAGTCGGTCCGGTGGGTTTTGGGCGAAATGCAATGCTGATTGCTGATGCCAGAAGCGGAATTGGTGCGCCGCTGATGTGAATTGCTGATGGATGCTGTGCTGTGCTGATTGCAGGCTTGCCGATACGGAGGCTGGAATGGTTGCCGGGATAGGTAGCGTGTATGTTTGGATTTTTTGTATATATCGTTTGATGCGGGATGTTCTTCGCGGTTGTTGGTTTTGTTAGCCAGGCTTGAGACCTTCAACATTGTCGAGACCACCATCTCTTGTCTCTTCTTCTTCAAGTTCAAGACCCTCATCTGGTCTTGTCTTGCTTGTCTTGTTTGACTTGTTGTCTCATCCATCCCATCCATCATCTGGGTGGCATTTATCTTCACATAACATCTATGCAGATCCTCTAAACCTGCACAACCCAAACCATTCAGTTCAACACCTGAGTGTTCGCGGCCAACACTCATTCCGTCCCTCACTTACCCATCCAAACAACAACAACCCACAGCTGCCTCAACATGCAGCCCACCCCTTCCACCCCGGCCCTCCCGGCCCTCTTAATCTTCGGCTCCCAAATCCAATCACTCGACGCCACCAGCGCCTCTGCCCTCCGCGCTCTCCTCGCCCGCACCCCGGCTCTATCATGGACCATCGACGCGGCCGCTGAACTCCCCTCTCTCTGGGCCCAAGCCGTCACAGCCATTCCTGAGCTCGAATCCCCCTCCACGAAAGAACTCCTCGACGACTTCAGTTCGTGGCTGCGCACGGGCATTTTGCCCGAGGCGTTGCCATTCCCCCTGCCTAATGCGGTCCTCACCCCGCTGGTGGTGATCTACCACCTGGCGCAATACGCGCAATACCTCGATGCCGCGGCCCTGGTCCAGCCCACCGCTGTGAACAGCACCACCACCCTCGGTCTCTGCACCGGCCTTCTCAGCGCGGCTGTTGCGTCCTCTGCCACGAACCAGGCGCAACTGGCCATCCTCGGTCGCGTCGCCATCCGTCTTGCGGCTCTCGTCGGTGCTGTTGTTGACGCTGACAATGCCAGTTCAGAGGCTGTCTCCACCTCAGTCGGGTGGAGTGCCGCGGAGCCGGAGTTGCGGGAGAAGTTGGATGCGGTGCTGGCTAAGTTTGCCGACGAGGCGTACGTGTCTGTGCTGCAGGACCAAAACCGGGTCACGGTCACTGCCGCGAAGGACGTTGCTGGAAAGTTGAGGGAGGAGTTGAAAGCGGCGAAGTTGGGCGTTACGGAGATCGGGCTCGTGGGGAGGTTTCACTCTGCTGGACACAAGGGTGTGTTGGAGAAGCTGAGCAAATTCGTGGAGGCCACGCCGGCTCTGCAGTTTGGGAGTGAGAGTGGTAGGAGTGAGGAGATCTTGAAAGCGATGCTCGTTGAGCAGCCGGATTGGGCGTCTGAGTTCCGCGCGTTGGGCGAAAGCACCACCGCGGACGGCCAGAGCCTGGTGTTTGGCTTTGGACCGGAGAACGTCGCTCCCCCCGCGTTGGTGCGCAGCTTGGGTGCGCGTTTCCACCACCTGACCACCCTCGACCTGTCAGGCGCTGGGATCCCCGCCACGCTGCTTGGGTTTGGCGGCCCGGCCGAGTACCGCGCCAAGCTGTTCGAGACGGGCATTGCCGTGGTTGGTATGGCCGCGCAGATGCCGGGTGCCTCTGATTTAGACGAGTTCTGGGATATCATGCGCGCCGGCCAGTCGCAGCACCAGGAAGTCCCTCGCGAGCGCTTCGAGTTTGACGCCAACACGGTGTTCCGCCCGGCCGAGAACCGCAAGTGGTACGGCAACTTTGTCCGGGACTACAACACCTTTGATCACAAGTTCTTCAAGAAGAGCCCCCGCGAGATGGCATCGACCGACCCGCAGCACCGTCTCATGCTGCAGATCGCGTACCAAGCTGTTGAACAGTCCGGCCACTTCAACCGCCCCCAGGACGAGCGTGATGACCATATCGGTGTGTACATCGGTGTTGGCCTGGTCGACTACGAGCGCAACATTGCCTGCTCCCCGGCCAACGCCTACTCGGCCACTGGCAACTTGAAGGCGTTTGCTGCCGGCAAGATCAGCCACACCTTCGGCTGGACTGGGCCTGGTCTCACCATCGACACGGCGTGCTCGTCGTCGTCGGTGGCCGTCCACACCGCGTGCCGCGCTATTCTCTCTGGCGAATGCACCGGTGGTGCCCTCGCGGGAGGTGTCAACATCATGACTAGCCCAGAGTGGTTCCAGAACTTGGCTGGCGCGTCCTTCCTCAGCCCCACTGGGCAATGCAAGTCGTTTGATGCCCGGGGTGACGGGTACTGCCGTGCTGAGGGTGTCGGTGCGGTGTTCCTCAAGAAACTGTCCACGGCCGTTGCCGATGGTGATCGGATTCTCGGTGTCATTGCTGGCTCGGCTGTCTGGCAGAACCAGAACTGCACACCTATCACAGTCCCCAACTCCCCCAGTCTGTCGGGGCTGTTCCGCAACGCCATTGACCGGGCTGGCCTCGAGCCGAAGCATATCACCTATGTCGAGGCCCACGGCACCGGTACCCCCGTCGGCGACCCGGCTGAGGTTGCTGGTGTGCGCAGCGTGTTGGGCGGCAGCTCGTGCGCGCGGTCGAACGGCGTGTCGCTGGGGTCGGTCAAGGGGTTGATCGGCCACACTGAGTCCGCCTCCGGCATTGCTTCGCTCCTCAAAGTCCTCGTGATGATGGACCGTCAACAAGTGCCGCCGCAGGCCAGCTTCGAGTCGCTGAACCCCGCGATTGAGATCACCCCCGAGGACAAGATGGATATTTCCACGGCGGTGCGGCCGTGGGATGTCGACCTTCGCGCTGCGCTCATCAACAACTATGGTGCGTCCGGATCCAACGCCTGCTTGGTGGTCACCCAGGGCCCGAAGCGTGCTGCTGATGCTGTCCCTCTGCCCACCGCCGAGACCTCCGCGGTTAAGTACCCCTTCTGGTTCGCGGGTCACGACGAGAGTGCCCTGCGCAGGTACATCGCCCGCTTCCGCAAGTGGCTTGCGACCCAGCCCGGCCCGGCCCCGTCGGTGGCTAGTCTCTCGTTTGAGCTGTCCCGCCAGTCCAACCGCACACTGCCCTCATCGCTTCTGCTTACCAGCGCTTCGTTGAGCGACCTCGACAGCAAGCTGGCGCAGTTCGAAGCCGGTGCTCCCCCCAAGGATGTCGCTGTGACTGCTGTCAAGGCGGCGCGGCCGGTGGTGCTCTGCTTCGGCGGGCAGGTGTCTAACTTTGTTGGACTTGACAAGTCCGTCTACGAATCGGTGGGTGTCTTCCGCGGCCATATTGATGCCGTTGACGCGGCGCTGCGCGCTGCTGGTCTCGGCAGCATCTTCCCTGCTGTGTTCCAGACCACGCCCATCGAGAGCATCGTTGCGCTGCAGACGGCCCTCTTTGCTGTTCAGTACAGTTCGGCCAAGAGCTGGCTCAGCAGCGGGGTGCGCCCTGTCGCTGTTGTTGGCTTCAGCTTCGGCGAGTTGACCGCGCTGGCTGTGTCTGGTGTGCTGTCTCTAGAAGATGCGGTTAAGCTGATCGTTGGCCGTGCTGCCCTGATCGAGGAGAAGTGGGGATCCGACTCGGGTGCTATGATTGCCGTCGAGGGAGACAAGGCCCTGGTGGACAAGCTGCTGGCTGAGGTCGCTACCCAGGCCCCCGGCGCGGCCATCGCGTGCTACAGCGGCCCGACGAGCTTCACGCTGGCCGGCCCTAAGGACACCATGGAACTCATCCCCCAGACCGTGGCTGCCCACCCCGAGTTTGCGGCCATCCGTCAGAAGAAGCTCGACGTCACGCACGCCTTCCACTCCGTTCTGGTCGACTCGCTGTACGCCGACGTCGAGAAACTCGGCGAGGGTCTGACCTTCAACAAGCCCACCATCCCCGTCGAGCGGGCCACCGAGTCCGCCACATCCACCGATGACCTGACCTCATCCTTCGCCGCGGCCCACTTGCGCAACCCTGTCTGCTTCAGCCACGCCGTCGACCGCCTGGTGGCCAAGCACGGCGATGCCATCTGGCTCGAAGCGGGCTTCAACTCCACCATCACCTCCATCGCGGGCCGCACCGCCAAGGCAAAGGGCACCCACCACTTCCAGCCCATCAACCTGGCCTCCGAGAACGCCGTGCAGCAGCTCGCCGACGCGACCCTCACCCTCTGGAAGGAAGGCCTCAATGTCTCCTTCTGGCCGCACCACCGCTCGCAACGCGCCGATTACGACGCCCGGCTGCTGCCCCCTTACCAGTTCGACAAGGCCGTCCACTGGATGGCCCTCCTGCCCCCTCCTAAACAGACCATCACTGTGGCCGCCCCAGCTGCTGCTTCTGCCGCTGCGACCATCCCGGAGAAACCCCGCGGCTTCTGGTCCTTCGAAGGCTTCCAGGACCCCGCCACTCAGAGCCTGGCTCGCTTCCGCGTGCACACCACCAGCGACGAGTTCGACGCCCACGTCCGGGGCCACATCATCGCCCGCGCGGCCCCGCTGTGCCCCAGCCCGCTGCAGCTCAACATCGCCGTGGCCGCCCTGCGCAGCCTGCCCTCCAACGCCGGCCTGCAGCCCCGCTCGCGGGACATGGTCAGCCACGCGCCGCTCTCGCTCGACCCTGCGCGCGCCGTGTTCCTCGAGGCTGCTGCTCAGGATGCGGGCAAGCGTGTCTGGAACTGGAAGATTGTCAGCGAGCCTGCGGCTACTCCGGGAACAGGGAAGGTTACCCACGTTGTTGGAACCATCAGTTTCGCGGCCGCCAACGAGCAGGCTGCGCTGCTGAACGAGTTTGCGCACTACGAGCGTATCGTGCGCCACGAGCACTGCCAGGAGCTGCTGACGGATGGTGATGCCGATGAGGTGGTCAAGGGCCCCAGCAAGATCTACCGCCGGTTTACTGACATTGTCGAGTACGGGTCCATGTACAAGTGCGTTGACAAGTTGGTTGCCAAGGGCAGTGCCTCGGCCGGCCGGGTTATCCGCAAGGGCCCTGCCGTCGAGGATAAGCACAATGGTGGTGCTGGCAGCTGGCCGGATATTGGCGCTGGTGACTCGTTCTGCCAGGTTGCGGGTATCTTCGTCAACACCATGACGGATGTTCCGGAGACTGACATCTACATTTCCGACCGCATCGACCAGTGGATTCCGCTGCCCGACACTTCCGCCACCGACAAGGGCGTCAGTGGGGACGCCACCGCGTGGGACGTCCTTGCGCTGCACCGTCACCCGACTGACAAGAAGTACATCAGCGATGTTTTTGTCTTCGAGGCCAGCACCGGCCGTCTCGCCGAGATCATCCTGGGCATTCACTACCAGCGCGTCGGCAAGGCCGGTCTGTCCAAGGCCCTGTCCCGTTTCGCGGCCCCGGGTACTGTTGCCCCTGTGGTCCCCAAGGTAGTTGCCCCGGTCCAAGTTGCTCCCGCTGTCAACGATTTCTACACTGTGCCGAACGGTACCAACGGCACCAACGGGTTCCACGCTCCGGCTCCTGCTGTCCCCGCTCCCGCTGTCGCTGCCCCGGCACCCGCGGTCAAGAAGGCCGGCCCCTCCAAGGCCAAGTCGCAGGTCACCGAGATCAACAACCGCATCATCGACATTCTTGTCAACCTGGTCGGCCTCGACGCCGACGAGCTGCAGCCCGAGTCTGATCTCGTCGAGATGGGTATCGACTCGCTCATGGGCATGGAGTTGGCTCGCGAGATTGAGATTACCTTCAAGATCTCCCTCAGCAACGATGATCTGATGGAGTTGACCACCATCCACAGCTTGAATGTCCTCGTGCAGAAGACGCTCGGTGTTGATGGGTCGGCAGCTGAGGAGGAGGAGGAAGTTGTTGAGGCTCCTGTCACGAATGGACACAGCAACGGTGTGAATGGTGTGAACGGCCACGCGACTAACGGCGTGAACGGCCACGCAACAAACGGCAATGGAGCGACATCCGGCCCCTTCCGCGTGCCTGCTGAGACCGTCCTAACCGCCTTCGCCGAGTGCAAGGCCGCCACCGACGACTTCATCCGCGAGCACAACATGGGCGGCTACGTCGACACGGTTCTCCCCCGCTCTGACGAACTCTGTGCCGTGCACCTGATCAATGCCTTCGAGCAGCTCGGCTGCCCCATCCGCAGCGCCAAGGCCGGTGACGAGCTGCCCAAGATTGAGTACCTGCCCCGCCACCAACGCTTCGTGGACTGGATTTACGAGTTCCTCGAGAAGAACGCCCGCATCCTCGATGTTGACGCCAACGGCCGGATCACCCGTACCGCCATCGCCCTGCCCTCCAAGCCCGCCGACGCCATCTACCACGACCTCGTCCGCGCCAACCCGGAGCACCGCTACGACCACGACCTGACCCAACACATCGGCCCCGAGATTGCCGACTGCCTCGTCGGTAAGCAAGAGGGTGTGCAGCTCATGTTCGGCCGCCCCGAAGGCCGCGAGATCGCCTCCAACATGTACGGCAAGTCGCCCATCAACGTTGTCTGGATCAAGCAGATGGAGAGCTTCCTCCGCGGCTTTGTCGGTCGCCTCAACATCGCCCCCGGCGGTGAGCCCCTGCGCATCCTCGAGATGGGCGCCGGCACGGGTGGTACCACGGCCAAGATCCTGCCTCTGCTCGCCAGCCTCGGCGTGCCCGTCCGCTACACCGTGACCGACCTGTCGTCGTCGCTTGTCGCTACCGCCCGCAAGCGCTTCAAGGGCCAGTTCGACTTTGTTGACTACAAGGTCGTCGACATCGAGGGCAACCTCCCCGCTGAGCTCCTCGAGTCCCAGCACATGGTCCTCGCCACCAACTGCGTCCACGCGACCCACAACCTCGTCAAGTCCACCGGTAACATCCGCCGTCTGCTGCGCCCGGATGGTATGTTGCTGATGCTGGAGATGACCACCCAAGTCCCTTGGGTTGATTTGACTTTCGGTCCCGTCGAGGGCTGGTGGCTGTTTGACGACGGCCGCAAGCACGCGCTGGCCCCGCCTGAAGTCTGGGACGACGCCCTTCACGCTGCCGGGTATGGACATGTCGACTGGACCGACGGCCACCTTCCCGAGGCCGCCATCCAGCGCGTCATCATCGCCCTGGCCTCGGCCCCGTCGCAAAGGTATGAACGTTCACCGATCCCTCCTCCGGCTTCGCTGCCGATCGCCGCTTCGAGTGCCGCTGACATCGATGCTCGTCAAGCGGCTATTGATGCCTACGTCGCTGAGTACACCCGCGACTTCCGGCCTTCTGCGCCAATCTCAACCTCCGCTTCTCCTTCTTCTCCGTCTCAGCACACCGTACTCGTCACCGGCGCCACCGGTTCCCTTGGATCGCACCTCGTTGCCCATCTGACTTCGCTGCCCACCGTCCGGGGCGTTGTCTGCCTCAACCGCGTCAGCATCACCAACGACCCGCTCGGCCGCCAGCTGAATGCATTTACGACCCGCGGCATTGACCTCGACGCGGCCGCCCAGGGCAAACTCACCGTCTTCGAAGTCGACAGCAGCAAACCCCACCTCGGTCTCGATGCGGCCGCTTATGCAGGGCTCACCCAAACCGTCACCCACATCGTGCATAACGCGTGGCCCATGAGCATCACTCGCCCCATCGCGGGATTCTCAACCCAATTCCGCACCATGCGCAACCTCATCGACCTTGCTGCGTCGGCCGCCGCTGCCCAGAACCTGCCCACCCCCGTCGGCTTCCAATTCATCTCCTCCATTGCTACTGTCGGCTGCTACCCGCTTCTACCCGACGAAAACACCACCACCTTCGTCCCCGAAGAACCCATGGCCGTTAGCTCTGTGATGCCCACGGGCTACGGCGATGCCAAGTTGGTGTGCGAGCGGATGCTGGCCGCGACCCTCGGTTCCGAGGCGCATGGTCACGGCTCCGTCTTCCGCGCGGCGAGCGTGCGCATTGCCCAGATTGCCGGCAGCACTTCGTCCGGCTTCTGGAACCCCGTTGAGCATCTGGCTTTTGTGCTCAAGAGTGCCCAGACTTTGCGCGCGCTGCCCGATCTGAGCGGTGATCTCTCGTGGTGCCCTGTCGACACCGTGGCCGGCACTCTAGCTGATTTACTCCTCCTTCCCAACGCTAACAACAAGGAGGGGGGTGATGAATACCCAATTTACCATATCGAGAACCCAACCCGTCAAAGCTGGCCCGCCATGATCTCCATGCTAGCCCGCGCCTTCAACATCCCGCAGACTCCGGACCACATCGTGCCTTGGGACGAGTGGCTCAGGCGTGTGCGGCGGTTCCCGGGGACGGTGGATGACAACCCGGCTGCGCGCCTGGTCGGATTCTTGGAACAACATTTTATTCGTATGAGCTGTGGACGCATGGTATTGGGCACAGTCAAGTCTTGCGAGCACTCGGTGACGCTGAGGGAGAAGGGGGTCGCGGTGGAGGAGGCGCTTTTGGCTCGGTATGTCGCGGCGTGGAAGAAGATGGGATTTTTGAACTGATTACGGTTTTCTTTGCGGTTGGGAACTTGGGGTTTGGAATGAGAAGTTTGGGCGTTTGAGGATAGGGGTGGAGATGTCTTAGTGATTTCGTTTGTCAGGATTGGTTAGAGCATGGCGTCAATGGTCTTGGATTCTTTCTTGTCTAAGAGCTATTTGTCGAGTCAGTCTCATTTTCAGTTGTAATAAACACGGTTCAACCAACTCTAAATCGTCCTCCTGTTTCATTTCTCACAAAGTTTCGCAATACGGAGTACCCGACTCAAATCAATCTTAGACTTTTCGCATAAAACGGGCTCAAACTCGACGTGTTCAAACAAGACACGAAGAAACTGGGATATTAAGGACTCAAGCTCCTGTGCGGCGTATTTTTTACCAGGGCGAAGTTGTGGGGTTATCTGATGTCCTCGTGCATTGTGGTGGTTGAAAAGGAAGGCGCCATTGACCAGACCAGCACTTGGCTCGGATCAACCTGGACCGGCTCAAACCCCTCAGCTCAACAAGACCAATCTCCGGCCAACGTGCCTGCCGACCTAGTTATATAGCTCTTTCCTCATAATTTATTCGGTTCTGACGAGGCATCAATTCGCTCTTCAAACGACCTGGAACCGCAACGGAGAACGCAGTTGACAAGACTTGAATGTTCAAGCCGGATGGATGCCATAATAGAACAATTTCATTTAACCATTTTAGTCCACTAATAAAAACTCAACTCATCAAAGTACACCAGATCAAGACCTAGGTTGTCTTCCTCTAATCACTGGCACACTTCAGAAGGGAACCGCTCTCATGATTCGACTTGAACCATGCAACCCTGCCACCATCACCTCCTAAAACCGCCCACGTCTCCTCCGCGCACCACCACCCGCAGCCCCCCGGAACATACCATACCCAACATTGAAAATCTCATCCAAAATAATCCAAAACATATACGCCTTAATATGCTCCCACGCCCACGTCTTCAACGACCTCGGCGTCGCCGACCATCCCACCAACCACAACATCCCAACCACCCCACCCACAATCACCCTCCTCAGAACCTCCCCTCCCCAAAACTCCGCAACCGCCAACAACCCAGCCTCAACCAGCGCAAACTGCCAATAATCCCCCGTCTGCCACATCCACAACGGAATCGAATCCACCCCGCCCGTAGTCCGCACCGTCTCCACGCGCCCATTCACCACGCGCGTCGTGCTCCCGCCGCCGACGGACAGCGACGGCAGCGACACGATAACGGCGGCGCGCAACGAGGCGATCGCCCATTGGAAGTAGCAGGCGCAGGCCAGGATGATGCCGGCTACGAGCCGGTCGAGAACGTAGGCGCCCGACATTTCGACGGGGCCGGTGAGCCAGGAGACGGGCGCGAAGGGGGTTGCCGCTGTGTAGAGGAGGATGATAAGGAAGATGGAGGAGACTTGGCGCGGGGCGATCCAGCTGGTCGGGGAGACCGGGGTGAATGTTTTGGTCGTCATGGTGGGGGTTGTTGTTGTCTGAGTTGTGTTGCGTTGTGTTGTGGCTTGAGGTGGGAATTTGTGTTTGGATATTGGGGGTCACCTCACAAGGACGGCGATGAAAGTTGAAGATTTCCTAACTGTGTGGAAAGAATGAGAGTGTTAAGTTTGAAGGATTCGTCCATTCGAAGGATTCATCCGAGGGGCTGTGAAGGGACGATGCCAAGGTTAAGAATCCCTCCGACACTTATCAGAAACCAATTCCTAGAACAAAGTCTAAAGAGCGACTGAAAGACAGGTGAAAAGAAAAACACAAAAGATGCCTCAAAGAATGGCGCGCGCGACACGCATTAATACCGCCTCCTCCATCTTCAGCTGAACGGGCGCTCCGGAAGCGAAATTTGCCCTTTCTGTAAGGATCTTGTGTCGCGCCAAACGGTCGCAACACGGGCAAACACTCGCAAGCCGCGTCCATTCACCCGGGCCATTTATCGCGTTAGCTGCCTTGTGTGCCTGGAGGTGCCTGGTTCGCGAAGAATGGGCGCCAATAATTCGGGTCTAGAACCGCCCCTTTCCCACGGCCCGGTCCCTGCCATGGGGAAGCCGATAAAAAAAAATATTTTCATTGGTCTCTTTTCTCAGCCCCACAATCCCCATCAAACCTTTTTTTAGTCTCACTTTTTCCGTATTTGGCACCCGCAAACTTAAGCTCCGCTTTTTTTCCAACCGAGCACAAGGACTTCCAACTCCACACTTCACGACTCATCATCCCCCTGCCACCCATCCTGATCAGTCCGATACTCCTCTTCCAACCGTGTCTTCTCATAATAATCCGACCCAAACCGCAACGGCAAACAAATTCCCCTCTCCACAAAACACACCCTTCCCTCAGGACACTCCAACCGTGTAGCCTCATCACAACTCTCCGCCCACGGCCAGCAAATCCCCATCCCATCGCACGACGGGCCGCATTGGTCTACATGCCGCGGATCAGCGACGCACGCCTCAACGCTCTCGTTGCAGTCGTCTCGGAACTCCCACCCGCCGCAGAGCGTGTAGATTTTTTGTTGGGCGAGGTCGAGTTGTTGGCAGGTGCCTGGGCAGCCTTCGTTGAGGGAACTGACCCAGCGGGTGCAGTTGACGGAGAGGGGGATGCAGGTGAAGGGGTCGGCACAGTCGCCGAGGGTTTGGCCGCAGGGGCTGTTGATTGAGGAGGGTTGGGGAGAGGTGAGTGGGTTTGCGAGAGTGAGGGTGAGGGCGGTGGTTGATGTGGTGATTATGAAGGTGAGTCTCATGGTGGCGGGCGATATTTCAGCGGGCTTAAATTAACTGTAGAAGTGTCACAGTATAAAAGGGTGTTAATTCCTCGTGACAAGAGACAGTTGGTTCTTGCCACAAGAGGTGAAGGGGCATTGACCTAGAGGACAGGCAGCCCTCAAATACCTCTTCTCCTTTCTAAGGGTTGTAGACTCGCCTACTCTGCCCCCTTGGGCCGTACCCTTGGGCCGTATTTTCTCACTCTCCGAGAGTGTCAACCAATGATCGCGATGTCAATGCAAGTTGAGATTAGCTTGGCACTATCTTGGTGGTTGCAGCTAGATATTAGCCTACATAAATTGCAACGCTACTTTCCGAAGGAGAGTCTGACACGAGTCCTTCGGAACTCTAGGCGCACGTTATAATTATGACACCGGCGTCTTGGTTTTGATATCCAAAAAGCGATGCCGCTTCGATCTGAACTAACTCACTCTAGTTCCAGGCTCTTCTTTCAGAATTGGAGACGCTAGGTCTCTCTCTCTACCTCTTCTACAACCCTATCATAGAAGCCCAACTTCCCGGTGCTAGTAAACGCCCCGTATGCGTAGGCCAGAGCCTGGCTTCTATTGCTACCAAGGCAAGTCGAGAGCAGGTGGTCTTCCAGTTCCGCTGACCTCACCATCTCGATGTATTCCTGTCGCTCACGCCATGTCTGCCTCTCGTCTTCATCAAGAGGTTGCCCATCGCTGTCATAGTTTTGCAGGAGGTCGAAGGACACGGGCATGGCCTGGAGGAACTCGGGAAATGCAACCAGCTCCCAGGGTACAGTACATGCCCCTTCCCAGTCGATGATGCCCGTGACATTGAAATTGTTCTCGTCAACCATGATGTTGCTGTGAAGGAAATCGTCATGGCATAGGGGGAACGGCCCATTGTTGCTTGCGGAAAGCCGGCTAGACATCGCCTTGACCTGTGATGGGAACTGGTTGATAATAGAAATCATCCGGTCTGCTGGAATCGGTCCTCCCTGCATCGTGCTCCCAATCGTCTCGTTGTCCCACTTGAATTTGACGTTGTCAGCCTAGGCCTCGAAAAACGCCACTGCCGTGTTGAATGGGCCGCCGGTCCCTGGTAAGGGGCCGAGCTCGTATGCCCCGTCTCGATTTCGAGCAATCGTGCCAATCTTTGGGAGTCGCAAGGAGGTTATCTGGACCTAATAGTACGTGTAAACTTCTCATCGAATCAAGTAAGAGGGGCTTCGACGAACATGGCATGCTGCCACTGAGCGGTAAAATTGTGGACGGTACTGCGTGGGTATCACGCCACGGTGCACATCGTAGCCGCCAAGGGCGTCCATGGCCACGATGCCGCGGAGGACCTCAATTAGCATGTACGCGACCGCCGCTGGGTTATTCTCGTCGAGGGTGTATGCAAAGACTCTGGGGACAGCCAACTCAGAATGCTCCTTAATGTATTGCATTGTTGCAACCTTGGCCTCAAGCTCGGCGTTGCTTGTGTTCTTGATCTGGACGCGGGCTGCCCAGCGACTCCGGTCGGAGAACTCGAGTAGACGAACAACATTGTTAAACCCGCTTGTAACCCGATCTAAAGCAACACATTCAAGCCAACGGTTTGCTTTTGAGGCAATGATGCATAGCTGATCCCACTGGGTTTGCCGAAAACACCTGGCGGCCCGGCTGTCGGCGCTTTGAAGGAAATCATTGACGGTAGCCCAGAAGGAGGACGAATCTGTAGGCATGGCGATACCGTGTTGGCTAAGCGGCTTCGCTGATCAGTGCATTTGTTGTTTCTCGTTCTTTGTCGTCTCCGTCGGCAGGAAGATGAAATAAGGATTCACCGAGCGCAGCCTGGTGGGGAAGGAGATGATCCTTTGTTTCCTTCGTCTGGCTGATTCTTTTAATTGTTCAAAAGTCGTTCCATTTTCGCACGCCATATTCACCATGTTGATTAATCGGCTTGGAGAGAATTACGCGACACTTCCACGGACTGAGTCCCGTGGTGACCGAGGGGCTGAGTCTGGGGCCAACGCAAAGAATATGGAACAAACACAACGAAGCCCCGAGACCAGCACCACGAGGTCCCAAAACCAACACCGCGAGGGCCCGAGACCAACACAACAAATTCCGGGGCAAACACAGTGAGGCCCGTGACCAACACAAAAAACGAATGGATTTACCCGCCCATCCATTCGTGTCCCCCATGGTTGGTTGGTCCTATTTCAGTCAGTGCATTTCCGTCGAAGTCCTTTGCTTTGTAGCCCATCTTACCCTTCTCACGCTCCTCGTCCTGAACACTCAAGCCTTGTGGCACGCCAAAAATTCCTTCGTTCAGGTCGTGCAATCGATCAATACAAAACACCGTCATGGACGACCTGCCTGTGAAGCCAGCGGCCGGCTTCAGGCTCATGGGAACCCTCCCCGACCATCAGGAACCGCTGCAACCTCCCAAAACCATGTCGGTAGCCCCATCCAAAGTTTTCGTACATTACGGGGCCGATTTACTAACAATACCTGTGCTCCCTCTAGAATCGTTTATGTGAACGGCATCAGAAACCCTGGACTGAAGCCGCAATTTTTTCCGGATGTCCACCTCCCAAGTCAACCTGTAAATGTTGATTTCATTGCCTGCGTTGAGCAAGAGGACTCCGGGATCGCAATTTTTAAACGCCAAGTTGACCATTTGCTGAGCGAGGTGGTAAGGCCAGATTACCCTTTGATAATTACACCTTGCCGTTCTGTGCTAATTTTGGACCGCTCTTGAAGGACAAGATTATCCCTCAATTGACCCCGGAAAACGTTTCCATAGCCATCTGGGCCGACGATATTGGTGGTACCTTGGTGAAGCAGGTGCGTGCTATTTCTTTCTTTGATTCTTTCTAAGCAATGATCGAGGATTTTATGCTTGTTTTCCTTTGTGAGCACGTCGCACACAGCCAAAAGTGGGCGTGTGAATCCTGTGTAGGATGAAGCAATCTGCTTGGTGGTGGGCAAGTATTAATTAATTCTCAACTCTTTTTAGGCTCTATAACTGCAGCGCAAGACAAAAGCCCTTTTAGGCGTGTCTTTCGTGCAACCTCAACGGTTGTAAGTCACTACATTGTCCTAGTCCCTAGCCTACGATTTTGCGCTCACAATTAGACAACCAAATCACAGGTTTTCTCCGGTACCCCCCACCGGGGCTCCTTGATCTACAGTTTCCACACCGCTGTTCAGAACCTCATCCAAACCGGCTTCCCCAACGTCTTGGGCGATTGGTTTCCGAAAACCTCCAAGACGCTCTCTCGACATATGAAGAGTATCAATCAAGGCTTCAGGCACATCTGTCACAACTTCAGCATCATCAACTACTATGAGCGTCCCAGCCCTTCGGACGCAGCACCCTTTCAGGTCGTGAGTAATCGATCACCTCATTAGTTGCCCACGTGTCCTCGTCCTTTTCTTTCTCATTGAAGCGTTCCACGGGGTGATTAACCAAGTTTCCACTATTTTAGCTTCTACTCTATGAATGTGCCACTCTTAGTGTGCCAAACGAGATCAATATTGGGGTGAACCGGACACACGACAAACTCCGCATCCTAGTTGGAACCGAGGCCCACGCTGCGCATTCGTACCTCCTAGACGCGACCATCAGTAAGTTTTGAACAAACTTCTTTGCGTTTTGATACCTTCCATCACATTTGGAAGCCTGGAAGCAATGACAGGGTTATTTATGTGGCAACTAATTATCTATTCAGAGGACTGGAACGAGTTTCAATACATTTTCGACCTCCTTCAACCGGCCAGCCCAGCACAGACCGACCACGATGTCCACTCGCAATCCAGCTGGCACCCGTCTGCGAACTTGATCGACGCGTTCCCGGACGATTCAGGTCTCTCGGCCTGGCTATCGGATCTGGATGGCCCCAGATATCTGACAATATCACCACGAACCAACCTGGATCCAAGGGCCATCCTGAGCTCCCTAGCCCAGGCCATATACGACATGTCCCGCATTTCTTGGTTGACATGCCCGAAGGTCCCTAGAGCCACTGCTGAGGATGATCATTCTGGCAAAGCCAGAGCGTCCTTCATATATCGATCCTCTTCTTGCATGTCGCGTGCGAAGATGTCCAGATTCTGCAAGATATCGACTATGTGCTTGGAAAGACCGAAGCAAAAGTTCAAATGGTTCTCCTCGCCGTTCCTGGACTTACCCTCGGTGTTGAAGATGATAACATCGCTCGTCTCCACGGACTAGATGACGCACTCGAGGGTCCCGCTGTTAGTCTGAACAACGATATTTCGGAACGAACCTTGGTGTCTGCAAGTCAAGGATCCAACATGTTGCGCAAGATGTTGTTGTCCCAGGCTGCATTGGAGACAGCGCTTCTTGGTACGCTGCAGTCCTTCCTTCCGGAGCTAGGACGACAAGAGACCCTCACTCTTACTTGGATTGCGTTTGCGACACGCCCCTTCAATCTCCAGGAGCTTGATTGGGCCATTGCTCAGGATCAAGCACAGAAATGTCAACTCAAAGATTCAGGAACTAAGAAACTGACTGCGTTTCAGCTGGTAACCCGGCTGCAAGTCGTTCTCCCCGGCCTATTGGAGATCAAATCCGACAACCGCGTCGTCCAGTGCATCTCCTACAGCAAGGTCCGCGAGATCTTGTCTAAGTCCCGGAATAACAGCCTCGGGGAGGAATGGAGTCCACACCTCTATCTCGCAGAGACCTGCTTGGGCACCTTCAGAGATGCAACGGCACTCAATGAGTTCGCTAAGTCAGGGGGTCACCCACCCGACCGGTCCGGGAGCCGACCGCATAATAAGAT